AATTAGTCACGGTTGTGAATAATAATTGACCCAACAGCTAGATGGTGTAAAAACACATTCTTGAAAAATCTGAAAAAAAAATTTACCACCTCCCGGCTGAAGGGAATCATGAGGAAATGCGGATGCATTTCTTGCGCCGAGAGTACACGGCGTAGTGATTTTAATGGTGTAAATTAATGACCAGACGAGGATTTGTACCGTAACTATTCGTTTACACATTCATCAGCCAGAGAACAGTCGAGAGTGAGGCGCCCGCTTCGCTCCTTATATAAGTACGAGCGAGCGGATGGGAGAGTGGTGCGCAGGGAGGAGAGAGAGCGAACGGCGAGAGAAGGAGCGGCGAAGCACTGCACCTACCCTCTCCTACTCTACTCTCTCCACACTCGCGGGAGCTCCGCCGAGCTCCCGCGATGCGAGCGCCCTCACAAGCCAGAGTGCGCTCCTTTCCACTCACTCTCCACTGGGCCGCACCACTATTCCTCCGGTTGCTAGGGAGCGAGGATAAGCGCGTGCGCCTGCAGCTGTTGCTATGGGATATGGAGTGAGAGCAAAGAGAGAACACTTGCCGGCACGCGGACACCGACAGACGCCTGACATGCCCTGTCTAAGAAATGCATTCACATTTCGAAGCACGCTCGTTTCAAGCTACTTCAAAATTTTTGTGTGATTAAAATGAAAATGCAGTTTAATAGAGAAAAACAATTACAATCTGCTTCATTATCGAAATCTTGAAAAAATAGCAAAATTTAGCTATCTAAGAACGAGTCCTGGCACTTACCACCAGTGTTGCCAACCGCAGGATAATTAACATAATTGTAGGCATGGGAGTCGGCAGGATTTTGTATTGGAAACCAGGTGCAAAGTCATTTCGCTTTGCAGTGGGTGGGGGAAAGGAGCGGGAGCACCGTTGTGGTATGGGTTAAGGGGAGGGATAAACTGCTGGGATGCTGGGATGGCTTGAGGGGGCAAGTGCCCCTTTTGTATCCCCCTGCAAACGCCTATGCTTGTGGGTTATTTTCGTGATTTTGTGGCCAGTGTGGGGTAGCAGCGTGGCAGTATCATTTTCTTGTAAGATATGTAGGATAATTTCCGGATTTTGCTCCTTGTCGATCAGCCAAAATGTAGACGATCCGTAAGGCATACCCAAGGGTTACGTTCTAAAAAAGTTACGATAACTAAATTTTTCTTTGAACTAAGTGTAAACTGTCTTCATTCACATGTCACCAGCATAGGGCAGAGATTTCTATGTCACAGATTCCTATGTTAGCATTGTTTTTTTTATGAATGGTTTTTTTCTTCTCCATCGTCTCCTATTTGTTCGCTGCATGGAGTGATTAAATATTTCCACTGCAGTCAGTTCCACATAATTAGGGCGTTCTCTGGTGCCTTAGATGCCTCATCAAACACTTATTGTGACCATCTGCGTCAACACGAGGCCTACGGAAAGTCATAACATAATATAACTATGTCGCCTCATGATGTGAAGTCATCATTACGTGTCTGCAATGTCAGAATTTCACATTGTCACATGACCTTGTTGCTTGGTCATAGGTGAGCTGAACATGAAGGCACGTGAGGTGAAAGGAGTTTGCTATTTCTCAGAGCCCACAGGCAGTGCAAGATTCATGCTAGGTGCAGAAATTTTTTGAAGGCCGTGAGGTCAATACAAATAAGTAAGAAGAAAATGGCTTTGGTTCTAGTCACCTTAGGTGAACACAAGAGGAACCATGCGATATACAAGTAAAAAGTTAATATTGTTATTATTATTGTTGTTGTTGTTGTCGTTGTTGTTGTTGTTGTTACAGCCTAGTCCAGTCCAGCTGAATTAAGGTTTCTTCCATTAAGTACAAAAGAAACCTTTGAATTCAAAGCCCAACTTCATGTGCTAATTGTTGCAGATTACTCTTTCTGCCTACTTTTTTGCCCCCGATCTGGCAGTTATTTTTTACTTATTTATATTGCCAACCTGTCTGGCCTTTCCAATGTTGTCCCAAGGGTTTATGTAGGCTAGTGCCCTAACACATGGCTGAGTGGATTATCTCCTCAATTAAAGCATCATTGCTTGCTTTAATTCTGTATAGTTACCCAGAGCTAGTTTTATTTCTATTACTCCTTTCTATGGCATTTCTATTTTGTCTCTCACGTTTCACTTAATGCTTTGCTATGTTGCATACACTACCAGTGGTATACTTGCTGATCAGTGTGCGAGTTCGTTTTTCAAGTGCGAGTCAATGCTCTTCGTATACAAATACCAGAACGCTGTGTCTTTCCCTCTGCTGTCTTAAATGTTCTTTAGTCTTTCTTTAAAACTAATCTTCAAATTGCTGAAGCTGCCACCACGTGTCTGCATGTAGTACAGAAAAAAGTGTAATATGTACTTTGCTATTGTTACATTGCACTGTCTTAGGTGTAGGAAAAAATGTAGGGTAATAAAACATTGTGTAGGATAAAGTAGGACAATTTCGATGGTGACGTAGGGTATTTAAAAAGAAAGGTTAGTAGCACTGCTTCCCATTTAATTGTACAATGCTGCTCTTCAGAGACAAATGCATTCTGTCAAAATGGCCCAAGATGACTGCAGTCCTTCTCCTCCCTCAAACAATTTCAAATTTCAATTTAATGTACACATGCATATGCATACAAATTCACACATGAACATACATAGAGTATAGTTTAACTCTCCTCCACCCCCTAAAAAAGAAAAAAATCTGGGTATGCTACTGCTTAAGGAAGCTTGTATTCTAGCACAGAAATATGTGCCGATCACCATTTTGAATATATATGGTGGCTTGTCTGATTGGAAATACGAACAGTGTTCGTTACACATGCAAACATATACACACACACTCAAACCTCGATATAACGAACCCGTGTAGAATGAATTGCTGGTCATAACTGAAGTGAGTGAAGAATGGCTCCATTATAAGTACAGTGCAACAAATATTTATTTATAAAAATTTTGGCATGAACGAATTATTTTCGTGGCAGGTATGATAATGTTATAATGAGGTTTGAGCGCTGTATATATTCATATGACATGCCATTCTAGATGGCTGCCTTAGTCAGTTAAGGTTAGTACTTGATAGGTTTCTGTGTGGTCCAATTACTTCCAGTACAAGTAGTCATGGTAGCCACTGGTTTCCAGTTGGCTTGTAACTGGAACCAGCTGCTTCCATTGCTGTATTAGGTTGGTCTCCAACTGTAACCATATAGTTTCAGTTAATGCCAGTTGAAAACAGTTAATATCCAGTTGCATATTTTTGCCTGGTATGGGACTGTACAGTTGATTTCTATGATGTGCCGCAGTTGCTGTCATATGCTACAGTGATAGATGGTACACTGGTGCCAATTACTGACTCTAATTTGTTTTTGTAGCCATCTCGCTTATGATAAATATTGCAGGTCAAAGTTATTCCTGCTGACTATAGTATCAGAAAAGAGCATCGTTTTATTTTTCAGTCATTCAGAAGGTAAATATTAATTTATCATTTATTTGAGCTTTGCCAACAAGGAGCTAACATGGCAGTCTGTGATTGTTAACAAACCTGCTACACCTAGGTGATATATAGAACGCTCCAGGCATTTGAGCTTCATTCATTTCTTTGCAAATTAATGTATCTGTGTGTGACATCTGATCCAGAGATGGCCAAGATTTGGGTGCTTCTTGCTGCCATAGTAGTGGATTTGGAGGGTTGCTTCAACAGCTAGAACTGCATAAAGTCAACAAAGTTGATGCAGTTGTGTCCACAATTGATGAGCCTCTCTTTCCTTAATCTCTTTCAACTACAGGCGTCGTGGGCATATGTGAAACCTGGTGAAATTGTAAGCTGGTTACTATGCTGCCCCCTCACAAGAGTAGCAAGAGGAGCAGTAAAAAATGTGGGCAGTTTGCACAAGTAGTGTTGTAACACTTGACTAGCAGTGAAGCCTGTGGCTGGCCTAATGATCTCACTTAACTAGCTTTTAATTAAAATAAACCTATTTGCAAGGTCTTAATTAACAGTCTTTATTGGCAAAAACGCTCTTTGTTCCTGTCTGTTTTTCTCTCTGTTTATTTGTCCTCTGCTTTTCTTTTGTTTTCTTCAAAAGGTACACCTGCGTTGCACATCTATCGTGTCCGCCTTAGTTGGTGTTCTGGCTACAGTCTTTATTATTCAAGAGGACTGAATGCTAGGTTCGTTGGCATTCCATAACTACTAATACTTGCAGACAAGGTGACACTTGCAGAGATAGCAAGTGTCACCCCTTCGTGAAAAACAAAGTTGTTGACCCAGCACAGAGATAGCACAGCTAGGGAAGTTGCTTAGGCTTTTTATATCCATAAGTTTAGCAACACGTGTGTCGCAAGGCCTTTGTTCGTATTGCACCAACTAGAGATAGATTATCTAACTTCCAACCTCTAATTTTTTACGTTATTTTTTGCTATTTATATTAGTGCTTACTTGAATAAACTTTCAGTTGACATTCTGTGCTTGTGCATGTGCCTTCTGTGTCATGCGAGTTCGTTTTTCAAGTGTGAGTCAATGCTCTTCGAATACAAATACCAGAACGCTGTGTCTTTCCCTCTGCTGTCTTAAATGTTCTTTAGTGTTTCTTTAAAACTAATCTTCAAATTGGTGAAGCTGCCATCACTGTGCAGTCTCTTTTTCAAGCAGTTTTTGTAGTTAAACTTTATTCATCTACCAAATTACTTGGCAATAAAAAAATGTACTGTCCTCATTTCTTGAATGCACCTAACCATGAGCAAACTGTCTTATTTATAGTCAATCTTAAGATGAAGAGGAGAATAAAGAGTGTGTGCCGGTCGAGTTGCTGGAGTTGCTGTGTTGCACTGGCTAGGTGCAGCTTAGTTATCCGGTCATCTGAGATCGTAGAATAGAAAGCTTAAACAGCTCCACTTTAGAGCAAATAATCATTTTAAGGTCACCACAGAGGGTCAAGTGCTCTTTATGGCTTTGCAGTATCTTCTTGTCAGCCTGCAGAACACGGCCTCCACCACCATGATCACCTCGAGCCAGCTGGTGGTTCCCATGACGCTTTGGGGCAAGGTAGCCCCCACACATAATGTGTCATCTATCTTCATCACAAAGGATCAGAAGATAATCATCACAGGCTGCCACGATGGCCAAATATGCGTCTGGGACATTATGGATGGGCTGAAAGTAGGTCCTCTCCAGTCCCCATTGAAAATGTTGGCTCACTAAATTGGTTATTTTTTTCAATGACCACTTTTCCCAGGTTGACAATTTTAAGAAGTTATTGCTTAGTGCAAGACATGCCTTCATTTTAATGTTTCTCAAATGTTATTGTCAATAATTTATTCAGATTACATGTATTACACCAATAATGATATGCATTCTAAAATTACAGGAGCCCCATCAATTACACTGAAATATACTGTGACATATAAATTAGAAGCTCACATGTTTTGCCTGTATATAAGATTTCAATGAATTACTGTGCTTGCCGCTATCGTATGCTATTGACTCACTTTCGCTGATATTTCACATAAGAACATTGATTCTATTGACTAACTTTTGCTGATATTTAGATAAGAACATTGATAGCTGTTCTCAGTTTATTAGTGGGCCAGCTTTTCCCCCCTCTGGACCAAACTTGCAAATGTGCCACAAGCTCAGCTCAATGCATGATTACAAACAAAAAGAAAATAAAGGAAAAATATAAAATGCGAATTTTGGTGAACTTATGAGTGCATTAACAGTGCTCCATATCTCTGAAAGCATTAGCCAGTAGTGATGTGCTACATGTAAAGGATAAAGGTTCACGGTGCCAAACCTGTTTGCGAGCCATTGTATGTTTTCATTCCTCTGCACCAGCACGAAATGGACCACTTTGACCCTGTGGGGGTTGAGGCTGTCCTGCCGCCATGGTGCGGGCTTTGTCGCCTATTTTCTGCAGTTCCCATGTCCCCAACATGACTCTCCCTTCCTCCGTCCATCGTTCTGGGGGAATGGGAGTGACATTGACCCCTCTCACCCGATAGCGGATGCCGACTGTGGCACTGTGCACGAAATCTCTCGGGACGTTTCGCGTGCGCGCGCATTGGGAGTGAGAGAGAATTTTCCTGGGACAACATAGGATAGGCACGCATTTCTTTTCCATCCGTCGGCTCCTTTTGTTTTGGGGCTTGTTCGGACTTTGCCAAGGGTGCCTTGCGCCCGCGACGAACGCTTACCTTTCGTTGCCCCCTTTCAAACGCTAGGCCGAAGAGCGGTGCGGTGTCCTAAGCACGTGTTCCCGTACCTCTCGAATCCAACGCGAGCGAATTTTGCCCTCGCTCGAGCGATCGGGCCCTGTTGTCCCAGTGTCACCGTGAATCACTTTTGCCCACGGAGACGAGCTCGCGGCACCTTGTGTAGTACTTCTCGCCCGTGGCGTGGTTAAGCCTATTTGCTTTCCCGCCGCCCATGCTGCAATGAACTCTGTACTGCGTTTTTGGTTGTTGCCGGCAATAAAGTGTTGTGGCCTGTGAAAGAAAGAAGTACGGTGCTCTTGCCACGCTGCTCTTGGCGTCATGGCTGTTCGAACGCGCGTATGCAGAGGCTACGGTGAACGCGTACCCTGCGGCTCGCTAAGACCGAATCCACACTAGTGGCTGTACTCCTTTGGGATACATGTACACTACAACCCTTAAAACAAACTGAACCCGTATTTTTTTTTTTTGTCTGCTAGATGCTATTTTTATTTTAAGGTGCCAACTTGGACGAGTTTATTGGTGTTTATGGCAGTGTCCATGCAAAGGAAAAGAAAGAAAAATAAGTCATTCGTAACAAGAGAATGAACTACCTATGTACTGCTATGTCATTGAGTTGGTGTGTTTGTGTTGGCCTCGCGGTCACTTTTTCTTAACGGACTTAGGAAAAGCGTGTCGCTAGCCAGCCAGATAATGGGTCGAGTGCATACATATCTTCTTTAAACCAAAGCTTTTAATTGTATGACTGAGTTACAAGGATTACAAAGCAATGAATAAGCAAGTTGATGGGGCACTCGACACCGTAAAAAAGCGGTGTGAGTTCTTGGGCACACTAGGATGAACTGAGGCGTGAAGTCCTGATTCTTTTCGCACCCTGGCACAAGCAGGAGGAGGAGTCTTGGTCTCGCATGCAGCGTCACCACGTACATGCGAGGGGTCACCTCTAAGTTCCCGGAATCGTTAGCGACTGAAAGCACCCCGATTTTCAAGAATGATGCCACATACAGCTTCAAACACACATTCACACACACACACACACACACACACACACACACACACACTCGCACGCACACACAAAGCCCCGAAACTGTTCAATAGACAAAGCAGTCAGCACTCCGAGCATGTGCGCTCTGCGTTCAGAACAGTGCTTGAACATGACGCTTGCTTGTTCAGCACCTTGTGCACTCACATATTTATTGCGTTTCACTTTCTCTTTGTATTTGCATCATAACAAAGTACTCTTGGGTTGTATATGCTTTGCAGATTGTACCACGCAGCATGCTTTTCGGCCACACTGGTCGAGTTCGGTGCCTGACCAGCGCCTCTCCAACTGGGGATGGCTCTTTGTTGGTTAGCTCTTCTGAGACAGGGTATGTTTACAAGTTCTTCAAAACAAGCATGCTTTTTCAAAGACACTATTTTTATCTCTATAATGAATCATTAAAACCAATATTTACAAGTTTCATGTCTATTTTGCGTGCTTATTCTGCTTTAAATACATATGTGTATCACCAGTGAGTTGATGTTCCAATTGTTAGCTGTCTGCATCAAGTTTGTCTTGTGTTGACCTGCACGCTAATAGTACGATACATGTCTATGTGCAGTGAAATGTGCTTGTGGGACTTGACGGATGGCAGGTGCTTGGAGTCCAGCATTCTTCCTTATGTTCATACACGTATGCAGGTAGAGTATGTTTTTTTCTTTTTTATGTAAGTGCGTGAGTGATGTTACTATAATGGAAGCCCTGGCTGGATAGTTGACCAGATCACTAGCTATTTTTGTGCATCGAATTGATCCTGCTAGGTCATCAATGATGAGACAGTTTCACTACGAGCTGTCATTCAGTATCTCTTGGTAACATACTGGCTGCATTAATTCCTTGTGCACACAAGTTAGTATCTGCACATTTAGATCAAAATTTATTAGTGTCATGGCTACTAGGGGCATATTTGTGTGTCTAAATATTTACGAGAAGCTTTTGTATTTACTGTTCCTTCTTTATAATATTATCAGCATTCCCACTTGAAATATGGATGCAGGATAATCAGAATGCTCAAGTAGAATGCTGATTTGTTTGGTCTTCAGACTAAATTGCCATTATTTCTAAGTAAAACACTTTTTGAAATGACTTAGGACGTTTGAAATTTTCAACTGCAATGTAAAATAGGAATGGATTGTAGTGTACATGTGTGTAGTCTACACGTGCCACAAAAGAGTACGGCCCCTAGCGTTGGTTCGGTCGTAGTGAGCAACAGGGCCGTGTTCACTGTTGCCTCGCGTGGCGAACGTCGCTGCACACGTGTGTGCTGACAGCCTCGGCGTTGAGCGCAGCGTGGCAAGTACGCACCTCAATGGTACACAGTACTGCTCTCAAACAAGTTGTAACACTACAGCACCCGCTGCAAAAGGCAGCAAGAAAGCAACAGGCTTATTCATGCAATGGGTCAAAGTACAACACGAATGATGCCACGAGGAGATCTCCATGGGCAAAAGGGTTCGTAATGACATGCCACTGAGGGGAATGGGCCCTCGCGACTATGCCTAGGCTTTTAACTATCAGTGACCACCAGGCCCAATTGCTCAAGCGAGGGCAAAATCTGCTCACGTTGGTTTTAAGAGGCAGGGTTTGGCGTAGTAGGACCACGCACGAACGCATTGCACTGCTTTTCGACCTAACATTCGGAAGAGGCAACGAAAGGTAAGCATTCGCAAAGGCAGTTGACGAATGGAAAGGAAAGGCTTGCTCAATCTTCGATGTCCAGAGAGGACTTGACTCCTGTTACGCGCATGCGAAACATCTCGGGAGACTTGAGCGAGGCACCACAGTCAACACTGGCAGCCGGGTGAGGGGGGTAGCGTCACTCTGCCAGCACTGACAGACCGCACTGCATTGCTATGCAAATAGTGTAATACCAGAACAGGTTTAGAATATGAAGCTGGGAACATGCATACTTCTTTTTTCCATCTTGTGGTTTTCCACAGTTGTGATTATATGTATGTGCGGACCTCATATTGCCATTTCTCAAGCAATCAGTATTGTGGTAGTTGCAATTCTTACATATAAAATGTACGTTCTTGTCGTACATTCATTTGTTGATTGATTGATTGATTGATTTGTGGGTTTTAACGTCCCAAAACCACCATATGATTATGAGAGACGCCGTAGTGGAGGGCTCCGGAAATTTCGACCACCTGGGGATCTTTAACGTGCACCCAAATCTGAGTACACGGGCCTACAACATTTCCGCCTCCACCGGAAATGCAGCTGCCGCAGCCGGGAATTGAACCCGCGACCTGCCTACATTCATTTGTTATTAGCATAAAATTGTGATGCATCTTCATTTGGTTATTCAGAACAAAACTTGTTTGTAAAAACTAATTATGAGATAGGTTACTTGCAGTGACCCAGCACTTGCCTGTTTTTATGCTTGACTTTGTAGGTTCCAGTCTTTATTAAACTGTAAGACATGTTTAAAATTGAACTGTCATGGAATTACTTCTTGACAATCTTTTGTATGAAAACTCGTTGGAATGCGTAGTTGTCTTCTTGTCGCATTTTCTGAAATAAGAAAAACTTACTTCGTCACTTATAATGGATCACGCACTTTTGCCCTACTTCCAGTCCCACATGCTCTCTGGGAGTGAATGCTCTCACTTGTTCTGCAATGGCTACTATCCAGACATTGTCATTCTTGACACTATGACGTTGACTGTAGCATTCCAACTGGTGTCACGGGTCACCTCGGACTGGATCAGTGCTGCGCATGTTATTAGGTCGCCCAAGCTAAATGGTGAGTCACTGGTTCACTTTTGAATGTCAGTTGCAATGTGTAGTCCCCCATTTAAATTTTCAATTGCAGGGACGCAGGTTGTCTGATTTATACTTTCAACATGACGTTACTCTCAGTCAGTGACGTATATATGTGAAAAATTTCAGTGAGACACTCAATCATGGCTTTAGTCATTATACTTTGCAGTTTAATGTGCTATGTTGGGTTAATATTCTCAGCCACTGGCCTTAGTGGTGGCATTTTGCATGAGAGACCATTAATGGCTGCTGAATTTGTTGGCATCATAGCCTTTACTGTTAGACAACTCAGAAAGCATGTTTTAATGACATGTAGGGGTCACAAGCCTGTAGTTTCTGCTAGGCTAGTTGTTCGCTGTTTCCTCACCATTTAAGTATCCAGACCATCATGCTTTTGCACAGCTTCCCAGCTTATGCACTCATATGCATTACATAAAAAGTTATTGTTCACTTAGGTTTCAGTATTTAACGCGAGAGTTTAAAAAGCTCGTTTCACAGAAATTCCAGTGTTGGCATGGGCATTGTTGGCTGTGAGCAAAAAATCTTGTGCGTGATTTAAATATTGAGAAAGATGAAACAAAATAAATTTTAAAAAATTGGGTTCGAGTGAGGATTGAATCCAGATCGCTTGTGTGGCAAGCAGTTGTTCTACCGCACAGCCAAGTGCCTGCTTTGTTATACAGTTAGCATAACTTCCTTTGCTTGGGAAAATAGTAAATATAATGTTCATGTTTATATAGCATGCATCCTGTGTACAGGCTTCACAGGCTTCACAATGCAACATGTAATATCACAGTAATATTGTGTAGTACAAGTGTACATTGCCATCTAACGTCAGAACATGCAATTACCATAATGACTATATGTTTTAAAAATGTCATTCCATTACTAAAGGCACACTCTTTACTGTGTTCATTCTTTATAAGAGCATGTAATGGGTGCATAGCAAGTTCAAAAACATTTTGCACGCATAATTCCTCGTAGTTGAAGCATGCCACCCATGACACAGAATGCAGCCACATGGGAAAGCTTCACTGACACAGGCCACTTTTAACTTTATCAATTACATTGTAGGCACATACAATTTAAGCTTATCAATTAATATCAAACAATTAAAATATGCACAACGTGGTTGAAGTACGCACTACGGACAAGATGTTGATATCGCGCTCAACTCCTAAAGGCAAAACTTGAGGGAGCCCCAATTTTTCACTACATTTTTTCTCCCATGTAAGATAGTTTTCGTACTTTGTAGGCATTTCTGCTACCACTGACAGGGCTGGAACGTCTCAAGGCAGTAGTATTGCTCAGTTGAAGTAATGTTGCAATAGTGCCAAGATAAAAATAGTACTAATGCTGTACATGGTGTGAAAAGTAGCTGCTTTTCATGTTCTTTACACTAGGCTTGCATTTCAGATGTGTGTGCGCTTCAGCCAAGCCAAAGTAAACTCTGTTTTTTATCTTTGGATGCCTTCCAGTGGCATGTGTGCAAATTAGCTCATGAAAAGTGTAGTGTAGTGGCACCTATACGACAGACACTGGTTCTTCATAACCATGTTGGTCAGTTGAGGTGGCAGTGACATGTTAATGACTGGTGTGGGCTTCTGCACACCTGGCCTTAAATCATAATTACTTCTTCAAAGCATTAAAGTAATCACTGAAAATTCACCTCCTTGTGACAGGTGCATAGTTCCATCTCTGCCGCCATGTTCGGAATTCTTGAAAGCCTGAACACACTGATGCGCGAGCTATTGCCAGCATTTCTTTTATGTTAGTGCCAATATTTTGTTACTTTAAACTTGTTTCCTTGAAACTCTTTTCTTTTCTGGAAGCATTGATCTCTAGCCTTTTTTTTTGCCCCTAAAGCTGCTTCAAATACTGCTTCAATAATTGATTGACATGGTAAAAAAATTCACTAGAGTTCAGCTCTAAGCACTGATTATTTTCTGCTGTGGTTCAGTGTGTACAGCTTTCGAAGGTATTAATCTTGCCAAATTTTTTATGTCGAATGCTTTGTTGTACAGATGACGTTGTCGTATCCGTTAGCGCTGGTGGTGTGGCCAAGGTCTGGACTCTGTCGCATGATGATTACAAGGTTTGTCTTATGACATGTATAAATTTCTTGAGAAATAGCCAAGGCTTCCTCAATTAGAAGAATCTGCTCTTCAAAACTCCAAGAATGTTATTTCTGTGGGCTCACGTTGTGTGCGCATGCTGATAAAGAATCGTAGGATGCAGATTTTTTTTCTTTAGAATACTAGCCAAATGTGTCTCTCTCACTGTTCAAAGCCTAGCTTGTGGCACAGTATGTCTGGTATGAATATGGTACAAATATGGGGATAATGTAACAGTGTATGCCTTGGGCTTCCATCATGTCAGGCTTTGTATTCTGTTACAGTGGAAGTGCGAAGGAACATAATAAGTTATCTGAGCCCGAAAAGGCGTGTTTTCATGACATCAATGTTTGAAAATCAACATAGTATCTTGTTAAACTTTATTTTATTACATTTAGGTTTAAATGTGTTCTAACTACTCCAAACGTGTTCTAAGCCGTATTGACCTAAAAATCTAAACTTGTCACTACAACGGCAGACTTTATTGAAGCATGGAAAACTCTCTCTGCCATTTAACTGTGAGATACTGAAAATTTTACTTCAGCACATTTGTTTTATCTTCAACTTTATTATAATATAAAGCAGCAGAAGAGACCATAAAGATATTAGGAAAATTTTCATGCGCATTGTTTCTGCCTTGAACTCCCTTTTTTTTTTAGGTAATGTGTCCACGGTAAATTTTTTGTTCCGCAGTTTTATTTTTGCTTACATGTGAAATAAAAAGAAGATGATGATAGCTACCATATCGAAAACGGTGGGAGACTGGAAAGATGGCCTTCAACAAAAAATATCACAGATGGCAGCAACGCATATAGCAGCGTTTGGCGTTCCACTGCAGTGCGACTTTTTGAATAAAGAATTGCTACTGGGGAAAGAAAGTACACAGTCTGCAAGTTATGACTTTTGTTGGCAGGAGCAGACGAGCTCTGGGAAGTGCAGCCATGTCCTCAATGGAACATATGTAAGGTGGCCACTAACAAGAAATCTCATTAGAAATTAGAACAACGGAAAAGAGAAAATGTACTTTTACAAAGATGCAACTTATTGCACGGTCATCGCCTAAGAACTTGTTTTGTATTTAATGAGTTCAAATGAGTAAAGTGTATGGAAAAATGTACAGGTGTGTCTGTGGATCTGATGGACAAAAATGCATGAACGAACTGAAACATCAGTGCCACTAGAAGGAACTGAAATGTAATAGCTCACTTGTATTTTCACAGGCATGTTATGCATGAAAAGGAAAATTAAATACTATTCGGTATGCTTTGTACATGTCATTCAGTTTTGTGGCACAATGTAAGGTGGAACTTCGTGCAGTTAGTTTTTTTTATTTGTAATATTGAATTATAAATAATTATTGAATTACAATTTGTTTGTCAAGGATGCTGCTAAAGATTATTACTGAGATACCTAGCTATCAGGGGCAATGAAGTATTGTATTGTTGTTCATGCTTTATTTCAATTGTTATTTAATTGCTGTATTGAAGCAGAAATGTCAGACCATTGCAGTTGTCATCTTTAGCGAACTAAATGTTTTTGTGTGCGGCTCGATGTATGTTTTTTGGCATAAAATTGTTCATTTATAAATTGATGGGCTCAACAAAATAAAATTCTGAGGCAGCTTGCATGTTCTGGCCAGCTACTTTGGCTTGATACAGCCACTTTTGACAAGCTAATGTATTGATTTTTGGGATCAAACTGATGGCTCAGTCGCATGTTAACTGCTGTGCAATGTATATGCACTATTTAAGATTGTTCATGTACCACATATTAGCATAGCAAACAGTCTCTATCAAAGTTGTCACTATACTTCTTACACACCCTGTGAATCTATTTGGACACCCTTTATTGCATTAGCAATGATACAGACGCTCCACCCTTCAAACGCTACCGTAAACTCATTTTTTGAAATTTTTTTGGTAGAATTTAAAATCCATATTTACAGCAAGCAACAATATGTAACGAAAGTAACGTTGGTTTTGACGTCGTTACAAATGAAGCAAATTTTTTTACTGCAGTCTCCGAGTCCATTGTACGAAAGCGAGTCCAAGATTCTCAAGTGCCTGCGCACCTTGTGGCTAGCGTGCTGTGCCTACAACCAGCGCACCATACTTGTGGTGACTGCCAACTCTTGGCAGGTGATAGAACAGTTTTCCTGCTTTGAAATTCCAATGTGCGATGTACACACTACTGCAGCAGAACTTGCCGTGCACAGAAACTATTGCAGTATCTATTTTGACCGTACTATGGTGCACTAGAGTTTACTTTTTTGTTTGTTTGTTTAGTACCTGTATCACCATTGCAGAAGGTTGACGGTACATTTAGTAAAAACATAAAGCAAATACAAATACACAGCATTGTATAAAGCCTGTCATTTGACGTAATACTGCTGTTCTGGTGGGAGAACATTCCACTTCTCTGTTGTATGAGGAAATAATGTGACCGGCACCCTCTATTGCCCAGAACTTATTTTAAACTGTCCAAGAAAAATTTTTCAGGCACAAACAACAGCTCACTATCAGTGATTTCCGTATTTGTCCATTTACAATGCAGACTTCACTTGAACAACAATATTCTAGGAACCACCGGCATTGTGCATCTGAATATGAAACGATGCTTGTGACAGCATTTCTCTATAAGACAGTCATCAAAGTGAATAGGTAATGCTTTCGCCACCATCCTATTTACTGTTGTTGCAGAGTTCTTTGGTTAATGTGGAATATAAGATGCACATTACTCTATAAAAGGAAGATGTGCCATAGCCCACAGGCAGCAGTGAAGTACTTTTTAAAGGGCTGACAATGAATGTGTGGCAAGTAATGAAAAGAAGGAAAGTGACATCGGTTTTGTTTTTTGTTTGTTTGTTTTCTTGGTGGGGGGAGAGTATTACTGGAGTTTCATTCATGCAACATTATTCTTGTTGAAAACTCTCTTCTACATCAACCATAGTTTAATGACTCACAATTTTCTTGATTACCTTTTGTCAGGTCTATGATGCGTATGACTTTGCGTTGCTTTGCTCAACGGACAGCCTGCCAGACCAGCATTGGATGGGAGGGGACTTCATCTCTGCTGATCGTGTGTGCATTTGGAGTGATAAGGGTCGTGGTTATCTCTATCAGCTTCCAGCCAAGTGAGTTTTGCTTAGTCGTACGTGCGGTGATTCTACTGATACATTTGTCAAAATAGCCTAAAGCAGAAGTCTGGGCATATCACTTGTACCAGTGTTATTCTGCAAGTCACAGTACAGTGCTAATCTAACAGTCGGGCGTATTGCTTGCTTTAAGAAAAAAACACTTTTTGACAGTTTTGATAAACTAGCTTTCAATGACAACAAATGATAAAAATAAACTTGCGTTTAGAAGAGGTATTGTAAATCAGAAAAAAATTCAAGAAATGCCAAGTGGGAATGCTGTCACTCAACGTGGCCATGACGACTTGAATATTGACCACATCTGTTCAGCTCTTGTTGATTTGGCACGGCAGGGTAGAGAGATAACCAAGCCAAAATGACCTCACTACAAGAAAATAACTAGAAATCCCAGACATCACACTGTTGTACCAGCACAAGGGTATTGATGAAATTACAAAGTAGAATATTGACCTTAAGTTTATCACATAATGATCGGTCTGTTACTACAAAATCAATGCCAGCCTAGTTCTTATAAAAAGTCTGATATACTGTTTCTGTTCGTACCTAACATTGATGCATCACGTATTTCTTGTGCTGCCACAGTGCCATTGTTGAAAGCAGGGACTTTCGCACTGGGCCCAACCCTGAAGATGACGCTTTCCTCTTCTGTGTTCTTGCTGTTCCCAATGATAAGGCAAGTTTCAGTCATGGTCAGACCATTGCAGTAAACAACTGTAAAAAAAATGGAGGACACCTCAGCTTCATTTTCATGAGTGAATGGTGATAGCCTAAAGATTTTTCGTTCACAACCGACGATGCCCATACCGATAGCAACACTGATGCCGACACTGAAATTATTGTGACATGAGCTCTTCAACTCTGTTTCATTATTATAGCCCTTGCAGCAGGAAATAGGTTCTGTTACAACATTTGTGCAGCATGAAAGCTCGAGACACTTGTTTTCATATGAATGTCTGTATATCGAACATGGGAAGAACGAATTATTCCAATGATCAAGTACTAAAACTAAAACATTTCTTTACTAGCACGTAACAGCCATATCCCAATGCTGAATACTGCAAAGGTTTGATTATGCCGGTTCCAACTTTGCTATTATAGTGTCGACTGTACAAAAAAAAAAAAAGGCAAAATTTTCTAGATGTCTATGAGAACATATCTGTCTATGAGAACATATCGGAGCAGTTGTTGCTAAATAGGGGAGTGGCTTTTGATGCATGTTTTTGTACTGTTTGTTTACATTACTGCAGGATTGATGAACAGGATGTTTCAGCTAACTTGCACCTTGTATATATAAAAACAAACACATGCACTATGCATATTAAATTGGCCCAGCATTTTCTATCCTGAGTCGTGTGTCAGAATATTTTTTCCAATCTGTGAAGTAGGGTAACTTTTTAATAAACAAATCTAGAAAAATCTTGCGTTATAGCACTTGTTCTGAAAGGATTGAATGTTCAATTCTTGCTTTATTCACTGTCAATTCAATAATCTGGGTGATTAAACAAAAATTGTGAAGTTAACCTTATAAAGTTTAATAAAAAATATTTTATAGGGAAGTTGTAACAGTTGTTCAGTGTCTCATTATTTCATCTATGCTGAGATAGCTGTTTGTTTTCCTCGTTTTCTCTAGAGTGTATGAAATAAAAAAATATGCTTGGTGCAAGTTCGTTATAATACTGTTTGTGTATGCACGTGTCTATAGACACATGCACACACATTGTGCAGATATTCTTATTTTTTTTAATGAGTACCTTACAGAGCTCTTGGGGAGGGAAAGTGTAAGGTAGCAGCACTATAAATACATACTCTGAGCCAATAATACACTTGAACAAAGACATTTGTTAGTGCCGAAGCAAAATCTACCTACTACAGATGTTGCATTGTGACAAAACCAATTTTTATGTTGATCTACCTTGGATGCTCTCTCCTAGAATTGGTGAGTTGGTCTCTGAACAAGGGAAAGGTTTTAATAGAGCGACATTTTTAGTAATGAGGTATTGTGGTAAGGAGGATCTACGGTGCTTAGTAACTGATGAGTCAAAAAGCTGCACACGCCATGCAATGCTGTGCTCATAAGCTGGCCATTGTTATGGGGATGCTTGCTGTTTGTTGTTTTTACGATTGCCGTTTCCAATCCGCCCATATATGGGTCGCTTTCAACTCCTGACAAAACTTGTGAATGTGTTCTGTATCCAGCTAGAATAACACGTGATTGGAAGCATACAAGAAATTAATGAAAAGTTACAAAATTCCTGCTTAATATAACTTGAGCAATGCTCCCGCACTCGCACATAAGTCAGCAGGGCGGTGCAACATGCTGAAAATAATGCTTACTGTACCAAACCAGTTTATGAACCGGTCCAGTGTTGCAAATTAAATTTTGAGCCATCGTATATATTTTTTAACCATAACTGAACCAGAGGGAAATGTAGCACGTTGGACCTGAATCAAACCTCTTTATTTCTCTTGTTCGATGCCCTACAACAGTGTTTAGTCACCTTATGCAGCAAGAAGGCATAAGCGTGCTTGCACATTGCATAGGTAGTTTAAATGCAGTTTAATAGTTTTCACGTCCCATCACAGAGGCTCACGTGCCGTCCTGCCATGGGGTACTTCTTGAGCACACGGGGTGGCTTTCAAAAAATGCTCCTCAGAGGAGACTCCAATGGATCTATTGTAGTATGGAACATTGTGGATGGAGCCACTTGTGATGTGACTCGCATACGCCAAAATAGAAATGTAATTCGTAAGTATTTTCATGCCCTCTCTTTAGTGTACCTTCGTGTGTTGTGTATATCTATGACTCATGATTTTGACAGTTGGCGTAAACATTTGCCTCGCTGCTCATGAGAATGTCATCAGATGGCTTTTGTTGAACTGGACGGCATGTCATCCTTTTTGTTTTGGTTAACAAATGCCAGCAATCTAGAATGTCTCATGTCCCCAAAACATAGGTCGAAAGGTATTGCATTCCCTGTGGAGCTTGAAACATATCTTGTAACGGCAGCCAGTGCATTTTAATCAAGGCTAAGGTAGGTGTAGTGATCTGGTTGTCGGTGAGTGTCACCAATGACCAGTTAGTTGCCGAGGCAAAGGGTGTGCACTAAAAATCATTACTCCCTGCGTGCACTTAAGCTCAATTTCCTGGGAGCTCCCACTGAATCGTAAAGATCTCTATCAAAATTAACGCAAGCTTAATTTCTTGCATGCCATGGTAGCCACATTACAGGAAAATTTTTTTTAATAACTGCAATGCTAGACATGCTGGCTCTTTCTAGCTCGATACAGTTTCACAAGAGCTGTGTCTGTTATTTCACATTTCCTTTGCACATATATGTTGTACTGTGGAATCTATATTATACATTTCCCAATCATGTGACCGCACACATTTTACAAGTCGTCTTGGTTTTCGCAAATGCCCCTCATACCAATAATGTAGTCTAATTCAGAGCCCTTCAACAACTGTGAAGATAGAAGACAACAAAGCTGTGACAATGGGGTGTCTGGTATAGTGAATGTATATATTATCATATTATCATACCGTATGCATATATTATCTTTACTGAATATATTGAGCGAATAGGTGACAGAAACTAAAAAAAAGTTCCTTTAATTGTTTCTTTAGTACATGATACACGTTATCTCATCAATGGCATCTCAAAATCAAATTTTGTAGTACATAAGAAACCCCACCCACTGTTTCCTAAGTACAAAAATAACGTGACATTCGTTCGTTGTGCATGTGGCCTTGTGCTTGAGGCAAAAGTCTTCTTTATGTTTACTTCTAAACATGGTCATTTTTTACGCATAAATGCTGGATTAGTCGAGCTAATCTGTTTGCTAAAACTTGTTGCTTACGAGTCTGCCTGACCCATACGCGGCTTTGCTGTAAAAACCTTGATTATACCTTTCATGTGTGAATTATGATACTGTCTGCAAATGTGTTGAATCCACACATTATTTCCGGGCTTTCCCCAGTGCATAATGCATATTATCTCATCAGTGGTGTCTCAAAATAAAATCTTGTAGTACATATAAAACATCACTGTTTCAAAAGTGAATATGATGTTGTCTGCAAATGTATAAAATCCACACGTTGCATTACATATATGCTTTCAATATTATATTTAAGTGAATAAAGGGAGGTTAAATGTTGTCATAATGAGAGAGTAATCAATTATTTACTGTAGGGTTGTCAATCATGTTCTATTTTTGCATATTACATAATAAAATCCTAGGGTGAAAATGTGTGAACAATTTGTTTCCAGTTGCAGTCATTTTGAGCAAAGAATAATACTTTTCACAATGCCTCTGGGAAATGCCCCGTCATATGAGTTGTTGAACATTGTAGTACCTTCACTTTGGTGAAGGCACTACAGTCGTACCTATGCTGTGCATTGAAGTTATGCAAAGGCATGTTGTCAGTGCGGGAGGTTCAATTCATTCTATGCACAGTGTACCTTGCCCTTTCTTCGCCACTCTAAAAAATTTGGTTGGAAATGTTTCATCCACACATGTGAAAACTGTGACTGAGGAGGTTGTGTGATGCAAGATGTGCGATGGGCCTGTACAAACTCTGCTAATATGCTCTGTCACGATTTGACACCATGATGCAATGTATTTACTGAATACTGTGGCCAATGTATTTATTGTTTCATTTATATCCTGGCGTACAGGCAATATTCAAACATGTTTTGTTAGACAGACGGTGTACTTTGACTTTTTTTTTTGGAACGTATGGATTCCCATGGACCTCCTCTAATTTAAAGCTTGCCTCTCCTTTTTTAAACAACAAAGTCAATTATTCTTGCTGTAGTGCAGGCATGTGGTGCTGGCTTATTTAAGATGTGTGTATCATTGTTTTGGGCAATTCTGCACTGCACTACACATATTCTTAGTTTTTTATCATACGATGATTTAGTGTGATCCCCGCATAGTATAATTGGGATACCGCTATACCAGCTGATTCAGAAGTTTTCAATGTAATTATGTTGATGGGCCACCCTGTGGCAAAAGTGGTTTAATGATTCAAAAGGATTGACTATACTGTGGTGCACGTGAGTAGAATCCTTGTTCTCTCTAAACTCTGCAAGCAACAGGGCTTCGAGTGTAGTACAGTGAACAAAACTGATACAGAGGCAGAGAATATGATTCATTGCAGCATTTATTTTCCCTTAAATAAATGCAATGGAACATTTACTAAATCATTCTTTTGCTCAATCCTGGTTAGTCGCGAGACACTGTTCAACTACACACTGCAGGTGCATATTTTTATATGCCACTGCTGGTCCCTGTGAACCAGTTTTGCAGTAGAGGTTTATTTGAAAGCGTGAAGAGGTGTACATACCATGCTTTGGGTGCCATTGTTTTTAGCAGTGATTTCATGACTTTTTTTTTTAGTGGTACAGTGGGGTTCATTGTTAAATAGAAGACATAATTGTAAATAATATACAGATATATATTTTCTCCACTGCCAGCATAAAATTGTCTGGTTTTATGCCAGACGTGACTCTGGTGATGGTTATATCTTTCTGCTCATTTGTACAGTGTGCTGATGCGACTTCAGCTAGCACTTAGTCTAACTCTAGACCAACACTGTAGGTGTTCTAAACTACTAGAGTGTCAACAAAGTGAGGACCTCTATATCTCCCAATTATGGTTTCTCATCAAGCGAAAATTGAAATGTCTTTCTTAACTTCAGTTCTGTGTGTGGAGAGCACATCAGTACAATAGCAAACTATTGTGCAGTTAATTATTCAAGGGAAAATTTAATTATTGTAGTAACTAATTTGTAATTGATTAACAAGACTAACCACACCTGATACCTCTATTTCATTTTATTAAGAATCCAACTAGTGCCAAGTGCTTTCAGTGTTTTTCATCCTTGAATGTTCCAGGCCAAGCGTTGCGTGCATATATTCGCAGGTTTTTAGAGTGGGCTTCACTGTACAACTGCGTAGCAGTGCCATAATCAGAGCTTTGACGTGGCGCTTGTTAGGAGCACTCTTATCACTAACAGGTCACAATTTGGCTATCTTTTCATGCCTTTTTTATTTTTATTTATTATTATTATTTTTGTTGCAGAAATGAACCCTTTTCTGAGCCTAGCTTTGCAGGATGCTTGGAATGAAATGAAGCCTCCGCCTCCTGGCATTCTGGACAAAATGGTTAGTCGCTTTCACATTGTCTGTTTGCTACCTATTCTGCACGCATGCATCGTTGCAGTCACAGCGACATGCCTGTGAACATTAGGGCCTCGCTTCGTGCAAATCAGTTTCAAATAACTTACAAAGCTCAAATGCGCTTGAGGTGCTGCCCTGGAATTTTAAAAGAGTATGAAAGAAGTTGGAAAAGAAAAGCCAGCTATTTTGTGCATTTTATGCAAGTAGTATACAGTTAAACCCCTGTATAAGAGGTGCACTCTGGGAAGCAATTTTTGTCTTTTATATGTGAGATGTCCCTCACAAGCAAGGTACCTCGCATGCATTTTCTTATCAACCCGCATTTTACTGTAAGCACACTGGTGCCTCTCATGCCCATTCATCTATTAAATTAATGTCTCTTATAAAGAGGTTCGACTGTATTTAATGTTGGGCATTGTAGTATTTGAAGGGTAGGTCTGGTATCATCACTTCTTGCTTTGCTCTTACATCAAACACAAGTGGTTTGATTTGTGAGCTAGAAGATACACCATATAAAAACGAGAAAGGTGTTGCTGTGTGCATTTCTTATAGCTTGACCTAACAAAGCCAGGCATCAATTTACACTGTGAAAAACTTAACACAATTTCTTCGCTTTCAAGCAATGAAGAGCACATTCACATATTTGAAAAAAGTGTTTTTGTGCTATAGACATAGCCGCATCTTCATTCACCCTGTACCAATAAGAATGCAAGAAAGAAATATATGTTTTTAAGGGGTGTGGCTCCAGCATGGAAAATCATTGTGAAAGTGAGATATGTCGTGCAAGCAAGTACATTTTGTGGTGATACATCCATAGGAAAAACAAAGCAATTGAGAAACTAGCATTCATTATTTGTTGGTAAAGCTAGATTTTTTTTATTTGTCATACTGTTAACCCTCACTTGAGGGTCGTCACAGGGAGGGTGAAGAATCGAGTTGCACAAAATTAAATATTTGAAAAATCGTAAGATGAACTCTGTAACATATAGCATAATTATATGAGAAACACAGTTACATGCTTTTTCACTCAATATATTTACAACATGATCTCTATGACCAATAAAACATTTCTAAGGAAACACATACATGAACACTGATAACTATACATTCTCAACAAAATGCCTATCATATAAGTTATAACCGGTTCTCATATGTATAGCAGGATAAAATGTGTGCATTTTAACAGTGTTGTTCATTTGGGTACACTCACTTGTATTGTAATTGGCCGCTACTCACAGATTGAAACACAACATCGGCACTTTTAGGATAACAACTGGTATGCATAACTGCTTGGGACAGGTGCATAATGTTGTTGCGAATCTGGCTGCTAAATGAAATGTTGGCTTCGATATGAGCATTCGAGTTTGAATTTTGGAAATACGCCCATACTACAAACAGTGGAAATGAATAAGTATGTGTATTACTTAGAATAAGTTGTTGCGTTTCAATGTAAGCACTACAAAATGATGGCATTGTTGCATGGGCAAGGGCCTCACAGAGTAAGTTTGAGCAACAACAAAAAAAAGATTCATAATGGTGTTTGGGATGGCTGCAAATATTTACGCTAGCACAAGTGTGAGCATGCTGCCATGCACCATGTGATCCGGGAATAATTCTAGACCACCTTATGATGGCAGCAAACCTACAATGAGAAAAAAATATGTACATTATGCAAAATTTTGTTCATAAATTTTTAGAAGCAGCTGCATCTCAAAGCTGGTGAGATATTTTAGACAGGATACTACAGTAGTAAATGTACTGCTTCTTTGACAGATATGTGCGGAAGTTACTCAAATCGGTAACATAATGGTGACTAGGGTAAAAAAAAAAAATTGTGGTTTCGGTACCTCTGTGTTGCCCTTAGCTTTCAGAAAATACAACACTTAAGTACCTGTGATTTTCGAAATTATTTTTCGAAGATTTTTTTTTCCATCTACATTGTCGGTAATGTAGAATGTGTAGCAACAAGTTTTCGTTTCACATAGGGCACTGTGAGAAGTGTCAGACTTTGACATTACTTTAGCTGTCATGAAATTTCTAACTCTGAAAGCTACACTTGCAATCGTTAAGACTGCTGAGAATACTATTAATAATACTCTTTGCACTTTAATGATGAGAACAAAGCATAAATAAAAATAATAATGATAATTTGTTTTACCATATGAATGGGTCCTCTTGTCTTCTGCAGGAGAACGTTTTTCAGATCACTAGCTCAATGCCTATTTGTCCCAATCTTAGAACTAACTCCGCAAACTTACACAGATGCCTGCAGTGCTTGTTTGTTTTCATACACTCTTACAAGCATTGTTGCTTGCTGATCCCAGGAGCTGCCTAAAGAAATCCATGAGTCGAGGCTTTCGGCCAGTGTCTATTTACCCCTGCAAGGACGCCTGGTAGTTGGCAGGGAAGACGGCAGCATCATTGTCGTGTCAGTCACCCAGGCTGTTATGCTGCAGATTCTCTATGGGAAACAACACCACGACGGTAAGAGCGTGGCACATGGCGAATGCACCATTCTCGTCACGATCAGTGTACAAAAAAAGCACGAGAAAGTGCACCACACAAGGGCTGTCTAACAACTGAAAGTTTAATGGAAGGAACATGTAATGAGTATGTTCCAACTAGTCCAATTTGCTACTTTACTTGAATTCAACATTGACATTTGTGTAAGAGAATCTGTGCCCTAAAGCAGAAAAAAGAACTACAAGAAGGCAGCATGTGTATTCAAATGAACTCGTGCAGCTGGTCTGACATCCAAACCATTATGCAAAAGTTGCACAATCACAGACACATAAGCAACGGAAGGTACACCTTTTATAGCTAAATTTTCTTTCGCTGGAAAGCGAGGCCTTCGTACATGTGAGCTCAGCATTACAAGGAGATTGTGGCACTGCAAAATGAGAAATAACAATGATAATTTCAAAGTGCTCCATATAAAAGCAGTGCCTTCGTAACTTGTTTTTTGTGTTAACCTGTACTCACAGATCAGCCACAGCTACTAGTGCTGAGCGGCCACGTCGGCCGAGTAACATGTTTGCTGTATCCGAACCACGTGCATTCGCGTTACGATTCTGGTATCCTGGTATCGGGTGGCGTGGACTTCTCGGTATGCGTGTGGGACCTGTACGGGGGCACGCTGCTCCACCGATTCTGTGATCACGCAGGCGAAGTCTTGCAGCTTCTTGTGCCTCCAAACGAATGCAATGTGAGTGCCCTGGCTGCTGTTTTTTTTTTAATTGGTGTATCAAAATGTTACAGATTCCCAGAGCTGCTGTGTTTGCTTTAGCTATACTGCGCTGCTTGTGTCTAACGTTACGGACAAGGACGACATGAAGATAATTCATGCACATGGCAGTAACGCTCAACAGACCACCATGTTGTAGTGTCTAAATTCAAAGCTACTGAATAAATATTAAATTAAGCCATCAGATCTTAAGTAGTGGAGACTGGCTGATATTTTTCAAGTTGTAAAATCTGAATTGGATAAAATTGATGTACTTACACAGCTCTGAGTATATGACAAATATGGCAACTAAATGTTAAACAATGTAAAAATGAACCATAAGTTGCAATAATGTATTCTATTTATTTGCTTAATGAAACAGTTTAAGTACTAAAGTTTGCGTAATTAAAGCATTCTTACTCCGATGAAAGTTACAGGGCTGTTTTACTTAATTTTTTCCCAGATTATTTCTTCAGTGGTGTCTTCCATAGCATTGCTTTGATCTGTGACAGTTATTTTCACATAGTAAGGACAGTGAAGAATGCAACAGTCAAACTGGTAAAGGTTGAGGTCTTCTTGGGCACACCTGTGCCCACCAAAATGAAATGCTCACGCTACTGAGACAGCGGTGAGTGTGGTCATTGGTTGACTTTATTCAAGAGGTGGGTGAATATTAGGGCGCTTTGAATGTCGAACGAATATTAGAGTATTTGAATTCATTTCTACACTAATTTAGATTATTCGAAATGAATGAGCATATGCATATTGAAGCTCAAATAATCCTTCGTAAAGGTGGATTCGCTGTAGCATGTTGCTGGTATGCCGTGAAATTACCCATCCAGAGTAAACACTCGCCGCCACGAAGCCATATTTCAAGATTGAATGGACATGTTACCTTCACTTCAATCATTTATGTTTTAAGTTTAAAAGTGTGTAATAAGAGCTTATATACTCTGGTAATTTTTTGATGTAGCATATTTTACCAAATATAGCTTGCACACTACTGCTGTGCGAATCCTTGTACTATTTAGTTTTTTCAGTTTACTAAAACTGAAGCTACATTCACACGCCAATCTTTAAAAACGTTATTTGGATCATGACAAAAATGCTTGTTTTCCTTTATAATGTGGGATATCTACTATATATTCGATCTATTCGACTCAAAATTATTCTACCAAATACTATTCGTTTTGAATTCATTTTGAACATGAAACTTGCTGTTCGCCCATTCCCTAGCTTAATCTTGTCTGGGAGTGAAAAGCACGGTGATCTGTAAATGCATCATGCGGAACATGAAATCAAGAACATACATGTGATGTACGCATAGCAATTGTGCATGTTACAAAAGAAGCATCTCCTAATTATAGTCTAGCATTTCACAGAGTTAAGTTTGGTCAATTAAAAAAACTTCTGCACTTGAAGAAGGTGTTTTTATAGGTGTAAAAGTTTTTGTAAGTTCATATTTAATAAACATGTTCTACTTTCAGCCACGAGTGCTTCAAAGCATCTGCAGTGTGGCCAGTGACCACTCGGTAGCGCTGCTGAACCTGAAGGAACGCAAACGCATTTTTCTGGCCTCTCGGCACCTCTTCCCTCTCACTGCGGTCAAGTGGCGACCCTCACATGACTACATGGTGGTCGGCCTCTTGGACGGCTCTGTTCACGTCTGGCAGATGGAGACAGGTGAGAGCGTTGAGGCTGTGCGCAGCCACACGGGTCAGGGTGCAGCTCGGGAGTACGTAGCTTAACGATAATTATTAGAAACAATGCCTGAATGTGTGCTCATTGGCGTGCAGCCACAATGAGCTGCCAACCCAAAGGATGGAACTGGACGTGGCATAAAACGATGGGGTTTCACAGTATTGCAGTGCATCTTGTCATTTTCTTGTAGTCGACTTCTTTGCATTTCCGACAACTGTGTAGCATTATAAAGAAAACTGCTAAGAAAAGAAAACAATGATAGGTGTTTTTTCCAAATATGTATATTAAACAGTGGCCCTTAATGTTTCCGTTGTTATAGAAAACCGTTACCCTTTCCCAGATTGCTCTGAAGTTCCTCCTCTTTCTATTCCAACCAATAAAAGGGGAGCAGCGAGAGCTTACAGGATGCCTAATACTACCTGTGTCAAAGTGCTGGCATATCTGGTGAGGAAGGGTTGGGCTTTCATGTTAACACTGGAATACCAGTATACTCCATATGGGAACATGGGCATACTAAGTTACTAACCTTTGTTTCCATATACAGCCTTTTGCACAAATTTGCTGGTTAGAGGCTACAGAGTGGGCACCTGATAAGTCCAAGGGAAACGTACACTAAAATGTTCAGCTTCTAGCACAATGTACAATGTGTGTTATGTGTCATCCTGTCCTCGTGTAGTGATGGAATATCAGCATGCCCAAACTTCGTTTTTTTTTCTTGAGCTTGAGTTTTTTTTAGATCGAGTTTTGGGCTCAATTTATTTACTAGTTTTTCACTCACTTTGAATTAGAAATAATTGAGACATGCATGATGTCTCGAAATTGTTTTAAGAACATTTTAATATAGACCGAGAATATTTTAGCTGTTTCTATATAGCTGTAACGAGCTGTGTGGCAATTTCAATGGGTGCACTTCTTGTTAGCCAATGCACAAATGAGCTTTTAAAAAAGAGAGAGTGAGGCATGTTGTAATTCTTCTTTATAGTTTCTTTTTCTTCTTTCCTTTCTTTTTTCTTTAGCAAGTGGAGATTTTTTAGAGAAGCTTTTGTGCTTCATTGGACATCAGTGGATCTGCAAAGATGATGGTGTGAACGGCAGATATTTTTGGTTGTACAGGCCATTTGGACCGAGTGCTTCGGGGTCTGGCAGCAGAGGAAGTCCTGAATGCATGCGAAGACTACTCTGGGCACCCAGCAGAACGCATGGCAAACGTGGCTGGGCATCATCATAACATGGCTGTAATCAGGCATGGCAGCCATCGTGGAATGGGCCATCGGCACCACTCTTCACACCACCATGCTTCAGGACACCAGGTCGAGAATATCTTTTATCATACGGGCTCTGAGTAAAAGCTCGTTCATACCTACGGCCGGCAGTGGTCACGTCGCCAAATTAATTGCACCAAGTTAATCGCTACTGGCCACTTTGGTCACAAAGCAGCTGCTTTGCCTCAGTTGCTCACTGCTTAACTTTTCTGTCGCACGACTGCAGTTTCAAAGCTCTGAGCCAATCAAGTGCTCAGGAACATCTTATTTGCATAACCTTATTTTGGTGTAACAGAAGTGCAAGTAGACATGAATTATGTACAGCAGGGGTTATAGATCGCATGCAGGTGTGAACAACGGTCACCGTGGAGTTGCTTTTTGGTTGCCAGTTGCAAATTGTCATGCAGTTCGTGCTATAGACACATGTGTGAATGATCCTTGTAAGTTTTATTGAATCGATTGGCTCTAAAAGGCCAAGGCCAGGTTGGTCACAACATGTGCTGTTCGTGTTTCAAATGTTATCGTTATCTTCAGCCGAAAAATTCAGTTGAAAGTCAGCACTGTGCCATGTCTACTTCTTATTTCATCCATGTTAATCGTGCTGTTAGCCACGGTGAACCTTAAAAAGTGAGGGACAGCGGACTCGTTAGCAATTGTGTTGCAGAGTGGAGGATTTCGACAACTTAGAGACATAGTTTTGCTGAGCTTGCTAGAATGTTGGAACATTTATTCATTTATTCAAGGACATACAGAATCAGCCTCTAAAGTCTTCAAACATGCACAAAGCATGACATGAGCTTTGACTCATGAATTAGTTGAAAACTTGATTTGCTGCGCAAGCTGAAAGAAAAACGAGAGAGGGAGACTAGAAAGAGCGCATTCAACCTCCCCGAAATGGTACATTCAGGAATATCTACTTTCATGGAGACTGGTGCATTCTTTTTAATGCTAATGTCATAAAAGTGCAAAATGGTAACTTCTCCCGTTTTGAAAAGACACAGTGCTTCAAGTTGTAAGGACTGCGTTGACAAGTGTGACACACTCAGTCTGTCTGAACAGATAACACCAGCAAAATTGCACTGCAGTGCAAGGAAAGAGATAGTACTTTAATTTTTTCACAGTTTTCCCTGGTCAGAGTGGACATTGCAGTGTTAGTAACAACATCGAGGATTTTGACAACCTGCAACAAGAACTGTAGCTACAAAATGAATAAGCATGAATTAAGGGGGAAATGGTTTTTATACATTATTATATTTTATGGGCTAGTGTGATGAAAACTTCAGCCATTCTGTATTTTCATGCATAGATACATATGAACATGGCTTTTGCATACACTGTCATGAGTACTAAAAATGAAAAAAAAATTTGAAATGGCAACACTGATCTTACTGAATTATTGGACACTGAATTCTAGATATGCCAAGGAGTGCAAGAGTGTAATTTTATATTGGCTTTAGTTTCCACAGAACGAAAGATATGTATTAAAGCATCAAAGTTCTCATTTCAATGAATGAAATATTTCAGAGAATAACCTCAGAAAGAAATGTATCAAGAATACTTGGGCTTTGTTGTCGTTGGCCAAATCTGTCTATTGTGGGATGACGCTCTTTTCCCGTCATCTCCAGTTACTCAGCTCTTGCTTTAGCTGATTTGGTATGGTGATGCAAGACAGGGCACAATTTTCGTTGGCACATAATGGCCACAACTGAAGGGTGCCATTTGTTCCACTCTCCGAATGCAGCATGGAGGACATGAAGCTGGAGATGGTGCCCATGCGCGATCTCGGGCACACCCGCTCATGGTTCAGGGGCTCAGGACCAACCCCAGTTGATCAAGACAGTCATGTGCTGTTCTTTGACATTGAGGCACTCATTGGTAGGCATTTTGCATGGCTTATTTGTGCTGCACATCTTGCTACTAAAGCCTGGGAAAGAAATTAGGGTTAGTAATCCTGCCATTTTCATTAGTGCAGTTGATACAAGGAAACAAATAAGAGGATACGGTACCTTGCAGAAAATATATATGATTATGCTTGTGCGAATATTCAAATGCTTGGAATATCTGAAAGAATAGTAGAGTATTTGAATTCACTTTGATTCGAACTTAAATTATTGAAAATTTTGAAGTATTCGCAATGAACGAATGTGTATATCAATCCACATGTAACTTATTGTAAAGGTGGTTTCACTGCAGTTTAGAAGTGTCAAGCCATGAAAGTGCATAATCAGAGTGAATCCAGTCTGCCACGAAGCCTCACATCACATTTAAATATTATCCTCAAGTTTATTCGTCTTTTCTATCATCTTACAAGCTTGTTATGCCTGCTTATATGCCCCTAAGTATAATAATTTTTTAAATGTTATATATTTTACAGGTTATCGCTTGTATCCTACCGAAAGTCAAATCCTGCTACTACTCTAAGTTGTTTGGGCTTCCTTTGATTGAAAAAAAAGGCATTTGCACAAAGGCATTATTTCAATTTTTAAAAAAATATTGTGGAGGGTATTTAACTCATGATAAATATACCCACTTTCTTTACATGTGATGTATAATAATAGAATTCAATTCAAAATTATTTCGCCAAAATTTCTATTTGCTTTGAATTTGCTTCAAACCTAAAATTCACTATTCGCACAAGCATGATTAATTAATTATGATTAATTGAATGAAGTTAATTGTGCAAAGTGAGAAGTTGACTGACCAGAAAGCATTAGGTGCATGGTGGCATATTGCCATGTGCTCTGCTGGCCACCATTAAATTTTTGTCCCAGCTCCACATTGCCTGTCTCTAGGCTAGGGGTATCAAACCTGCCTCGTCTAGCAGGCTGCAGTCATAAGGGCTGAGACCTTGATGAAGGTTGGAACTAAAAGTTGGGGAAGGGGTAAGCAGAAAGTTTGACTAAAATGTCAGCTTATGGTGACACTTAGCAGGTCTTTCTCATATCTCTGAAGGAAAATGGCGACGTCATGTTTCGAGAAACATACACTGGTACTGATATCTAGAATGACTGAAATTGGGACACCTTTATGTTACATTCTACTGTTATGTTTTATGACTTGGTGAACACATGGGAGGTGGCCTTACGAAAATATTGTTTGAAACCACTAATATGATTATAGCTCATGAATGTACATATTAAGCAAATTAAAGAAATATTTGGGGTGAGAACGGTCATGTGCAGGTTGTACAACTAGTGAGTGGTCACCGTGTTGCATGCTTGAGACCCCTTGCTCTAGACCTGACCAATGCCATTTAATTAAGCTTAGGCAACCTTAAAGGGACAGTAAGAAGAGAAATGGTTTTTCTTAGGTTCGTCACTTACTCTTTATGGTACAGATTAGACCACACTTGCTGCGAGAAAATGTAAAACGGAAATGTGTCTGGCGATGCCACTTGAAGTTTCTCCACCAATTGCAGCGACATCATAGATTTCGACAGCATCTGCTAGAGCCCACATACTTTCTAAATGGTAAAAATAAGGTGCATTATCTTCTGAGGGAGCCAGAATTTCGGCACACTAATTTTCGTGAAAATTTTGGTGGATTAATGTGGTCAAAACATGAAAGAAATATCTTGAAATGTTTCATGTCTTTACAAAAAAATTTTGATTTAAGTTTTGACATTGATTTTCCATTCTGTTAATGAACCTATGGGAGTGAAATTATTTACACTAGTTTTAAGAGTAAAATTCGTCAGTCCAGAGTGTCTCGCAATAGTGTGCCTTTAATATTGTGGATTTATCCCTAGCCAACAAGGCAGCAACTTTGTTTGATGGCTGCCTTGTTAGTTGGGCTGTAGAATGTACAACATTTTGAGGGCGTGCACAGCACACCATACAAAAAAAATTTTTGGCTGTCGTTTTGCAGCTGAGAGTTAGAATGACAGGGAAAAGAAAAACATTTTAGATGGCTGAGAAATCTTGCACCTAGCAAATGTAATATCATACTCTATTCCGTCTTCCTCATCTTTCATTTCTCCTTACTATACTTGTCTACCAGCTGTCAACGCTTGCTCGTGTTTGCCTGTTTTCTGTCCCTGCTAGATGCATTGTTTTTGTTGTTTCTTGCCTTGCCTGATCCCCAACTGCACATGTTATTCTTTATCCCCGTCAAGGATTTCTGAATTCCCTGAAAGGAAGGCAACGCAGGGATGCTTCCACTGCTCGGGCGGGGATGAGCTCCTCACGGGACATGTCACAACTGCTGGCTGAATTCAAAGGTGCAGCTTCTGCGTGTATTTGACACCAGCAAAAGCTACCAAAAGTGCATGAAATACAATTTAAAGCTATACATATTGCTTTCAAGCAAAATAAGCATATATGCGGGGTGTTTGGGTCCCGCCAATGGCTTGAACCACGTTGCCTCTGGATGACACTAGCGGCCATAGTACTTTTGTGACTTTCAGAGCCAGATTAATAATATTTTATTTTTGGGGGCAAGAGCACGCTTATTGCCACTTATATGATGAATAATCTTTCCATTTCTACAAAAATTTTTCAAGCAATATTAAAACCTCTGAAACCTAGGTGCATGCCTGCTTAAACCAGATATAGTAACTTGAGTAATGGAATTCCCTAACAGATCTTTGTGTTTGCACCTTGCAGTGCATATGCAATCCGAACAGAATTTCGGAATGGCAGCAGGTACGCTGGAGTTCGGGGGCCACATCAATCAGTCAGAGTACCAGAAATACCTCGCCTTGTCTACGTCACCAGAGGCACGCAAAAAGGCATCCTCGGGTATGTTGAGAGGCCCTTGCACAGATGTGTCTTGTACAGATAGAATAGGAAGCCTATATGTGGGGTGTCAGACTGAAGTGCAATATTTCCTGTGGCTGGGCACATGGTTTGTACTGCACATGCAGGCTATGAGCTAAAATGGTAATGATATTTGATTTTTCTTCTGGAACCTTGATTCTGTAAGCTTATATGCTTGGCTCTGCACATCCATCATAAAATTCAAGAGATGGGCTGCTCGCTAAACAAATGATAAAATGAGGACATATACAGGATGACAAGTGCGTGTGAAGAAGATGATCTAAACTTTGTGTGAGTTGAACTTGACAACGGGCTTGAGTTTTTCTTGCAACCCCCTTGCTGTTCCTTCTTGCTCTCAAGGAAGACTGCAGGGTGGTATAGATCATGAGTGATGCTAGCAAAACGCATGCCTCAGTCAGCTTAGTCTCGTCACTGCAATGTGGTCAAGTTGTGATGATTACTTTAAAACATGTGGCAGGGTCACGAGATGCTCGAGGCAGGTTCAACTTTGTGAACATATCAAAGAGAATTCTTTTATATTTTGTTTGTGCTAGGTCGTGAACTATCAAGGCGACTTGCAAAGCTCAGCAGAGAGGGACTTTGTATTAAGGCTTCTGCTAGCCCAAAGCCATAACCTGAAAAAAAAAAAAAAAAAAAAATTGTGGCAGCTTTGCAATACTGGTTGACTTGCAGCAGAATTACAGCTGGGTTACCTTTGTTTCTCTTTTTCTATCTCTCTCTCTTCATTTATTTCTCACTTTTTCTGTCTTTGCCCTTTGGCCTTGCTCTCTCTCTGCTTTGCCCTGCCATGGTGGTCTAGTGGCTAAGGTACTCGGCTACTGACCCGCAGGTCGAGGAATCGAATCCTGCCCGCGGCGGCTGCATTGGCGGCTGCATTTTCGATGGAAGCAAAAATGCTGTACAGGCCTGTGTGCTCAGATTTGGGGGGACGTTAAAGAACTCCAGGTGGTCGAAATATCGGGAGCCCTCCACTACGGCATCTCTCATAATCATATAGTGGTTTTGGGATGTTCAACCCCACTTATCAATCAAACCTCTCTCTGCTTTCTCTTTCTATATTGCCCTCTATTTTTCTACCTTTTTCTCTATTTCCTTCTACATCATTCTCCTTCATTGCCTTTGTTTCTATCTTTTTCTCTCTCCCTCTATGTTTTTCTTGATCTACCTTTTATGTCTGCGTTTCCTTTTACTCCATTTTTCTCTTTCTCTTTATTTCTCTCTTTCAACCCTTGCCTCATTTGCTGGGCGCAATCGTGGGGCTTGCTCGATTCCCGTGGCACATACCCTCCCGAGGAGCTATCTGGTGACATGGCACAAACTGCGGCAAGCTACAACAGCCTCTCACGGCATGAAAATAAAACTTAATGGTGGCATCTCATTAGAAATTCCTCCTGTTGTTTTTTAGCTGCGAGACATTAGACATTCCTCAGTTCCTCCTGTGTGTTTGTGAGCTCATTGATGAACTGACTATTTTTTTATTGCAGCAGTTCAACTATACTGTTTAAATCATGAAAAGGAAGCCCTGGTGTAAAAAAAGACATGAGGAATGATCACGAATTGGCACAAGCATCAAAAAAAGATAAAAAATACATGAAGGATGGTCTTAAATTGGCACAAACACAAAAAGACTTTGAAATATGTTAACTGAGCTTAATGTAATGAAGCGCTAAACTGCCTCCATTAATGACAACAATGAACCACGATATGTAAGATGACCTTGTCATTTAGATACAAGACAGCTCGTTTCTTTTCATACATATTCAGAATTTTTGCCTGTAGCATTCCGTTCCATGTTATAAGCTTTATGGCAGACATGATTTAGCCTGTGATAATGGTCTTCAAATACCATTAACTAAGCCAGTGTGTATGCAGTTAGCTCAACATATATCTTAAATTAATTGGGCAATCTGCACAAATTTTTGCCATTTAAAAATTGCTGCATATCATTGCATGACCTCATGGTGCAGGTTTCATTGCCAAAGTAAGAGACACCGCAGAGAGCGTTGGAATCAAAGTGAGAGACACGGCACATAGCGTTGGCATCAAAGCAGACCAGGCATCAGGCGGAAAGGTATGCAGCCTTATTTTCTAGCTCTTGCATAATCTATTGTAATGCATCCCATTGCTCATTTTAAACTGCTTATTCATGGAAGATAATGAAGGAGCTTGAACAGTTGATGAAATGAAAACTCAAAGGTGTAATACTTAAGGGATACAGAACATAAATATGAAAAATGTTGAAAACGTTTGTGTTCAACCTTAAGGTCTATCTATTCTGATAAACGATGTTTATTTCACATATATTTGAACAAATGCACGTCTCTTTGGAGGACCATCTTTTGGAGGCCCACCAGCATGGGCAGAGTTGTGCATTGACGGCTGTGATGTTATGTGTGCCAATGCTCACAAAAGCAGCAGCAACATATACGGGTGCTTTTTTGTGCTGCTACTGCCCTTTCACCACCTCTCCTCTACAGTCCACTCTCTCCCTCGACATAGGCACTGAGACACACCTTTTTATCACTGGAGTTCAAATTTATTTCGATAATTTGGGGTTCATTGATACGTGCACAAGATTTGCATTTTACCCCCATCAAAATGCAGCTGCTATGGTGAGGAATGGAAGCCAAAACCTGGTGTTTGGCAATGCAGCACCGTAGCCACTAAACTGTGACAGCGCCGTTAATTAATGCCATAGCCATCCTATATGGCATGGCAAACGTAGGAATCTTATAGGTATGGGATTATTGAGGGCTGGTGCAGGAGAGGCCCTGCAGTGGAAATGATAGATTTTTCGATTTCAAATTGTTTTGAAAAAATGGCAGTGGCTTAGCTCAGCTATGCCAGGATATAGGTAGCGTTAGCAAAGGTTCAGCTGATTATTCTTAGCTTTCCATATATCATGCTTACAGCTGTTCCAATGACACACACACGGTATACGTATCATGTGGCACATGTATATTGTCACGGGGTCGTGACGTGGCCGAAGACAGGAGACTTCGTGTTGGGATTTAACTGTTTATTTGGGCGAACCTGTGCCCAGTAAACGGAAAGTCTGATTACAGCAGCAGTCTTGCACAGATAGCAGTCTCGAACTGATAGCGGCGAACGGAGCGTCGGCCTTCGTTCAACTATCGACAAGCGGCGAAGCGCGTCGGCATTTATACTCTTGCCATCGAATGTGCTAGCGTTATCGCTGGCGGTGGCGTAGGTTCCAGAACAATCTGTACCATTCGCACAGTGGGCGTGATCTTATCGAAATTATCTACTACAGTCCGGAACCTTCTCGAAAACTGAAGGCGTGGTTTGCGCTGAGAAACGTGCGGTGTTTTGGGACGATAACGAAAACTTGGGAAATGGAACCTGGCATTGCCCCCCTCTGAAAAAAGGCATCGTCTTGATGCTTTAACTAAAAATGAAGGTACAATAATAATGCAAGAAAGTACAATGAATAAATTACGATGAAACAATAATAAATAAAAAACACTGTTTCAGTTTGTTAACGCGCATGAAACGGCTTGAGGCGCGCAACATGCACGACTTCAGGTCGCGATCGGCGTCGTTGAGAGTTCGTGATGCCGTCGGGGACAACCACGTAATCAAGTGGCCCGAGACGTCGAACCACCCTGTACGGTCCGAAGTAGCGTCACGGAAGCTTTTCACTTAGTCCATGTCGGCGTATCGGCGTCCACATCCAAACACGTCCACCGGGCTGGTATTCCACGAAGCGTCGTAGAAGGTTGTAATGGTGGCTGTCGGTCGTCTGTTGATTCTTGATACGGAGACGCGCAAGTTGTCGGGCTTCTTCGGCACGTTGAAGGTACTCGCTCACATCGAGGCTTTCTTCGTCGGTGACGTTGGGTAACATGGCATCGAGCGTCGTTGTCGGGCTCCTTCCTTCGACCAATTTGTATGGAGATATCTGCGTCGTCTCCTGCACCGCCGGGTTGTATGCGAAGGTCACATACGGAAGAATGGCGTCCCACGTCTTGTGTTCGACATCGACGTACATTGACAGCATGTCGGCGATCGTCTTGTTAAGCCGCTCGATGAGGGCGTTGGTCTGTGGGTGGTACGCTGTCGTCCGGCGGTGGTTTGTTTGGCTGTATGCCAAGATCGCTTGAGTTAAGTCGGCAGTGAATGCCATTCCTCTGTTGGTGATAAGGACCTCCGGGGCGCCGTGACGTAGGACGATATTTTCGACGAAGAACTTAGCTACCTTGGATGCACTGCCTTTTGGCAGAGCTTTTGTCTCGGCGTAGCGGGTGAGGTAGTTGGTAGCTACCACGATCCACTTGTTTCCGAAAGCCGACGTCGAGAACGGCCCCAGTAGGTCCATATCAATCTGCTGGAAAGGTCGGCAAGGTGGTTAAATTGGCTGCAGAAGTCCCGCTAGCCTTGTCGGCGGTGCCTTGCGTCGCTGACAGTCCTGGCATGTCCTCACATAACGAGTGACATCGGTGGTAAGACGTGGCCAGTAGTACCTTTCTTGAATCCTCGCGAGCGTGCGAGAAACACCGAGGTGCCCTGCCGTCGGATCGTCGTGCAGGGCCTGCAGCAGTTCTGGTCGCAAAGCTGAGGGCACCACAAAGAGGTACTTAGCTCGAAGTGGTGAAAAGTTTTTCTTTTGTAGAAGACCGTTTCGCAGGAAGAACGACGCAAGCGCGCGCTTGAATACCTTCGGTACTTCGGCGGTCCTGCCTTCGAGGTATTTTATTAGGGCCTTAAGTTCCGGGTCGGCCCGCTGTCGTTCAGCGAAGTCGTCTGTAGTTATCGTTCCCAAGAAGTAGTCGTCATCCGGGTCGTCGGGTAGCGGTTGGTCGACAGGCGCACGAGAGAGACAGTTGGCGTCGGAGTGTTTTTTGCCGGACTTGTAAATGACAGTAATGTCATATTCTTGAAGTCTCAGGCTCCATCGTGCGAGGCGACCTGAAGGGTCCTTCAAGGTGGCTAGCCAGCACAAGGCGTGGTGGTCGCTCACAACTTTGAAGGGCCTGCCGTAGAGGTAGGGGCGAAATTTCGACGTAGCCCAGATGATGGCGAGGCACTCCTTTTCTGTTGTGGAATAATTTGCTTCTGCTTTGGATAGCGATCGGCTGGCGTAACTAATAACCCTTTCAGGTCTGTCAGCCCTCTGCACAAGAACGGCGCCAAGACCTACGCTGCTTGCGTCAGTGTGTATTTCTGTCTCGGCGAATTCGTCGAAATGGGCAAGTAACGGAGGCGTCTGGAGGCGATGTTTAAGCTCCTGGAAAGGGTGTTCCTGTGGCGTTTCCCACTTGAATTCCACATCGGCCTTGGTAAGGTTAGTGAGAGGATCGGCGATGCGGGCGAAGTTTTTCATGAATCGCCTATAATAGGCGCACAGGCCCAGAAATCGGCGCACGGCCTTCTTGTCAGTGGGCGGCGGGAAGTCGGCAATGGCGGCTGTTTTCCGTGGATCGGGACGAACTCCAGACTTGCTGATAACGTGCCCCGGAAACAAGAGCTCCTCATACGCAAATCTGCACTTTTCTGGCTTCAGTGTGAGTCCGGACGTCTTGATGGCTTGAAGTACACACGACGGAGCTTTTCTTCGTTGTCCCAGTAGTTGAGGGCGGCCACACGGTCATATGTTTCTAGCCAGGTTTCTGGGTCTTCAAACGATGACCCATGAAACGTTGGTGGTTCCCTGGGTTGATGAATGACGATCGCGGGCTGGGACGCTCCGGTTGTCATAGTCGCTGCAGTAGAGGTCATGGCCTTGGCTTTCCGCGCCTTGTCTTGTAGAAGCCCGTACTCCGGTGGGAGACCTTGCTGTCGGCGGCTTGTTCGCTGCTCTTGGTTGGCGTCGGTGTCTTCTTCGCGACGTGGGCTGGGTTCACGGCTTGACGGGGGCGTCCGGTACATGAACGAAGCAGCACCTCCACCAGATGTCACAGGGTCGTGACGTGGCCAAAGACAGGAGACTTCGTGTTGGGATTTAACTGTTTATTTGGGCGAACCTGTGCCCAGTAAACGGAAAGTCCAATTACAGCAGCAGTCTTGCACAGATAGCAGTCTCGAACTGATAGCGGCGAACGGAGCGTCAGCCTTCGTTCAACTACCGACAAGCGGCGAAGCGCGTCGGCATTTATACTCTTGCCATCGAATGTGCTAGCGTTATCGCTGGCGGTGGCGTAGGTTCCAGAACAATCTGTACCGTTCGCACAGTGGGCGTGATCTTATCGAAATGATCTACTACAGTCCGGAACCTTCTTGAAAACTGAAGGCGCGGTTTGCGCTGAGAATCGTGTGGTGTTTTGGGACGATAACGAAAACTTGGGAAATGGAACGTGGCAATATTTATTTTGCCAGGCAACTACTTCGGAATCCGATGAGTTAAGCTTCTCCGCTCTACTGCACCGTTGAGCAGCATTTGCACTCTCCTTCTCCATGGCTATACCACAGTGGCAAACGCCAGTCAAAGGTGCTGTCAAGCGGCTCCAGCGCAGTGTCAGATGGTGACTGCACAGGGAAGGCACGCGCGTCGGCGTCCATATGTCTACCAAGGCTATGACGGCACTCCTCTGGAAAGCGCACACCGGCGGCGGCGAGTCGCGCGCGGCCGATAGCGAGGGAGGTGCCGGCTTCGGTGCGTGACACCACTGATCGCCTGTGCAGCGCATTGAATTGCGCGCACACCGGTGGCGAGTTGCGCGCAGCAACGACGGAGTATCATTGCCCATGCGCAGACCAGTGCCACGCGAAATTGGCTCAGTGAGGCCAGTGTAGCTAATTCTACAAAATATCACCTTTATTTGCTCACAGCTCATAGTCTTTTTTTCTTTAAGACGTATGTTTCTGTCTACGTTTTGACATGGCAGCACTTAATCGTTCGAGATGTTGTTCATAACTATAGTACAGTCAAGTCTCCTTAAAAAAAAATTTAACCTGGTGCCCTTTCATATATCCAATATTCATTATAAGCACATATCTTTTTTTTTATATGTATCACTTTTAGCTATAAATGCACAATGCATGTACAGTTCAGTGCTAATTATGTCACAGCAATGTGTGCCATTGAAACAGGGTTATTTTTGGCACAAATTGTCAGTGTTCTTGAAGTAATTGGTGATCTTTGCATTCCCAGTTGGAGTAGCATTTATTGTTTTGTAGGCCCCATTCAAAATACTCTCTGCTTGCCTGTTTTCACAGGTAGGAGACATGAAGAATGCAGCAGCCATTGAAGCCAGTGCCAAGATGACACATCTTAGCCGAGCTGAGACCAATCTAACCATGGAGATTTCACAGCTACTGTTGTCTGTTCTGCATGCTTGGGGTCTCGACCCTGACCTCGACAAGGTGAGGCTGCCAGTTTATTGTGAAACACTGTCCATCGTGGATGTACTGGCTTGCTATATGGGTAATTTTAATTGCTATACAATTAAACCTCATTAGCACATATTTGCCTGCCAAGAATACTGCATGGCTAAACAGTGGTAGCAAGTAAAAACCATCAGGTACAATATTGTATTTCCATACGTGCCCTACTTGTAGGATCCAAAAAAAAAAAATGGGATGGCACGGTAAATGCTGCCTAATGCACCAACAGCAGGGCCTCGGCTTACTTTCACCAAAGCACAGAAAACTAACAGTACTAACAGCAGTAAAGATACATGCATACTGCCAAATTTGCACTTATTGTGATCAGGTTGGCAGCGATAGCTGTGATTTCAATGTGTACAATGGCCGGCACCGTAATCTATGAGGGAAGAGAGCATGTCAATGTTTTTTAGTGACGCAGGCTGCAGTGCCGTAGGAAAGCTGTCAACGCAGCTGGCCACTGTTCTTGATTGTGAATGCTTCACAACTTCGCTGTTGCACATAAGATCTATTGGCTGGAATGTGTATTGTATGCCTGTAGTTTGACGATAAGCTGAACATTGGTGCTGATTAATCATGCTTGCCAGAAAGGTAATAACAGGTGGAAACTAACAGGCAGAAAGTTACTAACAGGTGGAAATGAGCATAACAGTGTGAGGTCATTTTTTGTGCTCCCAGTTGTTTCGCACAACTGTGTTTGCCTGTCTGCACTGCCGTGAGCAGACAGGCAAATACAGTTGTGCAGACAGGCAAACACAGTTGTATGTGTTTGCCTGTCTGCACTGCCATCTGCTACTGAGCGACAACTGGTGTAATTTCATTAAAGTTCAGTCACTATTGCTGCATGGAGCCATTTATTCCAAGCTAGTTACACGCAGTGTGTTGCCTACTAAGCTTATGCTGTCACTGCTGTGGAGCTTTCTGTGCTAAATGTGTCGTCTCTTTGGGCTGCTATGGTGCAACCGAGTGGGTGCTAGACCTTGCTGTTGTCTGCCACGTACGACATGCACAGGTATGTGAAAGTAAGCTAGGACTACTGTGCCCCATGCGACCCACCTGCTTTGGCCTGCTGTCCCGGGGCCACCACATGAGCCTGCTGCTTCCCACCCACATGTACAGCATGATGCCTCTCTCTCCAAATGCTGGATCTACAGGGTAAATGCTCTTGTTTTTGTTCAGTCACAACCAAAGCAGTACATGAACTCAGAGTTGCTTCATCATTCCACAGGCCATGTGCCTTATGTTGTATGGTGTGTCTGTGTTTCTCGTCTCTTTTTCTACCCTATTTTTAAGCTCGACCATCCTGTCCTTGTACCTGAATGCAGGATAACTTGCTGGACTTTTTCTTACACCTAATTTCCCTGCCTCTTTTTTTCTGTTCCTCTCCCACTTGGGATCCCACATCTAGCTCATAAAGAAGCAGTGGTGCTGTTTAGAAGTTTTCCAAAAACAACTTTGTAGCATCAAAGGGTCATAAATGCCGGCCATATATGCTGTCATTGCTGAGGCCATGTTGATTGGCCCCCATGCAGGAAATTTCGTTGCTAATGATACAAATACCAGGTAAATCTTTTGCAGAATTCTTTTTAAAGAACTTGATTGTCGCTACCGTTTTGATTAATCATTGGATGGTGCATAGTCTTTACACAGAAAAATTATTTCCACGTCATAGAAGGGAAGCACAGCGTTGTTTCTACTTCGCGGCAGAAAACACAGATATGACTGCCAGTCTTAACATACGTTGCCCATTGTTTCCGATGAAAAGTCTATATAACAGCAACGACTTGATGCCGTGATGCACGTTGATTATCATGATAAGATTGTTCTAGCTTACCTGTCATAGCTTATTCTCGGCTTTTCATGCTGTATGACATTGCCAGTATAGTATGTGGTGTTCCTATATGTATGCATATCAGTCCCATCGGCATCTTGCTAAAGCCAGTCATTTTCTTCTTTGCCTATGCTGGAGTGCCTATGAAGACACTATGTGCATTACAGAAAGACAGTTGTCATTTTAGAGGTCAGGCATTAACATTTTTTTATAAAGAAGCCCCACAAACATGAATCTTGAGTGGAAGGAATCGATGTAAATTGTCTTTTCAATATTTGGCTGTTGATCACAACGAAGCAGCAGCGGCAGCAAGGAGCGTAAGGTGGTGACCATGCCAGTGCCCAAGGAGCAGATTGAAGAGGAGGAGCGGGCACGACGCTTCTCATCGAAAGGCCACTGGGAGTTATCGACCGCTGTCACGACCAATCACCTGCTCTCCGCGATTGCCCTGGCGAATACCTTCAAGTCGATGCGAAGTGCCACTTTTGTACCCGAGCAGGAGAAGCGCCGAAGGCTGCACAGGTGAGTTCACACTTCAGAAATTCCTGGGGAGGCTTACAATATGCTGCCTCTTAAAAAGTTGCTCATAATTTTCACACAAGCAACAGTAGACCACCTTTGTGATCGTAACGTGCTAGTTCAAATAGAGGAAATAGTGTCTGCAGTTTTATGTTCGTGGCAAAGTTTAACGTTTCATGCAGTTACTTCTGTCTGCCAGAAATAAGCCATACAAGCCTTCTCATATAATTTATCCCACACAGTAATTAATTATATGAGAAGCAGTAGCAGCCTGTACTGGATTTTTCACTTTGAACCAAGCATTATGAGGTGGTTTGGTGCTTATGAGGCATGCCAAGTACGCTGGAATTTAAAAGGTAGCTCATCATCTGACCTAATGTTCACATTCACGTTAGTGCAGGGATGTTAGTTTCATTGCCACAAAGTGCGCGATGCGGTGTGATGTACGTCATAAATAGCAGTCATGGGTGTGTTCGGGCAACACTCGACTACAATCTGGGTAATCGTATGTGTACATACGTAATCTATATTACATTCATATAAAAGCAAGTATCCTCCACTGCTACATAAATAGGCCTCCTGAGATCATGCTTGTATATGTTCTTTTTCGATCGAAACTCTTGCATGACTTCGTGGTAGACTACTTCTGCCACGCAAAATACCCAAGTTCAGTTCCGGCTCAATACGTGACTTTTTTTGCTTTCGTAGGGTTATTGAACCCTTCGACAAGACAGCTGACACCAGAATCACATTTTTGCTCTACAAGCTCCTTCACATCCTTCGCTTCGGTTAAAACGTTCTTCGTCTCAATTGATACAAAATGTGCATCACCTGCGGCACGTGCCTGCACGTCGCATGCCTTGGTGTGCAGATATGTTCTGCATGTGACCGGTGGAGGGGACTTCATGACGTGTGTGTGACTGAGAAATCAGGTTTTTCATGTTGTCAGCTGTGAATCGTGTTCATCATACATTCATGTCCTCTTATGCCAATTTAGGCATGTTCTAAACTAAGGAGACCACGAGAGTGCTGAAACATAGGCAGCTAAATAGATATATAGATAGATAGAAAGAAAGTCAAGGTGCTTTTGGTCATCCATAAATGCTCCGCATTTAGAAGGTTTTCATATGTAGCATGAAATAGTGAAAAAAATTATCTTTCTTTACCATGTCTATTAAAATTGATCGCTAGTTATCGATGCTTTGAATCGTTGATTTTTGCAAGTTGATTCATTTTTTTGTGCATTCAGCACTTTTTTGCATTTAGTTCTGCCATTGATCTTTCAGAATCACTTCTGATATGGCCATTTTCGACAGACCTTTGCACAAACCAATGTGTGTGTGTTATTAAAAAAATTAACTTGTCTGGGAAACTTGACAGAAGTTTGTGCTCCTTGTAGTTATGCTACGGTAACATAAAAGTAGTGGGATTAAAAAAAACCTTTGAAAGTCAGATATCAAATTATGGTTTGAGCTGCACAATCTGACAGTGTTGAGCAGTAATAATTGCCTCATATATATGCCAGCTATTAACTCAAGAGCTGTCTGAAGTCAGAGATTTCTTATACAATATATTAATAGCAGAGGTCTGCGGCATGTATATCGGGTGGAGGTGGCCTTTCAGCCAGGTTCTGGCAGCTTCTGTTTCACTTCTATTGTTACATCATACACAGAGTCGCATCCAGTGTTGCTAGTCGCTCATATGACCGTGGCGCGACGCAAAAATGGGTGCGCAGCTGCACCACGAGAAATGCTCGCCGCTCAAACCTATCTTGCAACCGCATCTCAGTCGAGCGACAACGAGCTTTGAGTTCGAGGATGACAGCACTTCAGGTTCAATCTCTGATTGAGACAATGTTTTGCGTCAGCCTGGGACATCCGCAGCCGTTCAGGGTTTGGTTTCGTTTAGGGCCTCAAGTGTCTCCTCTACGTCTGCTGACATTTTTACACAATCCTAGAGCTACTCTGGTTACGTGCGAGGTCCACACGTTGCTGGTGTGCAATGGTCTGGTGCCGGCTGCAGAGCTTCTCCTCACAACAAGAAGGCCACCGGTGCACATCGCGCCCCATCTTATGGAGCGGGCTTGATTTCATGTTTTTTGTTGAATACTATCTGCAAAAATACAAATATATATTCTTATATGCTGTAACGAGGGCAGTGGGCATGGAGCTCGAATATAGAAAAGGAAGAAGACTTGCTGTGATCACAGGCTTGCGTTCAGTTAGCCCTTGCGCTAAATAAAGCTCTCGTGCCCCGAGTCAACTCCCGCTTGTTCAGCAACCCGTTTCAAGTGGTGGAGGTGCTGGGTACATCTGGCCCTCACCCTGGAACTTCGCAGCCGCACACTCCAACGACCTCCTACAATGACTGATCCAGGGCCATCTCAGGCCGCTACTTCAGATCTCGCACCTGTGCCTGTCTTCTGCGCTGGCGCTCTCCGGCAGCGCGACCCCCCCATATTTGGTGGCCCAGAGGACCAAGATGTAGACAACTGCACTGCCGAGTATGAACTGGTGAGCGCATACAATAAGTGGAACGCAGCCGATAAGCTCACAAATGTGAGTTTTTACCTGACCGATGTGGCAAAACTATGGTACAGAAATTATCAAAGTGATTTCAGTACCAGGTCGGAATTGGCGAAAACTCTCTCGGAAGTCTTTGGCCGTCCTGCTGTCCGCCGTCTTCGTGCTGAACAGCGCTTGCAGGGCAGAGTACAGAGAGCAGATGAAACTTTCACAAGCTACATCGAAGATGTGCTATTTCTCTGCAAGCTCGTCGATTCAACTCTGGACGAGGCAGGCAAGATCAAGAACATCATGAAAGGAATCGACGACGGTGTATTCCAAATGCTGGCTGCGAAGAGTCCCCAGACGGTCGCCGAGGTGATTCAGCTCGGCCAAAGCTATGATGAGCTGCGTAGGCAGCGCGCTTCTACACGTTGCGCTGCTCAAGATACCACGGACATTTCATCCCTCGACTATCGCCATGACACCGCCGACCATTCTGCGTTGATGCCACTCATAAAGCAATTCATACGCGAGGAGGTCGCCCTGCAGCTATCTATAATCACAAGAACTACCGAGCCGATGGCACCCTTGTCGCCTTCGCTTTGCCAGGTAATTCAATCGCAAGTTGCCGAAGCATTGCCGCCAGCTCAGGCTCCACCAACCGTTACCGCACCACTAAGGTATGCAGCCGCAGTTGCTCGGCCACACGCGCCAGCGTCTCCAGCCATCTACGAAGCTACTCGCCACGTTTATTCGCCGACGCCACCTGCCCGCTCGCTGACCGTCCCATCTCCGGCTGTGTACGAAACAGGTCAGAACGTTTATATGACGACGCAGCCTGCACGATCATTTACGGTACCTTATTCAGGGAACAGTGCCCCCACCGTCAGCCAATGGCGCACTCTGGATAATCGGCCGATATGTTTTTCATGTGGCATCCCAGGCCACGTAGCTCGTCACTGCAGTCGTCGCAGCTTCCCTTCTCACGACATTGGAGGGGCCTCACATTGCGTGCCTGCCATGTCCACTCAGCCGCGATATCCCGCTCCTGCCGATCCACCTCTAGACGTACGTCCCGGTCGCCGACCATCCGGCTCAAGCCATTCACCTTCTCCTCATCGTCGATCTATTTCTCCAATGTTACGTCACAACAGCCCACCGCGAGGGGAAAAGTGACGGGCGCAGTTCCGGAGGCAAGAACTGCGTTGGCAGCGAAAATTTCAAGACCTAACTGCTGTCCCCCGATTGAACTCGAACTCTATATTGATGGTATTAAGGTGCACGGACTTGTTGACACTGCAGCTGCCGTATCTGTAATTAGCGAGAAACTGTGCCGAACCTTGAAGAAAGTGACCACGCAACTTACCGACCTATCTTTGCAGACAGCTACGTCCCATCATATTCAGCCTTCAGCTTTGTGCACTGCACGAGTCGTCATTCAAGGTGCGATGTATGTCGTCACATTTATAGTTTTATTCCGTTCTTCGCATGACGTTATCCTTGGGTGGGACTTTCTTTCGTCAAATTCTGCTTTGGTCGACTGTGCTCGTTCCGAACTCGCGTTATCTGTGCCGTGCTATGACCCCGACGATGGCGCTTCGTGTAGAGTGTTTGCTGCTTCTGACGTTGACATTGCGCCTTTCTCAGCTGTTGTTGTCTCGGTGTTGTGTGCCTCCCCTCCGAAATCGGCTGTGTTGTTTATGCCATCGGTCCCATCTGCGTGCCGTCGAAATATCATGCTTCCGTTTCCCGTCGTTGTTTTTCGCAACGGTCACGCTGCCATTTATGTGTGTAATACCTCAGACAGCCCATCATCCCTACTACGTGGAGAATGCTTGGGAAGCTACGAACCTTACAAGTGCATTCTTACGGCTACTATACCCGGTTCTACGGTTTCGCTCCCAATTTGTGCTGTCACTCCTACCAACGCGCCTAATGAAGTTCTGGACATATTCTCTGATGCCATCGACTCTGAGCTCTCACCAACTCAGCGCGAAAAGATTATAAATCTTCTACTCCACTTTCGCTCTTCATTCGATCATGACCAGTCAGACTTAGGCCGAACCTCTGCGGTCGTTCACCGTATTGACACCGGTCAACAAGCCATGCTAAGACAGCGTCCGTACCGTGTGTCATTTGCTGAACGCCGTGTCATCGATGAACAAGTGGACGATATGCTAAAACGTGGCATCATCAAGCCCTCCAACAGTCCCTGGGCTTCACCGGTTGTTCTCGTCAAGAAAAAAGACGGATCCATCCGGTTCTGCGTTGACTACCGCCGACTCAACAAGATAACGCGCAAAGACGTATATCCTGTGCCGCGGATCGATGATGCTTTGGACTGCCTACAAGGAACAGAGTTCTTTTCTTCGTTAGATTTACGCTCCGGCTACTGGCAGGTGCCCATGGCCGAGGGTGACCGCCCGAAGACAGCCTTTGTAACACCGGATGGGCTATATGAATTCACCGTTATGCCCTTTGGCCTCTGCAATGCGCCTGCCACTTTCAAAAGGATGATGGATACCATCTTGCGAGGTCTGAAATGGAAAACGTGCCTCTGTTATTTGGACGACATTGTGGTATTTTCAAGCGACTTTGCGACCCACCTCAGCCGCCTCGAGCAAGTTCTTACGTGCCTTTCCACGGCGAGACTTCAACTTAACTTGAAAAAATGCCACTTTGGCGCTCGCAAGCTTGTAATTCTCGGCCATGTGGTTTCTAAGGACAGCATTCTCCCGGACCCTACGAAACTTAATGCAGTTGCGGCGTTCCCAAAGCCAACCACCATCAAAGAGCTTCGAAGCTTCATCGGCCTATGTTCTTACTTTCGGCGCTACATCCGCAATTTCGCCTCCATTATCGCCCCCTTGACCAATCTTCTTACCGGAAGTTTTGATTTGTCAGCGTGGTCGCAGGCGTGTGATGATGCATTTCAGGAACTCCGACGGCTCCTCACCACGCCTCCTATACTCCAACATTTCGATCTGTCTGCTCCAACAGAGCTTCATACGGACGCTAGTGGTGTCGGGCTAGGGGCCATACTGGCCCAACGCAAGGATGGCTTTGACGAGTACGTTGTTGCCTATGCCAGCCGCACCCTTAGTAAAGCCGAGAAGAATTACAGTGTAACTGAAAAGGAGTGCCTCGCCATTATTTGGGCAATCGGAAAATTTCGGCCTTATTTATATGGATGTCCGTTTGATATTGTAACAGACCACCATGCGCTTTGCTGGTTATCTTCACTAAAAGATCCTAATGGTCGGCTCGCTCGTTGGGCATTGCGGTTACAGGAGTTCGATATCCGTGTTATCTACATTCTGGCCGGAAGCATTCCGACGCCGGTGCCTTGTCACGTTCGCTATTGGCTTCAGAGCCTGTCGGCTTGCCTATCTCCACCAGTGCTGCCTTGGCCATCAGCATTTCGGACATACCTTCCGAGCAACGCAAAGATGCTTGGATTTCTTCTCTTTTGGACTTTCTCTCAAACCGGACGCCCGCTCCAGTTTCCAGGACGCTTCGCCGTCAAGCAGGACACTTCGCTATTCGGGATAACCTGCTTTACCGCCGAAACTACAGCTCGATCGGCCATAAGTGGTTGCTCGTCATTCCCCGACATCTGCGCTCTGACATCTGTGCCACGTTCCACGATGATCCGCAATGTGGCCACGCTGGTGTGTTAAAAACATACACTCGTTTGCAGCTGCGGTACTACTGGCGCGGTATGTACCGTTTCGTTCGCCGTTATGTAAGGTCTTGCCTTAGTGCCAGCGACGCAAAATGCCCACTCAACATGCCACAGGTTCCTTGCAGCCGTTGCCATGTCCAGCACGAGCTTTCGATCGTGTCGGAATCGACCTTTACGGTCCGCTTCGCTATACTTCGAGTAGCAACCGCTGGGTCATTGTCGCTATCGACCACCTAACGCGGTACGCTGAAACAGCTGCGTTACCTTCTGCTACCGCAAAAAACGTTGCATGTTTTATACTGCAAAACCTGGTTTTAAGGCATGGAGAACCTCGGGAGTTACTAAGCGACCGCGGCCGCGTTTTTCTCTCCGATGCCATCAAAGCGTTGTTGAGCGAGTGTCGCATCATACACCGCACTACCACAGCCTATCACCCGCAAACTAATGGGATGACAGAGCGTTTTAATCGTACACTTGGGGATATGCTGGCCAAGTACGCTTCATCCAACTAGTCAAATTGGGATAGCATACTGCCTTTTGAGACGTATGCTTACAACACTGCAACGCAAAGCACCACTGGATTTTCGCCTTTCTTTCTTCTTTATGGACGCGAGCCATCATCAACAATGGATACCATTCTTCATTATCCACCGGACCCTTCAGAGATGACTACCGTTTCTCGAGCAGCAGCACACCTTGAAGAATGTCGGAAGCTTGCTCGTGCGTTCACGTCACATAATCAGACGCGCCAAAAACATCGCCACGACGTGTCAACCACGCCTATGAGCTTTGCTCCGAACTCACTGGTGTGGTTATGGATTCCTTCTACTCCTCCAGGACTCTCCCTCAAGCTTTCGTCCAGATACCATGGCCCTTATCGAGTTGTACGCCAAACATCCCTTGTCAACTACCTTGTCGAGCCGCTGGATGCATCTCCGGACAAGCGCCGTCGGGGACAAGAAATCGTACACATCTCTCGGCTCAAGCCATACCATGATCCTTCTGTGTACACCTGTCCTTAGGTCGCCAGGATGGCTCCCTCATCGCCCGGAGGTGATTGTAATGAGGGCAGTGGGCATGGAGCTCGAATATAGAAAAGGAAGAAGACTTGCTGTGATCGCAGGCTTGCGTTCAGTTAGCCCTTGCGCTAAATAAAGCTCTCGTTCCCCGAGTCAACTCCCGCTTGTTTAACAACCCGTTTCAATGCACATATTGGAATGCCGTCCAATGCAGAGAGAGGTAGCTCATTGACAGAGGTGACCCTAGATGAACTGGTGAAGTTCATTTGTCATCTGAATTACATAGGCATTGGAACACCAGCAGGCTCTTCTCCTACAAAGGTAAACATTTCTTGCGAAAAATGCATGAGTGCACCTGTGTCTCACGAAAACTAGGAAATGCTTCACCACGTGGCATGAGCCATGAAGTAGTATCTTGTTTCAGATTGTTTTTGTATGTCTTCAAAATGTATATAATGAATTTTATTTTGTTTTGGATATTTTTGAATTTATAGTGATTATAATTGTGCTGTTCATCAGCTGGCAACCGAAAATTTGAAACTTTTCACATTTTTGTACATTCCAGAATATTTTTATTGCTCTGCGACTTATATTTTTCGAATGAGCATTTCATTATACATCATTTAGTACGCCGTAAAGTGCGCTGGAATACTTTTCAAACTGGCAAAAGCTTTCTTTCTGAGAGATATAGAAAATAAGCATTTTCTCCTGCTATTGATAGAGGCATTAATGCTTAATAATTTGTCCAGGTCTGGGACTCAACCATGCCAGTTTACAATTTGTATTTCAGACCAGATTATTCAGAAACTGGGAAGCTTTAATTTATGAGAAATGTGTGGAATTGGTTTATTTTGTGCTATGAATGAACAATTTTTTTTCTTCTTTCAAACTTGCTGCACTTTCTAGGTGTCTGGATGTCTGCTGAACTGATTTGTCAGGACCCAAAAAATTGCATACTAGAGTAAGTCTTGTTGCATAAGTTTGTTAATGCCAATGGGTTACATAGTAGCACGAGATTAGAAAAGAGATCAGAGAATAGAAGTAGTAGGGAGCAGAAAGTTTAGCGCCCGACCTTTCTGCTCCCTCCTACTTGTGTTCTCTGGTTTGTGTTTTCCAAGCTTGTGCTACTCCCCATTGCATACTAGAGTTGAGTATGTAGGTACTGTATTTTAAGCTTGTGGTTGTACTGCTAACTCTTGTCGGTGATGCAGGCGACTGAGCCGTGCCGATAGCCGTGCCTTCATGATGACGCCTGCTGAAGGTGTTGTGGACAGCAGCGGTGCCCTGGCTGTCCTCCAGGAGGTTCTGTCGCAGCAGCAGGCTGACATCAGGCAGGGCTGGAGCTTGCTGGCTGCACTACACACCATCCTGCTGCCTGACCTGGTAGACACGGCAGATTTCAAGCAGCCTCAGGTCGAAATACTCGCCCGCCGGTGGCAGGACCGCTGTTTTGAGGTAGGCTCTTCTTGCCCCTCTCTTTCACACTGAGACCGTCTTAGTCTACCCTGTGCCATCATAGCAGCAGCAGCAGCAGCATGGCATAGAAATGGCTGTATTTTCTATTTATATTTGAACTCTCTGTGGTCATAAATAAAGGCGAAGTTTTCTTGTTTATTTTTTTAGGGGCGAAGCTCCTTTTAGCGGCACCCCTTCGTCCCTCGTAGCCTTAGTAGTAGTGTGTAACAAGTATTACATTTTGACCTCCAAGGTGGTGCCGGTGAGAGATTTCTTCTGTGCATTGTTGAACAATAAAAAATAGTGCCCAATGTACATGCCAATGGCTGCTAAGGGGGATTGAGAGACAGGAGAATTCGGCTTTTAGTTAACGCGCATGCTGCGAATTTTTTATTGTTCAACACCACACAGAAGAGAAGAAAGGGTTGCTACGTTATTCTCGCTGAGCATAACCTCCTAGGTTTTAGAAAGATTTAGGGAGCGTTGGGCCGCAGTGCCATGAATACAGTGAACTAGTATATACCATGAATTCGAGGTGGTTAAAGGTAGGAAGTAGACACGAAGCGCAAGCCGTAAGAAAGTGTGCGTGTGCCTCCTCTCGTTCAGTCCTTGGAATGTCCGCTGGATGGCGGTGCTTCTATATGAGGAATATATGATGAAAAGATGCGAGATGGTGGTACTTTGAGTGTTGAATAGGTGGACGAACGGACACACAGACAGATGCATGGACGTACGCACGGACGCATGAATGGACGCAGGAGCGGAAGCATGGACGAAAGCAGGGACGGACGCACAGATGAACGTGCAGATGCATGAACAGACGCACGCACGGACGGTCGGATGGACGCACGGGCGGCCACACAGACGCACGCATGGATGGACGAAAGCAAGAACGAATGGACGAACGGATGCTTCGCCATCTATGGCTTCGCCCCATTATCCATCATTCACTCCGTGGACATGCTGCCATTTTTTTTCATTGGTGTAGGATGGTGTTTCGGTGTTCTGTGGTTGCAGACCTACGAAGTGCAATTTCACTTTGGCTGAATTTATTGTGAGCAGTTATATATGCTGTTGAGGCTTCCTTGGCGAATGCCACAGAACCTGTGATGATATAGCTTTCTGTGAGCATCCTTTAAGGAGCATATAAGTAGATGATGCTTGTGCCTGATGGTTGTGCTATGATGTAGGTTCAAGAACACTGTCTTCAGCATAATTTAGCACCCTATTTTCTCAAAGGTTGTGCTGAGCAGCACTCGCGTGTCAGCAAGGTCATACCTGTGTTGTGTGGGACTTCTAGTGGTCCTTAATGATGGTAAATTAAATTTTTCTTCAATTAGCATAAAAATCTCCATTCTTTTTTTCAAGCTTTCTGTTACACTTTCATTTGTATTTCAGATGTTAAGCCTTACATGGAGGTTCCTCTAAACATTAAATTAGGCTTTTTGTAAGTTCTAATGTTTTTCTGCACTTGCCTTTGAAAAAAAAGATTGGCTTAAAGAATCAAGATTGGGTTCGGATTGGCTGTGTTCCAGGTGCGCGAGGCAGCTCAGTCACTTCTTCTTGCGGAGCTACGGCGCATTGGTCACAAGGGTCGCAAGATGGTTGTGGACGAATGGGCCATGTACCTGCCCAAGTACATCGATGCCTCTGCCGCTACACCCCACATTTCGGCTGGCGGGCCCACTGCATTAGCACATCAGCCGGGACAGGCAGCACAGCCGGTGCCTCCTCCTGACGGCGGTGGCATCCCGCTCTCTCTTGCACGCAAGGCATGTCTCCAAATTTTGAAGTTTTTTACATTACCTGTGGTTACAGGCATGGAGCTTTTTGCAATTTACTTAGATGAAAGTTGCCACAGTTTTGCTCCTGTATGCATTATAAAATGTCGCTATAGAGTTGCACTTCAACTGCACATATTATAGGGCTGAACATTGGATTATTCTTTGAAAAGGCCACAGCTTCCATTCTACTTGGGGTGCTATGATCCCAGTGAATGTAGGTAGAACCAACAGGCACTTTTGTCACAAATAGAAGCTATTTTGATGGATACACTGCTGCAGAAAAAGTAGCCGACTAAAGTTGCTTTAAAGATGCACATAATTCTCCATTTCGACAAGGCAACTATCAGTCGAATTCGAATTCCGCCAAATTGAAAAAAAGCGGAATTTTGCCAAGGTGGCTTTATAGCAGTGCTTGAAAGCTGTATAAAAAAAGCCAGCTTTGCAAGAATATGTGGGGTGGGGACATGGGGTTAGAGGGGGGGGTTGACCTATAATCAAAACTAGTTTTGGATTCTAGGCCAACCTTCTCCCAACTTCGAATTTCAAAATTAAGACGAAATGGGTCGACCTACAATGGCGTAAATAGAATAAATTTTTTTTTCACACTGCCCATTATGCAAATATGTAGGTGTCTGTGTACTTTCTATGAATGAAGATATTAGCTACCTCATTTTATCATAATTGAGCTGCATTTTGTTCTCGTGGCATCATTGCTTTCAAGTTCACGCTGATGATGCTTGCATGACTTGCAGGTTAGCATCGAGAGCTTCCAGGTGAAGTGTGCTCCTCCCAGCCGGGCCTCCTCAGGAGGAAGCACACCCTCGGGGCTCAAGGGTGAGACGCAGTCGGTGCGAACGACCAATGAGCAGAACTCGTCTGACGAAGACGTGGAGGAAGAGAGAGATGGTGAGGATGAGCGGGCACCCACATTGCGCTGCATATAAGGGGGCATGCTCACTGGTGATAAGCATGCTCATTCACCCACTTCACTGTTTTGAGGGACAAGTGAAGAATTGCCAAAGTGTATGTGTGAACATGAACGTGTGTGAGCACAGATGTACGTTCTTATTTTCTTCTTTTGCTGTGTACTAAATTAATTCAGGGACAGAACTTTGAACAAAATACATCTATTCATGCCTTTCTGTACTCGTCTTTTTATACATAGCACATGTGAACAAACAGTAGCTAAGTGGAATACACAAGATGCGTGACTGCCGTAGAAAGTAGGCGAAAGAGACACATTTTCTGTATGCCAGCATGTATACCAATTAGCCCAGCAACAAGTATTGTGAAGTGACCCTAACTGCCTGCCTTCGCCATTCATTTGAATCAGTGAAAGGTGGGAATTGTGTAGTCCATGCAAGTAATGAATCTATTTCCTAAGAATTGTGGGTATCTTGGTCTGTTGATGGGAAAATGCACATATTTATAATATCAGTGATACCACACTGTATTGAGATGGCTGGAAATGGATTGTTGGTTTAATCTATAGACAACCATTATGTGACTTAGATTATGTCATGAAAGGCGAGTCACTTGTCTGAACATATTACCACAGACCAAGCATTTTGCGACAGTTTGCCGCATACTTAGTTACTTGGGAATTATGTTAGAGAAGTACAGCTTGGCATTGTGTTGGGCACAAAAGTTAAGGTTTAATTCCAAATTGACACAGCAGCCATGCTATCCAAGAAACTGCATGACTGACAAAAAACAGGGCACGGGCAACTATTCAAATGACTCCAACTTTCTTCTTGTCTGCCATTTAAGATATGGGAAGGTCTAGGTATTATTGTTAATAAATTATACAGGCATAGTTGTAGAAATAAAAGAATGCTTTACATATAGATTTTGTGTAAATATTTGAATGCTTTGAATATTTTAATGACTAATGCAGTATCCGAATTTACTTCGATTCAAATTTAAAGTATCGAAAACTTCAAAGGATTCAAAATCAACAAAATGATGTGTATTAGTTCACATGTATTTTTTATAAAAGTGATTTCATTGCAGTTGAGGTTGCTAAGCCGTGAAAGCACTTATCTAAATGTATATTAATTTGCATGTAATCTCTTGTAAAGGTTGTTTCACTGCAACAGAAAAATGCTATACCGTGAAAACACCTATTCAAAGAAAATACGTCCTGCCACAAAGCCGCACTTCAAGGATGTGAGGGTAATGTGTTCATTGAGGCCTCACTTTAATGCTCATTTTATCCTCACTTCGATTCATAATTGTTTTTAATTTTAGGAACGTGTTATACCAGCTTATATGACAAGTATGATAAATTTTAAAATGTAACATATTTTATAGGTTATCACTTGCATTCTGTCAAACGTCAGATCCTGCTATTACTCAAAGTTGTTTTCACTTACTTTGAATTGAAAGAATGGACAGACCTTGTATCAATTTTTATAAAGATATTGTGCAGGTTACATAGTTCATGACAAATATGCCCATTTTTTTCATAAAGTGTGATGCATACTATTCAAATTCAATTCAAAATTACTCGCGCAAAATCACTATTTGCTTCGAATTCACCTCGAACCTAAAATTCACTATTTGCACAAGCCTATTTTCATGCCCTCGAGAATGCTCTGTAGTCAAGCAAGTCGGAAAAATTAGTTGCGAGCAGCACTTCGAGAACACAGAATACGGAAAATCAAATTGAAGCTAATGCCACCTAGCATAACAAAAAATATTCACATAAGCTTAGTTGAATGCACAGTTAAGTCCTATTTAACAGTCAGTTATGTCAGTGTTTCTTTATTCTACAGAACTGACACTGCTAACATTTACGACCCTTGGTCTGAATACATTGTTCTTTTTTGATGGGGTCTATAATCATTCTATGTCGGCATGTGGCAAGGTATAAAAGGGCGAAATTCGCACCAGACAAGTGTCTTAGCAAGGCTTGTTTTGCCTTTATAGTTTATACTATTTGCCATAGCATTCTTGGGTCACAATACATAGTACCTTCTAATGCTTCGAGGCTTTGATTATCTGCATGCACTCAGGTGGGAAGGCGACCAAGCACTCCTGGAGTGCTGCTGAAGCCCGTCGAAAGCAGTCTACAGCCATTGTTCTTCTTGGTGTAATTGGAGCCGAGTATGGCCAGGAGATGGAACAGAGCAAGCGGAAGGGCGCTGAAGACCAGAAAAAGAAGTCTGTTGTGGAGGGATTTGGACCCACCAACTATTCTCTTGCACGGCAGACCAGTGAGTCTCCTCGTATGAGTGTCATTCATTAATTCATCTGTTCATTGGCATGAATGACCCTCCACTTTAACAATCAGACATAATAGTGTTTGATGAAAACATTTAACAATAAGACATAATAGTGTTTGATGAGAACATTATCATATGCTCTAATTCACATTCTTTTGTATACACAAATGATTTTTGGTAGTTCAGAATGAAATACTGAATGTGCTTGATTGCAGTGAGAACTTTTTCATGCTTTAGTGATTAAGGTTAATGCAATATCTATGATTGTCCTCTCACCAGGCAGGTGAGCAGTGTTTGAAATAGTTCTAACGTTGGGGTAGTGGAAAGGGAGTGATGTGTGTGCATGTGATCCACTGCCACTGAAGGCACTGTGGAGTTTGTTCTGACAAAGCACTGGCTTATGAGTTGTTTTCGTACTGAAGCGCAATAAAACATATGCCTAGCCCTAATGTAGACACATTTAAATATCAGATTTAGCAAAGGTATTTTCATGGATAAGGTTGGATATTGCGGCATGGAAAAGTGTACGATCGGAAAGAGGGTGGTGTTAGAATGTCGAGTTACCAAAGCATTTTAGCCACAAAGAAAGCGCTCTGCAGATTGAAAAAAAAAAATTTGAAGAGAATGTAATAAGCAAACTAAATGTTAACTGAGGAGTAATTTTAGACGTCTAAAGCACCACAGGAAGAAATAATCACAGAGAAAGAGCGTCACCATTCGCTCTTTCTCTGTGATCATTTCTTCCTGTGGTGCTTTAGGTGTCTAGAATTACCCCTCAGTTTGACGAACCAACTAGCCCAACAACAAGTACTTCTAAATGTCAACTGTAGTTAGAAATGTTAACATATGCATGCAGTTACTGTTCACTGTCTTTTTTTACGTGAGCATGACTGGGGCTTTCTGAGAGTGAACTTGTGTGACTGCAGGCCAGGCACTGGCACACCTGCTGCTGACACCTCCGTCTTCATCTCTTCCGGCTCACTCATCGCTGCGCCGAGCGGCCATTGACCTGATTGGCCGGGGCTTCGCAGTCTGGCAGGCGTACATAGACGTGTCCCGCGTGCTGCTTGGTCTGTTTGACCTCTGTTGTGAAGCAGACAAGCTGCTCCCCAGGTCAGTGCCTTATCTTGTATTCTTCTGTCCTGGTGGCACTGCCTGTCATGATAGTTATGGAGTCATGGAAGTGCAGCTGATAAGCGTAAACTCTGCAACTTCCAAGTTACTAAACATTTTTTCGCAAGTCTCTAATAGTCTTACATAATATTCAACCAATTTCTACCTTGTGCTCCATAAATACTGGAAATAATATCCCTTCACTTGTATCATTTAACTAGAGTGAAAAATCAACATCAGTGGTAACGTGCTTGCATCATGAGCGCAAATTCTCCACCTTTGAAGTGGTGAAGCTTACAATGAAATGGTAAAAATTCATTATTCTGAAAGACTGGAGATCTCAACTTAAGAATGAGAGCTGGCTTCCAGCTGTGGACAATATCTGTTAATAATAATGGCTAGGGCTTTACGTCCCAAGTGGACAGCATATATGTGTACAGCACTTATTTTTATTTTTATGCAAATAGAATAGTTGGCAAGCTCATTTTTTGCTGATGTACGTTATGTTGACTAGCAAGACAATATTACAATACATGACAATGCATTTCGAGGACACACTGTGGTGTCTTTTTTTTTTTCTTCAGCATAAATTCAGCCACATGTATAAGGAAGCAAGTGTACATTTAAGGGCTCGTTTTCATCATCAGCCATAGTGATAATGAAATCTAACCGACAGTCATGCCAAGAAAAGTATAGGGGATGCTATTAGAAGCAATTGTAATGAAAGAAAATAGGACAAAAAGATAACGTGCCGTGGGCACGGACCGAACCTGCGACCTTCGAATAATGCATTTCTACCAACTGAGCTACCACAATAGCTATCGCCCTGTCCGCTTTATGGGGTGCATTAAACGTGGGAGTATCAGTCAGCGCCACCAGTAGCCATGTTGGCGAGTGTGGAACACTCTTTATCTGCCTGTTTGGCTTCACGTTGCATGTGAACTTATTACGAGCTGGTAGCTGACCAATAATCCCTCACGTACCACCTGAAGGCACCAAGTATGCCAGAACGACACCCTAATTAGGACTTGTTTTCTTCATCCACTTTGTCTTTTTGTCCACTTTTCTTTTGTCACATTTACATGACAATTACTTCTAATAGCATTCTCTATACTTTTCTTTGCATGATTGTCAGATCTCAATAATATTGTGGCTAACCACTTGTATAAGTATCCTCCCTCTCCCCCCTTCTCCCAAAGAGCTGGTTAAATAGATAAACTGGAGTCACCAAAAATAAAGTGATACACGGATAGTAAAATAGATGCAAATAACCAAAAAGAAGAAGGTAATCAAGGCGAAAACAAGGCTCATAGGTATGTGCCCAGATAGACAAATTTGCCGTCTGGTACATGTAAGTCGGCATGCATCATTGGGTATGGGCCAGCTTGTTGGTCTACCATTCAGAATGAAAGTTCCACTGATACACAAAGAAAGAAGTCAACATTGGTCAGACAAGCGATCTCTCAGGTGCCAATGTCTTGGCAGTGGAACACTTATTCTTCAGTTTTCTGCATTGTCCAAGTGTCTTTGTCAGAAAATTGGCTGCAGAAGCTGGTCTTCTGTTTGACCACCGTTTATTACCCACCTATCTTCTCATGAGTCCCCCTGTCTTGTATAAGAAAGCAGGAGAACAGCCCTTTTTTCTCAATAACGTTTATGTAAGCCCCCGCCTTAGCAGTGCCAATCTATTCATTCACAGGGCATCATACGGGCTGTCGCTCGCGCCGGCGGCAGATTCTTGCCGCACAGCTCGGCAGGCGCTGTCCCTGATTGCGACATCGCGTCCGCCAGTATTCATAACGACGCTGGCACGCGAGGTGCGCCGCTACACCACACTCGCACAGGACGCCCAGTCGCTCAACATCTCCCTGCATCAGACAGTGCTGTGTCGTGCGCGCCCCGAGATGTTGCGCATTGTAGATTTGCTCATCAGCAAGATGGAGGTGGAAGTGGCCGAGCTGCTTGCCGAGGCAAGTGGTTGGGATGCCTGATTGGTTAGGAAGAATATAGGTTAACGGAGACTTGCACGACAGTATTTACTTACCAATTCTTGTGGCACGTAAATTTTCTAAACTCTGCAGAAAAATACCAGAAAGGATTAGAATGACCTAAACGATTTGCTTCTTACTTGTTTTATTAGCTATATGTTAGGCTTCGATACTCACGAGGCTAATGTGCCGTGACACCATGATAGTTGCTTGCTTCATTCGTATGATCACTGTGGCTGGTGCAAAAAGGTTCAGCCGGAACAGTTGCACATGTATTGATTTTTTTTTTATTTCTTTATGAGCAGCTTCACTATACATGTTATTAGATAAAAAGCGATTTCACTCTGTTTTGCTGTGCTATATTGATTTCAGTGTCACCGTCTATGTCTAATATATTTTCATCTTGGACGTAACTATGCAACTCCCCATGATTGCTTGTGTGTTTTTACAGTGGAGCTGTTTATGCGAGCCATTGGTTGCAATCTGTCTCCAGAAAACTATAATTATCATGAACAGGATGCGCCATGTCTTGCTTTTTCCCGTTTGTGCTATTCTTTAACCTATGCTTCGTTCACAAAACAGGCTTGCCAATTTGTCTGGTGCATGATTCTGATAACTATGATGGGTGAGAGAAAATGCATGGAAAGAGAGAGAGACAGAAAGATAAGAAAGAGCGAGCAAGAAATTTGTGCTACAAAAATGTCCTCAGGTGGGATTCGAACACGTATACCCATATTCTGAAGGTAAGCATTGTAACAACTATGCTGTCTAGGCACGCTAGCAGGGCATAATGCAGCCTTGTGTAAACATAGTATTGCGAGTGGTTTGAAAAGAAAAATCAGGGTGTGGAGTAGGGATACAAAGGGATGGAGAGAGTAAGGCATATCATAGAAAGGATGAGAGAGAAATAAATAGAGAGAAAGAAGTAGAAACAGGAAAGAAAGAGGAAAGAAAGAGGAAGAGAAACAGGAAGAGAAAGAGAATACAGAAGAAGAAACAAAGGATAAAGAAATAGAAAAAGAATATAAACAGCGAGTGAGATATGAAGGGAGGCAGAAAAAGATGGAATAAAGGCAAAAAAGATACGAGAAGTTAGAGACACAGATATAAATTAAAGAAAAACTACTACCAAGGAAAAGACAAAAATATTTTTAAGAAAAGAGAAGGCAAGATAGGAAAGAAAATAAAATTAAGAAAAGCTGCCTAGTACTACTGTTCCTTCAGGTTTTGTACTACTATTGTGAAGTTGTCTTAAATGTTTTCAATTATCTTTTTCAATGAATTGCCCTAGGCCATCTCTTGTCAGAGTGTGTAACCACGTTGGTGCTCGGTCTTTACTTCGGCGCAGGTGATGGAGATCGTGCTACACTGTGTCGACCCTACCCAACTGAAGGCACGCGGACTCGGCGAGCTGTTTCCCTCCAATCTGCAGGTGCATACTTCATTTCGTTGTCTTCAGCATACCCCTTTTGAGCAGTGTGCAAGATTTTGCATATGGCCACCTAGAAGTTTCACACTGCAGTAATTGCCGTATCAATTACTTCTTGATTAGTGCAATGTGATAGGCCATGGTGCTGTGCAAACAGCAACACTGAGTAAAGTGCTAGCTCACCTCAGATTGAGCTGTATGAGGTGTGGGTAACTAATTGTTTTTATTTCAATCATCTCCATCTATTTTTTTTTTTACTTTCTCTCAAGCTGGCCCGCCCACCACAACTCAACTAAGCTGTATATTTATTCACATCTCATTGCTATGAAGTGTTGTTACCAGTCAGTATTTTGTCTTTTCTTTGCTATTCTTACCCATCTGTTCAGTGTATTCTATTACCATTAATGACATTTTTTTCTCTCTCTCTTGCCATGCTTGCTGGGATCTCGTAGCATTTTTTGTATGTGTGTGTGTGGTTTTCTTTGAGGAACTTAAAGGGCATAGTATGCATTTTGTGTATTTCATCACAGTTTCACAGTCAATAATTATCATTTAAATTTATATAATAGCTTTGCCATCATACTTATTTTCCTTAAATACTGTGTGAACAATACATACCTGCATAGTTATTCCTAAATAAAATGCTAGCTGATTTTAGTTGGCTGTGGCTTCAGGACAGTTAATCTACAGGGGTGTGCTAATATTATAAATTTCGAATATTTTTTTAACAGTGTTTGCTGTTTGATTCACTCTGGAATTTAACTATTCAAACTATTAAGACTTCCCAAAGACAAATACAGTCGTCCAAGTGTCAGTGGCCCCCTCCAGATTTTGACAAAGCTTCACTTTACTAAGATTTTATGAAGCAGCCTTTCAGGCTCTGTTATGATCGCAAATGTATTGACTCGAGAAAATGCTGGTTCGAACATGGAGAGTGTAGATATTGCAGAGGTGCTGCTGTTTTGAATCGATGCTGTTTCGGACCCAGAACTTAAGGCAGGAAGTTCGAAAAATTGGATGCCAAAGATTCTTAGCACCCAGTATTTATATGTTCTTATGGATTACTGTCTACAAGGACAGATTTTAAACTCTGGACTGGAAGGAAGCATATCCTTTTCTGCCACATCATTTGGGCTTCCACAGAAGTTGAAAGAGGAGGAGAGGCTGAGGAAATGACATCTTTGCCCTTCACGTGTAACGTGTTGTTAGCATTAACACTTAGGGTTCGCACCAAATCATGTACATAAATACAATTCAGCCTCGCATTGCCTTAATCTTGATATGACATCTATGAAACACCACCCTGCCAGTGCTTCAGCATGCAGCGTAGCCAAAAGAAACACTTTAATGTTGCTATCTCATAAGAATATGCTTAGGAATCCTCTCCAACTCTCTGTTGTGAATATAACTTTAAAGTATTGGACAAATATTCTAGAAATATCTGAAAAATATTTGATTCAATTTGCACTTAAACTTGAATATTTGAACTCGCTATGAACCCAAATTTGTTTATTTGCCAGCTCTAATAAACTGCTCTACCAAATAAAACTATGGGTCATGGGAAGCAAAGGCTGAGACAGGTCGCATCGGCATGTACTAAATAAACTCACTGTTGCGGTGTGCACATATCTTGTTACACCACTGCCATCATACAGTGCAGGATGGAGATAATGATTTCAGTAATGTCGTCATTTCATGTAATTTCGTGGTGATAAGTGATGTGCTGTCACAGTTGTTGACAGTTATTGAACCTGTATGCATGTTGAGTATATAAGACACAGAATCTTTTTACTGCATTTACTACATGGTTTCGATGTTACAGTAATCTCCTAAAGGGGCCGTGAAGCGCTTTTTCGAGTAACCATGGAATGGATTCTCTAGAATAATAACTTATTGCCTCACGAATTCAATCCTGTAAAAATTTTAAGAATTGGTTCTGTACGAGTGGAGTTACAAAAATTTGTCGCAAGCTGCAATCGCATTTTCTCTTCTCTCGTCCCGACAAAAGCTCTGGAAGCTAAGCAGGGAGGTATGGCATGGGCAAATAAAATAATTCACGTGCGCCTCATGACCTTGAGCACTTTTTCTTATTTCTTTTTTTTTTCCGATTACACGGCGTTTTGAGTGTGATTGAGCATGCACGCGTGGACAAGCCACGACCTCCCGCTGCAATCCTTGTAATGATCAAGGGCACCATGTTCAAATCAGCCAATGGCTCATAGATGGCCTTCTACGAGTGATTTTTGAATTTCCTCCATCATTTGTCGAGAGAAGAGAACGCAATATTTAGCTGACTTTTTTGATAATTTATTGTGAGGCCGCACGCTGCACTATAATATTTGGCTCGCATGTTCTCGGGAGCCTCTACTACCGATCAGCAGTGTTTACTGACCATGCTCAAGAAGTGTTGCAGGGCTCTTTTAAGAAAATGTGGGTTAAACTCTTTGCATTTTGTGCAGATTTAACATGGTCAGCTACTGCAAGGCAACACGGCGCATTGCTGTCGGAGGCAAGAATGGCAACCTCACCATCTTTGAACTGAAGGCCTCAAAGTCACAGGCATGTTCATTATGGTGTTTTTTTTTTTTTTTTCATGCCTGAGTGTTTTTACAAGTCACTCCTCGTTTTGTAACTAGGATCTATTACTTGTCCTCTATACAAGCCTTTTCAAACACCAGCAGACTTCTTAGTGATCTGAGATGTGCTTATAATCCTGGCTTGCTTACACACGAGCTGCTGAATACATGTACATTCACAATTAGACAAACATTGTGTGACATGCTGCATATGTTTAATGTGTTTTTAGCTTGTTTGTTTTATCAGCACTTGCCAGACTCTATCACTGCAGATACAAGAATTCTTGCTTAAATTTAAACATTTAAATTTTCACAAGCGTTTGGCATTGTTGTGCTGCTTCAAATGTTTGCATGAAAATTTGGGCTGTCAAACTGAGAATGTGGCCTCTATATCTTATTCATTCATTTCATGAAAATAGTTGGAGAGGGCTTCCAGAAAAAAAATTAATCTACACCAAATTAACAGTAATTTTGTGAGCATGGCAAGCAGTATCTGAACACAATGTTTGATAAATCACACTGCTGAAATTTTATTGCCATTTTGTAGAGTGCGTGTGGAGTGTTTTACGCTTGAGAGCAATTGGGTCTATTTATGTATAATAATCCAGATTGTACTGTACTATATGCATTACATTCACAGCTGACGAGACAAGCATGTCTTGCCACAAAATTAGCAACAATATTAGCGAAATTCTTCTTCAAAACATGCTCATTATGCTCTAGAGCTTGCCTAATTGAGTGTGCTAGAAGCTTCGAAGGAAATATCCAAAACATTGCATAAATATATCGAGATACCTATTACTGAATGCATTCTACAAGTTTTAATCATACAAATAACTGAACACTAGAGTGGCAGCTATCAAAAAGGCACTGGCCAAGGCATACGATTGTGTTGTGGTATGTGTCAGCTTCTTGTCATGCTCATTTCATTCAACTGTGTGTGAAATCTCTCTGCCATGTCACCTGTATGCGTATTAATATATTAATATACTCGCATCATGTTGGCAGATACACATCCTAATAAACACCCTGAAAATTTCTCAGGCAAGCTTGCATATTTGGCGACACAGTGATACTGTACAAGCATTCCACTCAGCCAAACTTTACTTTTGCCTCACTGGTACAGAGTTTCATGTAATAAATGTGCAATTCAAACTCCTCAAGAGTTGCACATCGTGTAAAAGTGATTTTGGAGAAGAGCCAAAGGTTCTGCACGATGATACTTTGAAGTGGCTTGGTCAGCATGCACAAAGTACAGATTCGTAGTTAGAGAGTGCAGTTCACGAGAGAATGGTCATTGGTTGGTGCTTGTCATTGTTTATGGGCCTTTGTTGTGTAGCTGCTTGGTCTGTGGATTAATTGATCAGGGAGGCAGTTGAACCTGCTGATTTTCTCTTCGCCCTCTTATGCTGGGGAATTCTTGTTCTCGGTGCAGGTTACTTTGGCCCACGAGGCGACAGTGGACGCCTGCACATTCTCTCCGGATGGCAAGTATTTGGCCACATATTCTAACGGGGAGAACAAGCTCTGCTTTTGGCAGGTAATGTTATCACATTATGTCATCTATAGTATATAACGTACGTTCAGTAGATGCCCACTGATGACCTTGAAAAATGTGGGCTGTACGTGATGAATTAGGTATCAGATAGTATCATGAAAGAAATTTTGTCACGCTATAATAAATCTGCACCTGTTGTCGATCATGGCAACGTCGACTGCAGGTACAAGAATTCGTGCTTTCTTGTCGGAATGCGCTGTTGCAGTAGTTGACTTGCAAGCTGGGCAATATTGTAGCATTCCAATTTCTCTGATTTTCTGTAGATATGATTGCAAACTTGTTGTCATCTTTGTCAGTATGCATTGGTATGCATACTGAAGATTGTATATTTCAGAATGACTGATCAATGACATTGAACTTCATTCAGGGCATTTTTCCTCTACTAGTATAGTATGGAATATAAGGTGCCACAATTTCGAAGGCAAGAAAAAAACCTTCGGAAAAAAAAAAAGTTGTGCAGTATGTGGTGGAATGGAAAAGCCTATGATTTATTTGAAACCTCCTAAAATTTTCTTCGATTAAATAAAAATTGTTCATGTGCTTTTCTGCGTACTTTTCTGATTTATTCTTATCAAGTTGGTGGTATCAGCATCATCATGTGCATCGCGTCATTATTTCGTTGAACACTTTATTTCATGCAGATGTACTGGCAGTGTACTTATATAAAGGAAAGAAGTGTAAATTTAAGGGCTCATTTTTTTTTTGTTAGACAGAAGAATTAATAATTATAATACTAATACTAATATTAGACGTGATATTGTTACGGGGATTACAAATACACGGAAGATAGAAATGAGTGTATTGGCAATATTTACAGGTAGGTGTGACACCCCAGGGCTGCTAGGATCTCGCGCGTCGAATCCGCTTCTTCTTCATCGCTGCATCTATGACGGCGGAGCCATGCCCACTGCCTCGTAACATCACTGCCGGCGGACGAAGCGCCGTCACGGCGCCGCTGAGTCAATCAGTACTAGCAGTGTAGTAGCGTTTTAGTCGCGACACATGAACAACATCAGTAGGTGGTGTGGCAGAAGATGAGTGTGCTTCAACGGGAGTGAACCACACTCAACGTCGGTGACTTTGCGGAGAACATTGTAGGGCCCGGTGTATCGTGGAAGGAGCTTCTCGCACAAGTCGATGCGGTGTCCAAAGTAGGACGAGAGAGTCAGCAGGGTAGTCAACGTCGCGATGCCAGTGATCGTAGCAGACTTTTTGGGAGGCCTGAGAAGCAGTGAGCCTACTGTGCGCGATTTGGCGAGCGATGCGGGCTCGAGAGGCAATGTCCTGAGCATACATCGTTGGTTTTGTAGTATAAGAAGAAGGAGTGTCGAATGGCAACGCAGGATTGCGGCCGTACAGAAGAAAGAACGGAGAATAGCCGGCAGTGTCATGCCTTGATGAATTGTACGCAAACGTGTCGTAGGGGAGCATTGCGTCCCAGTCACGGTGATCAGCGGAGACGTACATGGACAACATGTCTGTAAGAGTTCGGTTGAGACGCTCTGTGAGACCGTTGGTCTGGGGATAGTTGGCAGTAGTAAGGTGATGTTCGGTAGAGCAGCTACAGAGGACTTCGTCGATATCTTTTGCGAGGAAACAACGGCCACAATCCGTCAGATGCTGGCGCGAAGCCCCATGCCACAGAATGACGTCATGCAGTTTGCGATGTCTGTAGCGCAGCTATTTGGCAAGGCATGAGTTATAGCGTATCTGGTCACATAGTCAGTTGTGACAGCGATCCATTTGTTGCCTGACACAGACGTTGGGAAATGTCCGAGCAAGTCGAGGCCGACGCGGAAGAACGGTTCTGGGGGAATGTCGATAGGTCGGAGCAGGCCAGCCATACGGAAATCAGGACGTTTGCGATGTTGGCAGCACTCGCAAGCAGCGACATAGCGGCGCACAAATTCATACAGGCCAGGCCAAAAGAACCATTGCCGCACCCGGTGACAGGTGCGCGAAAAACCCAGGTGTCCTGCCGTCGGAGCGTCATGCAGATGTTGAAGAATGGTGGCACGCAGGTGTCGGGGAATAACTAACAGAAATTCTGGGCCATCAGGCTTCATGTTGCGGTGGTACAGAATTTCGTTGCGGAGGACATATCGACGAAGCGAAGGGTCGGAGTGTCCTGAAGATACTCGCTCAATGACTGTCTTGAGGGTTGTGTCCCGGCGTTGCTTTGTGCTGATGTCGCGCGAATCGGATATGGCGAGCACACAAGAATCGCTCTGATGGACAGCGAGGCTAGCAGGGTCCACCAGATAACACGAGAGACAATCGGCACCTTGGTGTAACCTGCCAGACTTATAAATTACATCGAAGTTATACTCCTGGAGACGTAGAGCCCAGCGACCTAGGCGACCAGTTGGGTCCTTGAGCGACGACAACCAATACAGAGCGTGGTGGTCGGTAATAACTGAAAACTCCCGGCCATACAAGTAGGGGCGAAATTTCGCTACAGCCCAGACCAACGCAAGACACTCGCTCTCTGTTATCGAACAGTTTTGCTCAGATGTGGAGAGAAGGTGGCTGACATACGCAATAACATGCGTTTGGCCCCCCTGGTATTGAGCGAGGATGGTGCCGATGCCGTGAGCACTGGCGTCTGTGCGAACTTCAGTCATTGCGAACGGGTCGAAGTGCGCCAATGTTGGTGGTGAAGTGAGCAGCTGGATCAGCGTGGAAAACGTAGCTGCTTGGTCTTGGCCCCACGAGAAGGGCGCATTCTTTTTGAAGATCAGTGAGTGGCCGTGCAATTGTAGCGACATTGCAGTATAAAATGTTGGAAGTACGAGCATAAGCCCACAAAACTTCTTTGGTAGTAGAAGGCAGAGGAAAGTTCTTGACAGCGCTAATCCTGTCAGGGTCCGGTTGGACGCCAGCAGCACTTACACGATGACCAAGGACCATGATTTCTCGTCGACCGAAATTGCACTTTTTCAAGTTCAGCTCGAGTCCCGCTCGACGAAAACAGGCTAGAATGGTCGACAAACTAGTTAGGTGGCTTTCAATTGTTGGGAAAAAAACAATAACATCGTAGAGGTAGCAAAGGCAAACGGACCATTTATAACCACGGAGGAGAGAGCTAGTCCATCATGCGTTCGAATGTTGCCAGGGACGTTGCACAGCCCAAAAGGCATAACCTTGAACTGATAAAGGCCATCCGGTGTGACAAAGGCAGTTTTTTCACGTTCTAAGTCGCCGACAAAAATTTGCCAATAGCCCGAACTCAGATCTATAGATGAGAAGTATCGCGCGCCATGAAGGCAGTCAAGGGCAGTCAGTCGATTCGTGGCAGCGGATATACGTATTTGTGGGTTATCTTGTTCAAGGCACGGTAGTCAACGCAAAATCTCCAACTGCCATCCTTCTTTTTGACTAAAACATGTGATGCCCATGGACTTGAAGAGGCCTCTATGACTCCTTTGGAGAGCATCTTCTCGACTTCTCATTGTATGACCTGGTGTTCGGACTGGGAAACACGATATGGTCGCCATCTAACTGCACTAGCATCGCCGGTATGTATTTGATGACGCACGATGAACGTTTAATTGGCCTAAAATGCGGTCATCGATGTCGAAAATATCTCGAGGGTCAAGTTGCGCAGCCTGACAGGGCAGAAGATCAGGGGCAATCATCATCGTGATTTCATCGGTAGGTGCGTTTGCTCGGCTGGCTGCAATCTACTAATGAGGCCACTATGTACTCACCGTCAGAAAGAGCTGGTGATATCGTTAAGGCCACAAACGTGGCGGCTTGCGGTGACAGCCGAACATAATCAACTGCACACAAGCGGTGTGATGGTGAGGACGGCACAGCCCCAAGTCGAGGCAGTTCAAGTTGGAGAACGCCGGTTGCACGTTCGATGAGAGCGGACATGAGTGGACAAGAAATCCAATCCAAGAATGAGGTCATTGGGGCACTGCTCAATAACTGCAAAGAGAACAGATGTGGGGTGATCGGCAATTGTGATGCATGCTGTGCACATTCCTGTGATGGCAAGACTTATTCCGTCGGCGACACTAATAATGCCAGAAGCAGCTGGTGTGAGAACTTTCTTCAGGCGACGACGAAGTCGGGCACTCATCACAGAAATATGCGCCCTGGTGTCAATAAGTGCACAAACAATCAGGCCGTCAACGTCTACGTCGATCAAATTTCGTCGTGTCAGCAGTACAAGCAGAGGATTTGAGGTCGGTATTAAGGATGCAGCTTCACCTCTAAGAGCTGCACCGCTTAGTTTCCCTGATGAAATTGAGCGGGGAGGTCGGGCGTCGTCATAGAGGAGAAGTGGATGACGGGCGACATCCAGGCGGCCAACGAGACTGGTGACGTCGAGGCGACGGTGACCGGCTGTGCTGTGTATCAGGGGCTTTGAAGGGTGGAAGGCGGCAGTAGCTATCGGCGCGGCGAGCAATGTTATACTGTGTTCGGGACGAAGACCAATAGGTTGCGGCAATATTCGTGCGACGTGCCCTATGCGGCGGCAGTCAAAGCAGATCGGCTGATCATCCGCCATTTGCCATTCGGCCGGATTGCGAGAGAGTGGAAAAGACTGTTCCTGGGGTGGTGACCTGTGGCGAGGCGGCGACCTTGAACCGAAGCCAATTGGTTGAGACTGAGCAACGGCGCAGACATCGAAGCCCAAATTGCCGAGTTCTTCCCGCACAATCGACTGTATCAAGCAAACCTGAGGTACTTGCGAATCGACGTGGCCGTTGATGGGAAGAGCAGGTGTAATTGCTTTGATTTCCCGCCGGAAGATTCGCGTAATTTCAGACGCCGGTGAAGACTGCCGATGGGAGGTCAGTACATCTTCGCAAGAGGACGTCGCAGCGGTGTTCGGCAGTCGAGTGAATGATATCGAAATACGCCTGCTTTTGGCCTGTTCAAAACGCTGGCATTCCTGAATAATTTCCTCGACAGTCGCGTAGTTCCGGCACATTAGCAGGTTGAACGCATCGTCCGCTATCCCCTTGAGGACGTGGCCAACCTTATCAGACTCTGACATGTCGTTGTCGATTTACGACATAGAGCCAGCACATCCTATATATATGAGATATACGGCTCTCTGGACGTCTGGGCACGTATAGACAACTCGTTCTTTGCAGCCGCTTTTCGACCGATGGGCTTCCCAAATAAGTCGCGAAGCTTCTCCTTGAATGTGTCCCAACTACCAATCTCCTCCTCATGGTTCTCGTACCAGACTTTGGTCGTACCTTTCAGGTAAAACAGCACGTTGGCCAGCATGAGAGTTGGGTTATATCGGTTGAGTGCACTGGTACGTTCGTAGTCAGCTATCCAGTCGTCAACATCAACTTTGTCCGTATCGCAGAATGTTTCTGGATGTTTCGGATGCGTCAGCACGTATGTGGGTGGGAGTGGGGCCAGTGGAGGTGTTGCCGTGGATGGTGCAGGCGTCACCGAGGCCGATGGAGAAGGTGGCCGTGGGATCAGTCCCGTGTTCCATCACGGAAACTCCAATTTGACAACCACTGCGGAGCTCCATTGTATGGTGCTTCGTTACCCAGCACATCCAACAATTTGTTACGGGGATTACAAATACATGGATGATAGAAACGAGTGTATTGAGAATATTTACAGGTAGGTGTGACACCCCAGGGCTGCTAGGAATCTCGCGCACCGAATCCGCTTCTTCTTCACTGATGTGTCTAGGACGGCGGAGCCATGCCCACTGCCTCGTAGCAATATTGATTAAGCAAGTTACCTTTTCATCCTCTTTTCTTGCTTTCTATTGACACTAGAATTCTGATAAATTACCCTATACTTCTCTTGGCATCACTGTCTATTAGTTTCTATTACTGTTATAGTTTATCTATGGTATATGTCTTGCAAAGAAGTATATAGAAACATGGACAAAAACGCTCAGGAGAGGAAGGGGTGAGGAAGACAAGTTACTGTTGATCATTACGGTTTAGGTACCCTTCGAGATGATGGAAGATATGAGCAGTGTGTACTAGGTGAATTATTAAAGTAATTAAAAACTGACGATAGAAGTTTTGCTATTTACTTATCTATCAACTTAAATTTGATTTCCACTCAATATAAAATGAAATTGCAAGCCTACAAACACATAAACGCAATTCAACTTAATTGCTCTCACACTGAATTGGTGGTGTGCAACCCTAAATCAAGTGTGGGGTTTTGTTTGCAAAGATTATTATATGATCCTGCCTTCACTGTTGAGTTGTGTAAAACAGTGACACCATTAAGTTCTGAACGCGTATTTTTTATTTCCTCTGCTGCAGACTGCGTCGGGCCTGTTTGGGCTGGGAAATGCACAGCCAGCGCTGTGTGCGCACCCACGCGACGCCTAAATTGCCAGAAAGTGTGGTTGCCAACCCGCTCAAGATGGCACGGCTCGTGTGGGTCACCAGCCGCATCGTCATCCTCATGGTGGCCGATGGCACGGAGCATCGCTTCACCCTCTAGTCCACTCCGTCCCTGGAGATACACAATCGCCCCTATCATCATTCACTTGTACCAAATTCGATTTAATGTATTTTATAATTACATAATATATCATTATGCAATTTACATTACGTAAAAACTTGTAAGCATATTGTGCATTTTCGAATTAATTTCATTACGATTAAAATGACTGCGCTGTCATGTTGCGAGAATGCTTTTTGGCAGTACTGCCACCACGTGCGACTTCCCAAGAAAAACTTTAGTCAAAAATGCAAAACACTATTTCTGTGGGGCACATGTCTTCTGTGACCTGCAAACGCTAGTTCTATAAATAGTGTTCATAGGTTTTAAGCCTACTAGTCGGCTAAGGTTCAACTTGGAGGACGACAACACCTCCTTGAAGTAATGGGAAGCTCGTAGACTGGCTTAATGTACTTCACTTTTGTGCGTGTATGTATATAAATATGCATGACCATATATTACATTTATAATGTATGTATATTGTATGTATACTATGTTTGTATATATTTGTATAGCTTTTGTTGCCCTGTGGGACTAGAAAGGAGTTGTTGCAAAGCAGCAAAGTAAGAGGGCAGTTAGATATATGTGACAATAAACAGCACGAAATCCTGCTTAATGTCACTGTTCTTTTTTGATATATTCAAATTATTTCTGCTCCCTACACTGCACCAAGCAAGAGCAGATTTAAAAGTCTGCTAAGCTAGTATATAGTACTTTTCTTATTTTTCATGCCTATTTCAAATAGGTGTGCTCTAATTTTTATTGTAGATATTCTAGTTCAAGAACAGACAAGGCTGTCACTTTAATATGCAGGCTTGTGCGAATAGTGAGTTTTTGGTTCTAAGAGAATTTAATAGTATGTAAGACATATAAAAAAGGGAATATTTATCATGACCCAACTAACCTGCACAATATTTTATTTAAATTGAAATAGGGGTTCTGTGCAAATGCATATACATTTTTTCGTTCAAGGGAAGTCGAAACAACCTTGAGTAGTAGTATCAGTAGGATGTGAGAGATAATTATCACTCAGGTTAACCTCACTCAGGTTATCAGGTAACCTTTAAGATACTTAATGTTTTAGAATTTATTATAGTTCGATCATATAAGCCATCATAATAAGCTTAATAAAATGAAGAATTTACTTAAGGGTAACATGTTCCTTTAAAAGGGCCCTGCAACACTTTTTCAAGTAGCCATGGAGCCAGTAAACATGCTTGTTGGCTCACAAATTTACCGCTGGCAAAGTTTCTAGAATCTGTCCAGTACGAGTAGAGTTTCAAAAATTTGTTGCATGTTGCAATCGCATTCTCTCTTCTCATCCTGATGAAATAGCTGGAAGGTAAGCAGGGAGGAGTGGCACGGTGAAATAAAATACTCCACACGCATCTCATACTTTTCAGTGCGATCGGGCAAGTACTCGTGGACAAGTGGCGGCCTCGGTAACGACGAGCGCACCATGTTCAAATCAGCCAATGCCTGTGACCAGAGCCGTATATTCCTTCTTGGCTGTGACAAGCGATTTTTCAGCTTGTAGTGTGATTTGCCGAGGAAAGAAAGCAATTTTTAGCTTTGAAAATTTATTGTGAATTCCAGGCCACATGCTGCGCTATAATATTTGCCTCGTGTGTTCTCGGTAGCCTCGACTACCGATTGGCAGCGTTTTCTGACCACGTTAAGTTAGTGTTGCAGGGCCCCTTAAAATATGAAGGGAGGCTTCATGGCAAAGCAAATTTTTTTAGGTAAATTTTATTACTGTTTAACACTTTTACATTGCAGTGAAACCACCTTTGCAGGCGGTGACCTGCGGACTAATATACACTTATTCGTTCATTGTGAATACTGCGAAAATATTCGATAATTTAAATACGAATCGAAGTGAATTCGATTACTAACTATTCGTTAGAATATTCGAAGCATTTCGAATATTCGCACAAGCCTATAAATATATATGCTCAAGTGCCGCGCTAGAAAAAATTTTCACGAGTGGTGATCTAACGCTTAAAATTTTGGCATTTGTGCCATGGCTATTGTAATACTGTGTTATGAAAGATATAAAAGCTATTATAAAAATTGATGTGTAAAATTTTTTGGGAAGTACTTGTTTTTCAATCGCAGGCCCCATGCAAGTGTCTTGCCCACTGAGCTTGTAACGGTGCTTGTAAACTGGTTACGTTTCTTGCCATACGAGCGTGTTGTTCTGGCATTGAGAAATAAACAAAGGCTTCACTTTAAATAGTTTCTGGTTGGGGAATAAAAGTAGTTCCCTAGGACAATTTTTAAAGTCAATGTGAAGTATTGCACACACACATCTGAAGAACTCTAACTTTGCCAAAGATTAATGCTAAATGTGTTTAGGCGACCGTAGTAAGCAGGTTACATTAAGCTGTCCCAGATTGTGTTTAGCACTACAAACAAGACGGGCACCATGCCACTCCAGGTATAAAACTTTCCATGGAAGAGTGCAGTTGTATAGTCTCCTCTATTAAAACTTTCGCATCACATAGACTCTCCGAAATAAGACTGCATAGAGTTATTTTACTTGCTGATCTGGCTTTGTTGTGAAAACTCAGATTCATTTAGACCTTACATTCATCTTGCCATATTGCAGATGCGAATTTAGACTTAAAATTCATCTTGCTATGTTGCAGATGAGATGTTGATATTATAAGAATATAATTATCATTTAGATATAAAGTAATAGCTTTAGAGTTGTGTAGATGCTTGAATCTGTGGCATACTCAGACTGAGGTGTGCCTCATTTTTAATGTGAAGTGAAATCATATATTTTTTCCTATAATAAATGCCTTTCCATAATCGGAATCCAATGCCGTAAAGTGAAAAAGTACATTTCATCCTAGCAGTTTACAGCTGTGTCACTTTATTAAACACCCATTAATTTACAGACCACCCTGCCAAGGTGGTTTAGTGGCTAACGTACTCGGCTGTTAGCCTACGGGTCGCGGGATTGAATCCCAGCTGCGGCGGCTGCATTTTTAATGGAGGCGAAAATGCTGTAGGCCTGTGTGCTCAGATTTAAGTGCACGTTAAAGAACCACAGGTGGTCAAAATTTCTGGAGCTTTCTACTACAGCATTTCTAATAATCATATCCTGGTTTTGGGACATTAAGCTCTCATATTATTATTAATTTACACACTATTATGAGCTACCTCCTCTTCTGCTAGTATTGCCAATGCATTTTTTTTCACCCATTGCATGAAGAAGATGCATTACATTGGCAGTGAATTTTGAGACGGCAGTTCAAAGCTTACAAATTTAGACTTTAGATGCATGTTTATTTTTTTTTCACTGACAAATAATGAATTACTTGGCACAATTTTGCTTAAATCTGGTGCTTCTTTCTACTTATCTAAGGTGGTTGCTGATTCACTACTATTTTGTCAATTGTGATCTCGCATGTTTACTTGCACTGTTGTCATAGAAAAATAAACGAGGGGCTGTGTTTGCCTGTGTTTAATGCTATTATAGCCATGTGTTTTGACTGCCAGAGATCATATTATGAATCGTGTAACAACTGAGCATGTCATTAAAAGTTAACGAAACTTAGCAAATGTAATTTTTTAAAGTACTTACTATGTTTTTAAGTCTTTCTATGCAAAACTTAGATTAAAAAGAATATTGTAGCTTGCACTTCAAGTTGAAACAGAGCTCTTATTGTTTGTTTCTTTGCAGCACAATGCCAGCCCATTTGCTCACCAAATGGGTAACAAATAAAACTTTCCTCTCTTTGTCATTTGTGCTATGGGTGCAGGTGAGGTGAGAGGCACATGACCACCATCTCGAGGCCTTTTTCTTTTTGCCCTTTCAAATATCATATACACAGTTGCAGCCAGATGGAGGGTGTTCTGTGATAACTTGGCTGGCATATATTGAACTGCTACATAGTGCAACCTTAAGGGATGAGAGACAAAATAATGCGACACACACAAGCCCTAAGCTTCCAATAAAATTTTGCTTAAAAATAAACACACACACACACACACACACACGTTATTCGAAGGTTGCAGGTTTGATTCCAGCCCATGGCTAGTTATCTTTTCACCCACTTTTCTTTCTTCTCATTTACATTACAATTCGGTCTAATGATGTCTCCTATACTTTCTTTAGCATTATCGTCTCTTAGATCTCATCAGTATTATGTCAAAAGGTGGAAAAACGAGCTTTAATGTAAACACCTCATATATATATATATATATATATATATATATATATATATATATATATATATATATATATATATATATATATATATATATCGGAAATAGATGATCAGACTTTCTTCCGGCTACCGTAAAAAAGTTATAAACTTCGAGAATTGTGCAGTATAGGAAACAAAACAATAAAATATTTATTTAATCCTAACAGTTTCGGTTGGTGGACCAGCCTTCTTTGGAGGATGTAAGTGAAATGATACAAGTTCCCGTAGCAGAGGGTCACCCTCACAGTTTAAAGACCCTCCGAAAAACCCTCTTTTTTTTTTGGAGGGTCTTTAAACTGTGAGGGTGACCCTCTGCTACGGGAACTTGTATCATTTCACTTACATCCTCCGAAGAAGGCTGGTCCACCAACCGAAACTAATAAATATTTTATTGTTTTGTTTCCTATACTGCACTATTCTCGAAGTTTATATATATATATATATATATATATATATATATATATATATATATAAACACTTGTGTGTGTTTATCCGCGCGCGCACCAGCGCAGCTTGGCATATATGTCAAAGCTTGTGCATGTTTAAATAAAGTCTGCAGTCCCCTTTCAGGCAACGGCCATCAAATATCTCATGAGCAATAAATAGCAGAACTGACACGATCTTACATGTATGCACAGCATGTACGCTCATAGTGGTCTGGCTGACCCTGCCTTGTATTTTGACCAGAAAGCTTGGGAAAGATACATTTCTAGCCATAGAACTGCCTTAACATGCATCAATCACTACTTAGACACACTCGTTTCATGGGCCATTGTTGCACAGCTCGCGTGAATGTGAATCCTGAAACTGAAACACGTATGAACATCACACATTTTGCACATTAAAGGGACATCTGCACACCTAGCAGGTTTTTCAAGAAAGTGACCACTACATAATTTTGTCTGTGTAGCTGAGTTCTCAACATATTTTCGTTTAGTTTACGGTACATCTCCTAGACTGGGAAAATTGGTGTGTTCCTATATGTAGCACGCTTATCAAGCTAGCTAATGTCGTTACATCAGCAATTTCGGCCAATATCACGATTCCCAGAAGTTAACCATACATATGCAAATGAATAGAAAGTCTAGCTCGCTCAGCAGGCTTCTGGCAAGTCAAAAAAGAATTACGAGAAAATGTTATTTTGATGTGGCTGAAGGATAGACAAATTTGTGGGAGCCTCCGATATCTCCCTGGTCAACGTCATGACCACGTGATCACAATCATGATGTCAGTTCTGTGCATCGCTGCTGCGAACTCTATGGGTTGTCTTACTCCTACCACCACGCACACGTCAGCAATAAAATTTTGTGCAATACAATTTTTTGTTATAACATGCGTGTTGACGTTTTTTGAAAGAGAGTTCAACAATATTTGGTAGTCGTCACATCCGCCATTTTCCGCGTGTGGCGGCCGGTGCGGCTTAGCGCTGCCTGTTCTCATCAGAGCGTCGTTTTTCGTGCAGTGTCCCGCGATAGCCTGTGTCGCTCAAGTTCTTCGGCCGTCTACTTCGCCTTCAACATGAACATCCGTTGCGCGAAGACGGAAGACCTGATGAACATGCAGCACTGCAATTTGCTGTGTCTTCCCGAGAACTACCAGATGAAGTATTACTTCTACCACGGCCTGTCGTGGCCGCAGCTCTCGTATGTGGCAGAGGACGAGAAGGGAAAGATCGTCGGCTACGTGCTCGCCAAAATGGAAGAAGACTCGGACGAAAACGACCCCCACGGCCACATCACTTCTCTGGCTGTTAAGAGGTCGCACAGGCGCCTTGGACTGGCTCAGAAACTGATGGACCAGTCGTCCCGTGCCATGGTGGAGTGCTTCAATGCGAAGTATGTGTCCCTACATGTGCGAAAGAGCAACCGAGCGGCCCTACATCTCTACACCAACACCCTTGGGTTCATGATCAATGAAATTGAGCCGAAGTACTATGCCGACGGTGAAGATGCGTACGCGATGAAGAGAGACCTCGTGAGCTTTGCAGCTCAGAACAAGCTGAGCCCCACTGACCCAGTCAGCTTCTTCGACTCCAAGAGCTGCAAGAAGGAGCGCGACAAAGAGCCTGACAGTGAGAAGCACTAGGACTTCATCGTGCTTCTGCATATGCCAAATAAATTGTGTGGGTTCTTGTGGCGCGCCGTCAAAGAATCGGACTTGTGTGGTTACGAGGTTTAGTTCTCGGGTTGTTGAAACACTTCGTTTTGTATTGATGATCAACAGGCAACGACCCTCCGACCACTTTAGAGATGGGGGATATCAAGTCAGTACGCTCAGAAATCAGCCCAGGTTCCAGCTTTGTTGTTCGCTGTTGCCTCATAGATGACCTGAAGTTGTCCATCTAGAGAGTGTTGAATGATGACATTATTTACAATTAGTACTTGAGCAAGTTCTTCCCTTCCCTGTCAGCTAAATGGAAGTCTTTTTACTAACACCAGTAAAAACGTTGCCCGTCGTGGAACACAGCTTTCATAAACCAGCTTATTATCTGGGTTTTCTGAAATCAAGTGTTCCTTGCACCCTAACACAAAATACGTTTATCAATATCTTGTATGACACTGAAATGGATCTACCTTTCTACAATACTTAACTCTCCGTTTTCGTATACTAATACAACATGCACATTATTTGGACTGACTCAGTTACCTCAAGACATTGGCAAGCTTTTTAAATCCCTCTGATTTTTCATTGAATGTAGGGTTTCTTCATCTTTACCAGCCATATTTCACAGAACATGTCCTGTTGAACTCTTGGTTCTAGTTTCATAGGAAGCTTCAGCAAGTTGCTTGTCACTACTCTCAATTAAGGGTTGCATGGATATCTAGGAAACTGCCAAGTTAGAAATAAAAGTGCTTTGCCAAGTCATCAGAATTGCTGATAACATTTTTTTGCATATATTTTGCTCCATCCAGCTTGGCCATCTGCCATATGCAGTTCCCCTCTCATCAATTTAATGTAGCTGCACTTTTGACTGCTTACTCCATCTTTCCAACACGATTCCAAATATCGATTGCTTGCTTCTTCATCAGGCTTGATCAGATTTATTAAGTTCGGCACTTGCATGCTTTGTCATTTTTTAGATCATTTGAGACTTGGGAGAGTTTACCAATACTTGCATCCATGCTACTTTGCTGCGTCTAAAATCAGTCAAGCTGCAACTTTGTTCATTCTCTTTATCATTATCTACAGTGAAGCATATTTGTCTACAAGAACTATCCTGCATTCACATTTTCACCCCGATTGCATCTAGAGTGGCCTGTTTTCTAATGACCAATTTCAACGCATCTAGGTAGGTTGGCCCGTTCTCTAGAATTCACCCAGATTTCATCGCATCTTCCTTCAAGTGTCGAATGATCCTTTAGTCTCTGACCTGTAAGAGCTACCCTTCACTCAACTTGGCACTTCGGCACTGTGCCAGGGTCAGCATATTCTCAGGTCCACCTCCTATCATATTGCTTCTGCAAATTCTAAAAGTTTTATGATATTCCAGCAGTCAATGTTATAGTTGCTCTAGCTGCACAGTTGCACCGGTCTACCACAACTAGTACTGTATAGAGTTTGTACTTTTCATATTGTGAATTTATCATCACACAACTATTCTATATCTCCATCATCATGTCTGCACAATGGGTCTTGAGTGTAAAGCATATTCTGATTATATCTCCCATTTGGCTTCATCATGAGGAAAGCTGCCCTCTCGTAGAAGTTGTAAAATTAATCAGTAACCCACTACGACTTTGTGGCCAGAAATCATACCCGGTAGTCCTTCCTTTCTGGAAGGCCTTGGTAGCAGTGTATGTTCAGGTAATGTTGCAAAATAGATTTGGAGGAGGAAAGTAAAATGTGTAGCCGAGTCTTGAGTAGCCAAGTCTTGAGTGGTCATGTTGAAAGCGATTCGCTCGCAGGATTTCAAGCTGGACGGTTGTGCCCTCGCGATCTCCGACTTCAGCGTAGCTCCCGCCGACTGGTTCGCCCTCCGCGGTCTCCTGACGCCGTGCAGCTCTCGCATTGTGGCACCCCGCCCTTGGACTGCTTCGACCGGATCCCCACTTTCCTATCTCCTTCTTTTTTCCTCTCGTTGGCTGTCTTCTTCTCCGTCTATTTTCCTTCTATTCTTTTTATCCCTCCTTCCCCCCTCCCCTATAAGGCACTGCGCCGTGTCGCCTCAAGGCAGACAGAAATTAGGTGCCTTTTTCCTCTTCATTCTAATCACTACCACCACCATGTTGAAAGCTGCGAGGGAGCATCCGCTTCGGAGTTCCGTGGCGAGGACGGGGATCGCACAACACCAAATATGTTATGAGAAGGAGACCGACTTAGAGGGGTAGTCACAGATGTATTTTCAGCCGGTTAAGCGAGCAGCGCCAGGCACAGAGATCAGCTTGCGCCAGTCTATATGCTTTTCTTCTTCGTCCCCATGCACTGGCACAAAGCAATATGAAACTTCTGCAGCCCCAGTTTAATGGATTACTTGACACAGATTTAAACAGCACGTTAGAGAGAGAAATATTTACTGAAAGGCAGTGAATTCATCCAGCATGTACAAATTGCTGACTTGCTACTCTGCATGAGGAAGGGGAATGGGGAGAAAAAGATAGGAGAAAAGAAGCACGAAAAATGAAGTAAAAAAAAATGACTGGTTTTTTGGGCATAGACATGTGCTGGTAGTGTCTTTCATTGTGTGAATTCAAGTTACAACTTAATGTTGAATTCTAATGGCTGGAGTTGAAGCAGCCGATAGACTTTGCGAGTGAGCACTCAATTATGGTGTAGAGCAAAGCCTCCAAATCTACGATTGGAACACAATTCATGCTGCGGGAGCAAGGTAGAAGCAGAAGTCCTTGAGTTGCCCAGAATACCTTGCGTATAAGTATTCCATTCCTCCATTTCCACTGTTGAATTCTTCGTACACGATTGTTCGCTGTCATTCTGCGACGAATTGATTTACCTAGTGGCCATGTCATCCATCATTACTGCCAAAACACGCGACAGCGACAACATCCCCAAGCACGCGAACGTATTATGCGTCATTCACAAAGCGGTTAAACATCCCTGTCCCATGAGTACGGCACGCAGAGTACCAGTCCACTCTGCCGATTTCGGTGGAGCAACTTTTCCTATTCCTCGGATTCTCTCCGGCTTTGAATCTGCCCCGACTCTCTCATTGGAACACACTTGCCCCAAAGGAGCAGGAAAACTTGCTCCAACTCCACCATTGGAATTCAACATAAGGTTTGTTTATCTGGCTGATACTACTCAAATATGTAAACAGACATTTCATTGCACACTTCCATTGCACAAGACTAAAACTAAGTCACATGATAAAGTAGGATAGAAAGCATGCAATGTTCATGAAGTGCACACTAAAAAAGCGTACCGCTGCTTTGATTGAGCCACAGTCATTGCAGTATAGACTGACTGTTTGAAACAGTATTGTGAACCATTTCCATTGGCAGTGTTTAGACAAAGCCGATGTTAGCTTCCAAATGTCGAGGTATTCTGAATGGGAGTCTTCATCCCTGATGGAGGTAGAATTGAGTACCTAAAGAAAAACTTAATGATGTGTGGAAAGGATTCAAAACCTCTTTCATCAGATTTGGTGAAGTTCGTCTATAATTTCCAGTACTGAAGTAGTTTGGCTTCATCAGCTTTTCCGTAGCCCAGAATACTATGATGAGGTGGTATCCACTGAAACGTGATGTTGCCGTTTCGTAATAGCAAAGTATACCTTCGTAATAGCAAAGTGGTGAAAGTATGCTACATCGAATAAAACGGGCTGATGACTCATTTTCTTTCATAAGTTGAACAATGTTTGCAGAGCTGCCCTACAACAAGTAAAAATCACCTATCAGTCACCTATCATAGAGATAGAACAAAAATGACAGACATCTCGCATTACAATAACTTCTAATGACATCCTCTATACGATTGCTGGCATCATTGCCTTTTAGTTCTCATTATTAGACATCTCTAATGCAACTTACATATATTTTTGTATGTACAGGTTCACTTGCTGTTTGGACATCTAGTATGATAGCTCTTGATCAAGCATACTTTAGATGTTAAAACGTTTCGCTCTCTGCCAGACATGCATCCTCAACTCAACACGTAACGAAAAATCATTGACCAATGTGCATTACCACTTTGTTAGCATATTTCGTTGCCTGCCGTGTCTGCATTCACTCTGGTACTGCTCACCATCTGTAGAAAGGTGCTAGCAATCGCGTCTCATTCAGAGCGATTTGAAGAGCACACACCTTTAGTGCAAATACATTCTCGAGCCTACGTAGGCAAACTTTAAAAGCTGGCAACAAATTAAAATTTTCTGTGCTACAGCAGTGTCATCTAACATGTGTTACGGAATATCCCGTGACTGTATTTTAACTCTCTAACAAGCAGCAAGGAATTTATTTCCCACATGCAATACGTGTTAAAAAAAAATTATAAATTTATATGCATTGGCAGGTTGTAGGCGAGACACAGCACCGACCAAAGTAAAAATATATTCTCAAGAAAGAATACATTTCTTTTTTTAAGAATATAATTTTACATTGGTGGGCACTGTGTTTTCTGTGTCCATGTTATTCCTTGGCCAGGCGGTACTCCTACAAACTCTCCACATCAAAATATGGCACATTTAAAGCATGGACACTGCAGCACTTCCAAGACCTCTGTATTATGCACGAAAATTGAAAAGTGAAGAACAGTTCTTAAGCACTCATCTTTTTGTCTTGCTTTCTAAGCCATAGTGAGTCAGTTGAATTCTGTAGATTCAGCAGTAACAAAAACTTATTCGAGCACTTACTAGGCTGTAGGAAGAATACTGCTCGCTAAAGCACTTCTCTTTTTTGTTTCAAGAAATGTTTTGTGCAAAGACGTCACATTTTTACAGAAAGAGTTTGCAACTATGTCTTGAAGGAACATATCTGCAGACTCCTGTCCTGCAATGTGTGAAAAAAAGTAGCTCCAATTTGTCAAGCATAGCCAACTTTCATATTACATGCGGTATGCAAACTCATTACATGCTGTGCGCAAGCATATGGCTTGTTACACCGCACAATCTTTGGTTGAGTGTCCCACAACTGACAGCACAGAGCAGCTTCAACAGAGCAGCCTCTTGATAGTATAAAACCCAAAGTTAGAGTTGAGTGACTATTTTGATGCCCACAACCTTTGAGGTCTGCACTTATGGCTTGACCATGCTGAACCATTAACTTCTTGAGCAGGCCAAGGAATACTAGTCCTTGTAACTTATGCGGTGTGGCCGGTCTCAGGTGCTGTCAAGTTGCTGGCGATAACAGCAAACACAATTCTAAGGATGTTCACAAGACCTACCCAATTAAAGTTTAAGCTTGTTAAGATGCTTCCGTATGGCCCTTAGAGTATCATACATTTTGACTAACAATTTTGCTCTGCTGAAATTGTGACTTTTACAAAGTATTAATCTGATCACTTAACATTAAAAAAGTACATATAGGAATCTTCTCCAATACGATCTATATATATTTGTTCAATGGCAGTCTATGGGATTCTGAAAAGTACACAAGCACCATCAACAAAGGCCACAACTCGCAACTTCACACAATAACCACGGAATAACCATGGCTGTTAAAATATTGATTTGTTTTGAGGCCACCATCTTTGTCTTTCTTCTACAAAGTCTACCAATAACCTCCTTGCCCATTACCTATTCACTTGCATGCTTATGACATGCCTCAGTTCGGGACCCTAAAAAAAAATGTTCTACAGAGTGTACCACGGCCTTTTCTCAATAGTGTACATTTCACCAGGCTTCATCAACTCTCCTGGCCTCACTAGGGCCAATCACACCCTACTTGAAACCTAATAGTTCCTCAGACCTCCACTAATCTAGCTTATTTGGGAAGGCTTGTAGTCTAAATGTTGCGAGGTTTGGTATCCAGAGAAGTCTTTGCTGAGACACAACTGCAAATGAGGCCTTGGGAGAGGCAGTCCAGTCATAGTACTTACTTCAAGTTTCCTCTCCCCTCCCTCTAACCACAACCTTGCTTAGGTATTCTGCAGCTGCTAGGGGTCAAGAGCCAGGGATAACCGTGTAAGCATCATGACGGAAGTTGTGGTCGCATGCTCCGCTAGGTATTAATGAAGTGGGTCGCCTTGGTCCGGCTGCACTTGAACTAATACAGTCCCAGCATCTCAAAGCAATCATTTCGCTGGTTTCATGTGCTACTCATGAAGAATGTAGTGGTCTGGATGAGGACCCAAATCCTTAAAAAACCACCACACCTGTGTGGAACGCACAGCACAATCACCCCAAAAGCTGGGCAAGCGGCCTTTTTTGAGCCTTTTTTGAGCAATCCAAGTAACTGCTACAAGCACACTTGCACTGTACCTATGCTATAAATCACAATTTTTGTGAAGTATGGAAGCATCCACGGTGCCATTCTTTATCACTTCAAAGAAGAATGGTACCGGCTACATGGTTGCATGATATATTTATGTACATTTCGTTAATACTGTGGCTGACAATGAAGAATTATGCTCTAGGCTTTTGTAATGGGCTGGAGCATTCAACGACCAACCCGTTATGCATTTCGCATTTTGTGATGCCTTGTTATTCTTTTGCGTTCTAAACCAGCTTTATTACACATATTAACGAGATTCCTTACCAGACAAGAAGCTCGCCTAGGGTCTGTTTGCAACAGAGTTTCAAGCACCAGCGTAGCTTAGAGGTAGAATATTAGGCTGGCATGCAGAGTGCCCGGGTTAGAATCCTATTTTGTTCTGAGCATTTTTTATTTAGCATTTTATTTTGCGAGATAGTGGTTATGAACACAAGTGGCGGTGGAGCAGCTATGGTGCCTATAAGCGAGCCTTGTTCTGACCTCAGTAATGGCTTTCGCTGTAAAAATAACTGCAGAGCACCTGTCTAGGATACATGCACGAGCACTGTTGATATTCAACTATTCAAAGAGCTTGCTTTCCTCCTCCTCCTATTAAACTTTTCAATTATCACTCCGATTGCCTTCATTTTCCATTCCTGCAGCACGCTGCCTACCAGCTTTTATCTTGGACACCTGTTCAAAGGACCTCTTAAATTTGACCGACTCTTCTTGTGATTTCCGCTATTAGCTATTCATCAATGTTTGCATATTCCGAAGCTTTTTTCAGCACTGCATCTCTACCTCTTACATTGTAGGGCTACTGGTTTGATTTATGCGTGCAAGCAGTTTTATTTGTCATTTAATTATTGCATTAGCTAGATTCGATAAAGAATCTCAAGAATGAGGCCTCCTTAATACACCGTTTTTGCATGGCCAAGATGTTTGTCGCCGACACCTACTATCCTCGTTTGCTAACACACACAGCGCTAGGAGACCATCGTCTAGAGGCTTCAATTTGGTTAGAATTGTCGTGTATTTTAGCTGGATACGTCAGAAGTCTGGAAGGGCCTAGTGACTGAACAGTGCCGTGTGACAAACGCGGGGTCGACAGCCATCCGGCTACGAAGTCGGCCTGGAGTGTGTGCCTATTGATGCAGGCTAGTATGCATCTGCCTTGCATCCGACTAATTAATGGCCTTCTGGCTTATGAACGCAAAGTACTCTTGTCTCTGCGTATCCATTGACCTAACAAGTTTATGTACCTTCCTCAATAGAAATGTTTATTTCCTCAAGTTCCTTCCACCTAATGAGGAGAAATAAAAGAGGCGCTACACGAGAGACAAATTCCAACAGGTTTATTTCTTCCTAACATGAGTGATTGCAGCGCATGGGACGTGACACCACAAAACAATTCTGGCAATGTAAAAAAATGTAAAAAAACACCTAGAAAAAACTCTACGGCCTTTTGTCGTCGTTTTCCGCGTGTCCAGATTCCCTTTGAAATTTGTCACGACGTGCTGTCCTTCAGCAAGCAGACGCCGTCGTGGTCGCCAACGCCTGTCGAGGCTCGACGCACCACCTCAACATACTCCCTTCGGCCAGAATGGTGTTCGCGCCTCTTGCAGTTGTTCTCCGCAGTGCGAAGGTCCCCAAGGTGTGCAGTGGGAATTGAGAGGAAACGACACGATTCCGAAGCCTCTCTCTCTGAGCGGGAACGGAGGACGAGCTGCCGAACGGCGGCAGCCAGGTGCTGGCCTCGTCGCTCTGCCGGCGACAAAGGCTTCGTTCTTGAGCTGGCACCTGGCCACTGCACGCGTGGCGCACTTTTGTTTTGTACACCAGAGGCCGGAAGAACAGCGCTTGCTCGTACGTAGTGACCTCCCAGCCCTCAAATGTGGTTGCAGAGGGTGTTGGGGGTTACGTGGTCGGTGTAGGGGAGGAGGAGCTACGTCCAAGGTGGGCTGCTACTAAGGGGAAAACAAGGCCTATGTATTTTTTTTTTAATTGCATATGAGATGCGGGTGATCCCCTCGCTTCTTCTCCATCCTCCTCCCAGGTGTTTGCTGCAGCTTCTGTTCCTTTCGATTGTGTCAGTTCTTTTATTATTATTATTATTATTTGCCAGAAAGTGATGCAGCTTTGTGGTCAGCTTTGCATGCACGTCCTCCGTATGTCTCCATGCCTTCTCTAAAACTTCACGGAATGTAAAAAAAAAAAAAAACATTGTGGCAAAGGTCACTGCAACATCTGCCTTTCTCTTACTCCTTTCGCGCCAACGCATGGCTTGCGAGTAGGCGCATGCTCCACAGTTTCTTGAGCCATGTGCTCGGACAGTGCAGAAGCAAGACCCAACTGGCCACTGCGAGTGTTGTCCCGCTGTTTCTGTTAACAATTGGCACACAATGCACTGCCTTTACAGTTGCCGTCATTCTGTCTCTTCTCGACCAGACAGCGGCGTAGAGGGTGCCGCTGCGGCTGCCGTTGCGTCGGAGAACAGCTGCTGCAACTTTTATAAATACGCTTCTCAATAGTGCAACAATCACCTGCATGTACGTCACTCTTCATCTACATCCAACTCTCACAGTTCCCGGGTCAACGCTCAATGCCCAGGTATAATAAAGCAAAGTTCAACTTTTAATAAATAAATATTCCTGATGCACTTCTGAAACACTCAACCCCACGAGCGCCTCCTTCAAGAGAGCAAGAAGCGAAAGGGCGTAAAACAGGATGACTTGCGGAGAGGTCGGTGACTGGAAACGCAGTTCGCTCTCACTGCAAAGTGCCTCACAGATTAAACAGAAGTGCTGCCTTTCTTTTTTTCCTTCGCAGCTTTCTGTGGCGTGGGTGTGTAACTTGGTCACACGCGTTGGTGACTCGACTGTTGGCACACTGGGTTGTAGCACACAACATACCGCGACGGTGGAGCTCAACACAGGCCAAAAAAAAGTGACAGGAGTTCCTATGGCCACACACATGCAATGCCCGCTGCAACCTCTCACTTGGCTTCTGTGCTCGCCAGGGGCACTGCTGTGCCAAGTTGGACAACTCAAATCATGGCAGTCACTGCGACCAGCCCAGTCTGACTGCACACGACTCGAGGAGAGAATGCACACCCGTTTCAGGCACACAGCAAAGTAATAGTAAAATCATGTCCATCCATTAAACAACCACAGAAAATCTGTTGATCTTGCCCACCAAAAATCCTCTCCTTGTGGCTGCCTGTCTGTGCAAAGCCTTCCCAGGTACGAACAAAGAGAAAAAAATGCAACAAAGTTCTAAAAGGTGTCACAATGTGTGTTCAAGCTTTCAACACACTGTGGTGTCGCACACAGACTAGGGTAAAAGAACGTGGCTGACATACACGCACGGGTACGACCACTGCATCACTCTGTAGCTATTCCATAGAGCAACCAGCTAGTCAGCACAGGGCCGATGCCTTGTCTATTTTCACCCGCAGAGAACCGTGATAGTGCTTGCATGTCGCCACTGACCGATTCTGCTCTAAATCTTCCAGAATATAAAAAAACTGGCAGATATGAGGAAAGTACTACACGATGACTAGCAATGCAATGCAATGGCTGGAAACTAGGCGAATCGCGAGTTTTGCCAGGTGGAACTGAACCCGGGCGGGTCCCTTCCTACAAGGTAACAACCCTAACCTTTGGGTGCAAACAATGTCTAGAGGAGGCAGAGCTTCTTTCAGAGGATGCACGCAGACTGCAATAAACTCTTGACTGCTTGTCAATGCCAAGATAGACAGCTATGCGTTGCCACGTTACGCAGCTGTCACCTCCTGTGTCCCCAAGACCACAGCTGCCGTGGCACACGCTGACTATGTGCTGGCCACAGGACCCCTACTATGTCTTCTGCACAGGGTACACACACAAACACATATACACTGTACTTCGTTCAGGAAGGGGGCGGGGCACTTTCCCGCGAGCATCAGCAGTAATCGGAGCTGCTTCGCAATGCTAGCTATGATGAAAAACAACCCGTGAACACTGCTGCAGCAGCAATTTTTCAAGAAGGGCCCTCGGAACAATTGCAAAAACAACTCTGCACATTTTATGGCAGCAACAAAACATGGACAGCAAAACACTCCAAACAAACGTAAAAGACAGACTTTTACCCACCTGCTTCCCTTATAACATAAATGGCCGGCTCGTACAACACTGCCACTGAAACATGCCCAAAAATTTCATTTTTTTTTCCTTTGAGAGTGTAAACCTATCAACATTTTACAAAGGCAGGTGGCACGAGTGCCACCTTGGGCTATTCGGAGGTCAGTTTTGTGAGCACTTCTCCAAAAACACGTCAGGGTTAAGTGTACAAGCCTGTGTGGCACACATCCTCCGCACATCCTTGCAGCTGACAGGAACACATCCCACTACCACGCTGTGTGGCTCTTTGCATACCGTATTCGGCTTCGCATATTCAGTTGGACAGGACACTCAGGTCTCCCAAATTTTGTGCAATAACAGAACCGGTCCGAGGCATATGTGCAGGTTTGGCCTCCTATTGAGTGCAGAGAGCTCCCAACTTATGCTTCACATCCCAATCAGCTTTCGTGCTGAACCCGACAGGAAACCTCCCTGTGGTGTGCTAGGGCGACTGGGATTGTGTCACTTCGGTTATAGCCACGATAGAAAAAGCGCAGTGTAAGATGATGTAACGTTGCCGGATAAGGGGTGCAGAAAGTATCATTGGCTCAGCAGATGTGTGCCTCTACTCAGATAAACCGTAGTTCCTAAATCAGAATGAACAGGGCAGTTACACATTGAGGGATGATCAATATGCCTTTGCAATGACTGCAAAGTTAAAGAAGAGAGCATACTTATATTAAAGCTACAAGTTGTTTCAGATGCCTTATGAATGTCTGTAGTACAAAACACAACTAAGTCATAACACAACTGAAAGAGTGACTCAGGCTATTTAGCATGCATTACCTTAGCCTACCCAGGACCACTTGTGATGTGCAGCCAATCACAGTGGCTTGAATGTCTTTCCAAGTTTCAAGGGTTGCCTGGGTAGCACGTCAGAATGGCTGATAATTTATACTCATTTTTGTCTCATCTCCCAAAAAGCATCTAGAATGTTATAAGTACCATGCAGCAATGATCTCTTCTGGTGACTGTGTTTTTATCGGGCAAAGAGCCGTATTTGCCAATGTTGTTTCGATAGACCCCCGTTCCTAAGCAGCATTGCTGCTTGCACCCTCACTTTGACACCGGGAAGCAGCTTGCGGGAGGAAACTGACATTTATAGTGACCAAATAGTAATAATTAAATAAATTTCATGTTTTACTGTGCCGCACAATCGTGAAGTTTACCACGGAAAAGCCATTGCTGCAAGGCCCTTCAAACAGCACAACAGAGATGGGACAGAAACACTGCGAGGTCTCCTGCCGGGTGGTCGTAGGGCATCCTGCCGTGCCCAGCTCTTTGCATGCTCGGCACTTCTTTGCAGCATGTTGTCACGCAGAGGCGCTAGCTGGACGAAGGAGGTGGGGGTAGCAGCTCGGTGGAGGACGAAGCCACTGTAGGCAAGGGCCGCAGCTGAAAGGGTAGGCCAGCCATGAGGAGTGCCCTCCTGCGCAGCGGCTGCGGAGTCAAAGCAGACCAGCAGCTGCGACGGGCTTGTGCCCACCCGCTTCAGCTGTGCCCCGAGCCGCAACAGAGGCTCCAGCTGCTGCTCCACTTCGTTCGGCTGCCAGACCGTCGGCTAGGCCCAGCACTTCCAACACCTGGCCACCACCTGCTGCCGCTGAAATAGAAGACCGGGTATGGCACCTGAGCACAGCACCTAGGCACAATGACGAATTCATTAACAAAGATAACAGATGTATTACTGATCGACCAGTTTCAGCAACGACCTCACTTTTGTGTGTTCACTGGAATGTCTCAATGCAACCATAATGGCTGCATCTTAGGCTGTATTCATAGGACGCACCTAACCACGATTCAAGCCCAAGGATTGCGAACAACATCACTACACATCGACCCTTCTCACATTCCCAGCTTTGGTCTGCACAAAGCAATTCGCGAGAAGACAAAGGCCCGAATCACAGTTGGGATTCTTGCGAGAAAAATGCCCAAATCCTCGCCTGCAGCACGAACTCTTCTCTCTCGTGTGAATGCTGGTTGCCGCGAGATCCAAATCACGTCACATATAACGCGACTGATTCGTCCGTGAATAACGTCTGTCCTGTGAATACATCTTTAGGATCCCCATAAGGCTAACTAGATCGTCAAAGCCTTTTCTTCTGCTTTACCCCTGCCCACATCCTTAAGTACACATCGCCTTCAGAAACATGACTTTCCTTAACCTTACCGCCATAAAAAATCTTTTATTCTCCCAACTACATTGAAGACTGCCAATTATATCCCTCATTTGTTGCACACAATGTATGCCAAAGTACTGTAATTCCTACCATAGTTACATGCATTGTGACATGATGTCGCAGTGAAATGCACTTGTTCACTTTGGCCATCAGGCGCATAGTGCAAGTGGCTTTGTTGAAATTGAGCCAACAAGAGCACCTATTAGAACCTAGCACCTTTTCAGCCTTGCCCACTCAAGTAGCAGCAATGCTCATTCACTTGCCAGCTGTGCTAAAGCTAAGCTAAGCTAATGAGCCTGTGACTATTACTTTATGGCCTAATGACGAACAGACAGAATGGGCAGCACAGTCCCTTTGACTCAAAATTCACAGTGGTAATGAGTTTTGAGAAGGCTTAAGCTCCTGAAATCACAGCTACATAGTTGCCACGCGAGGAAAGTAGCCTATAGCAGAGCTGCTGTGCCAGGTGCCATTCACGTCAACATGATGCAATTCATTCCTACCCCATTCAACCTACAGTAACTGTAAAATCCGGGTAGCCACATACCTGCATCGTTCCACTCTAGGCACACCTATTCTGTTTTCCTGGCCTGGCTGCCATAGACTGCAATGTAAACGGTTCCCCACTTAGCGAGCAGCTGCTTAAAGGGAATGGCAATGCTTTCGGGAAAGCTGCAGTGTGAGCGAGTTCTTACAGTTCTCTGGCTGCTGGACTTTGCAGCGAGTATACATTTTTCACGGGAGTTATCACAAAGCACGATTTTCACAGGAACATAGGGGGGACGCTGCCACATCTAGAGTAAATTTAACTCTAATACTTATGATTTATCAAAGTGTACTTTGGCTCCTCGTTTCCTCTGATAACATTATCACTAGGTTGTGAACCAAAGTACCCCAGTTAATTCCAATGAAAAGGTGGGGAGAGAGGAGCAGATGAGAATACTTCAGCAACTTGGGGAGGGCAGCAATTTCTTGTACAAACGCTTCAAAAAAGGTGCTCTTTCCAAATCCAAGCAGCAGCATAATGTAAAATGTGTTAAAACTTTTCGACATCTCTACAATTGTGGGTACCTTGCACCATACAGTTGCTGAGCTTTTTTCAGTTCTATGGACAAAAATAGATTAACAGCCCAAATTTAGTATAATGAACAATACAAAGACCATGAACTGTTTTCAATAAATTAAACTAAAATAAGGTGACACAACTTTACACCAAATTATAACACACCTCTAACTGCATGCTGTTATACTGAACAGCATACAGTAAAACCTGTGTACTGTAATAATATGAGGCTTTGCTAGAGATTTTAGATCAGTGAATCTACTGCTCATTTTGTAGGTGGGAATGTATTTTTCTGAAGCGACCAAGAAAAACTTGTTCATGTTAAGTTGCCAGTTGTGGTGAACAATGGTATTATAGTGTTCCAATGCTGGAACTACCTGGTGGCAAGGATAAACTCTGTTATTCTTATACACTAAGTGAAACTTTCTCAGTCAGTCAAGCAGAGATGGAGTAATGAGAGCCCTTTTCAGACATCTCCACTCCAGTGAATCATCAAAGCACTGAGCAGAGCCATCAGTTAGGGGGAGGGGGTGGTGGTAAATGTTTACCCCTGTCATATGCGAAACTCATTCCCCTGAATAAAGAGACCAACTAGTGCTGCCATAACCTCAGGTTAGACTGCACAAAAAACAGAAGCTCTTTATGTTTGTTGCACCAGTGGTGCTTGCAATTTTTATACTGACACTGAAGGAATGCGCTAAAGCTAGTGGTGTGCGAATATCCAAACTTTCTAATAATCTTCTAATAGCGTTTGCTATTCGGTTCGCACCGAAAGTTTATTATTTGAAGTTTTTGAACTTACACAAAATAAAAGTATTCACAAAATAACAGTCGGCAGTGTGCAGTTTTAGTCCCCAACATGCACAACTGCTAACCACTTTCATCGATGCTCCTGAGATATCGCTACTTGGCCGGGAGGTCCTGTGCCGATGCGTAAAATGCCTATCTATAATTGTGAGGAGCCAACAGGTGACGCAATTTATTGCTTGCAAAATAACGAGCTGAGACAAGTTCTCTGCAGCAGATACTGTAATACTAGACAGGATACAATTGTAGGCCTACGTAAAGCAAACAGAACAACGTCCTGCACGAGCCACTCCTGTGTAGTGATGACGATACGACTGCAGAGCTCAGCAGGGTGCACTTCTTCATTACACTCGCAACAAAGCGCATTGCAGCTTCTTCGCATTTGCATTTCGCTTGCGCGATGTTCTTGCTCACGAAGTTCCGCCAGCCAGATTTCTATTGTACACTGTCGTCCTTTATGAAAGGGAACACGCGAGCGCGTGGCGTGTGCCCTGTGGCGGCTGCCTACTGCACCATCAACCGAGAAGTGAAAAAAGTACGTTCGCTTCTGGCGTCATCTATGACCAAGCAAAATAACAAGTCATGGCCGGTAACAAGCACTGCTAGATTACGTTCCCTCACGCGGTGAGCGATATTGGCGCGATTACTGCAGCTTGCACCGCGGTCGGGCACAACGTTTGATATGTTGGCAGTGAACTATGCACTACAGGCGTGAGCCGAGATGGAGTGCAATCTAGCAGCGCTTGCCTACCGGCCATAGCTCTTAATTTTTTTTTTGGCAACAGATGACACTGATATCGAACATGTTTTCTTTTGCTGCCAGTTGATAGTGCTGTTGGCAGCCGCCGCAGAACGCAGGCCACGCGTTCGCGTGTTCCCTTTCATAAAGGACGACAGTGTACATCTGAGCCGTGAGAGCAGTTAGGCCTAGCCACAGCTCCAAGCAGTAAGCTCGGTCGACGTGTGCTATGGCCGTGGTGCCCACTGCTTCGAAGTACTTCATGCTATATTGCGAGTACAGAGTCATCATGATGAGGTCTGAAGTGCTGATAGGCGCAACCTCTAACCACAAGTACAGCAAACGCGCATCTGTGATATTTGCCATGATTGCACTACAATATCGCAATCTGATAACTGAGGTTCCACTGGCAGCCACGAAACTAAACCATAATTACGTTCAAAATAATCCTCGATCCCTGAACACTCATAACATGTGCAAATGCACTGATAAGTAGCGCAGCTATCAAAAACCATGACCACCAACTTTGCAATGCACGAGCAGAAGATGACGTCCTTTCTGAGCGAGAATCAGGCCAATGGCGAGGCGTGCTCGGAGCAACATGGCGGAGGTAGCCAATCTGAGGCCTCGAAGTGAACTTCAAACATTTGCTTTCCATACACTTGTTTCTGATTGGAGGAGTTAGCCAAGAGGTAAATTTGAAAATGGAGAAATACTTATCCTGATGAGCTCAAAACGATGGTGCTTGGTTGTGCTGTTGAAGAGCCAGTTTTTTCGCATATAATTTAAGATGTGCTTAGGGATACTTCACAACTTTTTTTCTGTAACTTCATTTCAAAGTATTTGAATGATTATTCGATTTGATTTAGACTCAAACTTTATTATTCGAATCCACTATGCACCCGAAATTTTGCTATTTGCACAGCTCTAGCCAAACGTATATATGCATGTCGAACCTTTTTAGCTTTCATACTGCTACAGCCAATCCAGTAGATGTGCTAAACTGAACAGCATGCAGGGACTCTAGTAAAGAGACCAATGAGTGATGTCCTAACCTAAGCAATGATGACACCAGAGGAACGTACCTAATGCATCTGGTGAATCATCGATTCAAGGAACAAGGACCACAACTAACAATTTAACAAATGTGGAAACAATTATGACACCTGCGATCATGTGTTTGACACAACTGCACAATGGTATTAAGTAATACAATTTAGCTGTGGCCAAGATCAGATGTCCCTCTGAGTCAGGAGAAATGGTAAAATTGCAGAACTTCAAAAAAAAAAAAGGAAGGTTAATATATGCCCAAGAAAAAAAAAACAGAGAACCAGTATGACTTTTAGTGAATGTACTGTTTCTGAACAAGCTGCTTGCTAAAATTCTGTTGTTAATGATTACATTTCATGGCCTTGCAGATGCTCATGTTTTTTTTTTTTTAAGACCCCAAACCACTCCCCCCCCCCCCACCCCACAAAACTTTTTTAGCATTTGAGCATGCACACAAGAGTTCATCAGGCAGTCACAATCAACTATGCCAAGTTCAGCGGCACTATGTGCACAACACGAAATAAAAAAAAAAAAACATTCTCATGCAGTACCCCAGACCTTTTCAGTACCCCTATGGATGTAGAGCTTGGTGTACAAGTGGTGTCAGCAGAGGTGCAGACAATGATGGCTGGCCAAACAGGAACCTATGACTTGCGATTAGTCTGCTAGTGAGTCTCTGCCTCTCTGTGCATCGATTGCATGCTCTTCCTCGATGTGTGGCTGGTGCCCACAACCTTAATGAAAACCAGCAGATGAAAAAGCCGACGTTAATTGTAGTAACTGTGACATGGATGTTGTGCACACATTCTGGTTTGCACAAAGACAATATGGCATTTCTTGTGTAAGCATTCCTTCGATTAATAGTACAGCATGTGAAATTAATACTTACAGTGGAACCCCTATTGTACAACTTTTAGGGGACCACCCAAAACCGTCGTCTAACCCGGGCGTTGTATAATCGAAAAAATTAGATTATAGACCATGACACTTAGCCTTGTCCCAAAAAACAGGTACAGACTGCCTGAATAAGCCCACGGCACGACCTTCTGCCTCTGCAATGAGGGTAGATCAAGTTATTGTTGCCAGTGGTAGCTAATGGTAGCAATAATTACTTGAAGGAGGTCCGAGCGAATCTTTAAACTCAGCCTTAAAAACAATCAAATCCAACACGCATCTTTCTATCGATACATGAAGCCCGAAAATTGCCTGCACGTGAAAACGAAACCAAGACCGTGTTGTCGTGAGCCTCCCATCAGAATAGTCAGATGCAGTGTCATCGCTATCGCATAATGACGACGGACAATACCGTAATTACTCGAATCTAACGCGCACCTTTTTCCCGGTTAAGTGAGTTCATAAATTGCATGCACGTTAGAATCGAGTACGAACAAAAAAATTACGGTCAATCTATTGCCATCGGCAAGTCCAAAATGCCCGCACCCTACGTGCGTCGGCATGGCGCGTCCGCCATTTCTGCCTATGTGTTTCCCATGTGCGGCACTTCGTACGTGTGCTGAGGAGTTCGTCATCTAGTAGTGCATTAGCATCAACGGCGTAGAAGGGCTGACTCCAAAAACTCGAGTGCACCACGATGCCGCTTTTAAAAGAAAAGTCATCGCGTGTGCAGAGACGGACGGAAATAGGGCCGCATCGCGGTCGTTCGGAGTTCCCGAAACGTGCGTGCGGGACCGGCGGAAACAAAAGCAGAAGATTGTCGACAGCAAAGCTTCACTCAAAGGCTTCAGTGGACCACAGCAGGGTCGGTTTCCGCAAATTAAAGAGCTGCTCGGCGAGCATGTGCTTGAGCAGCGAGCGGCACAGAGGCCCGTGACGACAGAACTGCTCCAAGTGCAAGCTATGTAATTAGTCTTAGAAAAAGGTCTAATGCGGAGCCAGTTTAAAGCAAGCAGGTGCTGGCTAACTAACTTTATGAAGAGGAAAGGCTTTTCCCTCCGAAGGGGAACATGCATATGCGAAAAGTTGTGTGGAGGAGTACGATGAAAAGCTTCACAGTTTTCTGAGGTTCGTCCTAAACTTGCGGCGCAACAACGGCTACCTGCTTGGGCAAATCAGGAATGCCGATCAGACGCCTCTGATCGACATTCGACATGCCTGGCACCACAACCGTCGAGAAGAAGGGGGCGAAGCAAGTTCGCGTGCTGACATCGGTCCACGGTAAAACTACAGTGACGGCAATGCTCTGTTACACGTCAGATGGGCACAAGCTTCGCCCGTACCTTATATTTAAATAGAAGACGCTCCCGAAAGGAGTCGTTTTTTCGAGTGGTGTGATCGCGCGGGCCAGCGATAAAAATGGGTGCGCGTTGCAATCGATGTCTTACGTTTTTTTTTTTTTCCGCGGTGAAAATCGGGTGCGCGTTACAATCGAGGGCGCGGTAGAATCGAGTAAATACGGTAGGTTATGTATGATGCGTTCGTGCGCGACTGAGCGGTGTGCGTTGTAATTTGTTGCCTCGTGAAGAGCAACTAGTGGTGTCCTCCTGTATGAACGTTGACGTCAAGTGAAAGTAATTTTGCACAGAGAAAGCAGCTGCGTCGTGCCCTTATGCGAGCGCAAACCAGTGACTGCGAGTGTGACAGAGGTAGGAGATCGGCCGCATGTCGACTAGGAAATGTTTCCACGGGCTGAAAATGTGAAGAAATCAGCTTTTTGGTCAGCTGAACCTGCTCTATGTGGATAGAGCTTGACTAGGTAACGACCCCTGATATGTATGCAGGTGATTGAGGCGTATGTAAAAGTGCATAAAATTCTGGGAGAAGAAATTTTTCATTCGATGAAGATGACTACTTTTTTTGTATCGTCCTTAGAGTACTCAAGTTCATATTTTGCACACGTGAATATTTGGTCAACATGTGATTCGAGTAAAGGTATTTTTCCCCCCTATAGAATCCGAAAGTTGGCGTGAGATGCGGGGTTGGCGTAAAACTCCGTCATATAACCAAGGTTTTTAATACACAGTTTCTATGGAGATTTTGCCGAGACCAAACCAATTCGTCGTAAAATGCAGGTCGTTGCGAAACCGGGGGACGTATAATCAAAGTTCCGCTGTACTGAGAATTAGTGCGACAGCCTCCCGAGGAGGTGACTGAGACAATTATTATTGTTGTGTGCCCTGTTTGAGATGCATGCGCACATTCTGCTGATGTTTCATTGTCTGGACACTTTATTGCTTTCTATATAATGCAGTTGATTTGCAATCAACTTTAGTGGTTAGTCAGTGCCAAGTCTGTCTGTCTTTGTCCTGTCCAAGGGACTGTTTTATCACCTTTCATGAGAGGGAAGCTTTCATATTCACCCATGTCACTTATGCTGCCAGTACCATGGAACACAACTCAAGCTGAATAGAAAACAATGACGGCAGTGCACAAGATAGTTATACAAATCCTTCAAGCCGCGGGGAAGCATTTCAGCAATATTGAAGATCTTGTCTTGATCAGAACTTGCACTTGTTACTCGCTCACTGTGCTGGCAGCCGCAATTAAGTGGCAACATCAGGTGTCACTTTAAGCAATCTCATGCTGAGGATGGAGCACCAGGTACATTTTGCTGTTATTAGTAAAATGGCCGTTCGTTAGTCACCCCTGCTAAGCTAAACTTTTTCCTGTCAAAGTGACAGGACATAAAGCAAATACATGAGTCAGTTCAGAACTTGAGAGCCACACAGCACACAACAACAACTTCATAAATTTAAGGCAGAGGGCATCAGCTGCGATAGGTGGAACCATGTTGTTCCCCCCCGTTGCCTCTCCCATTCGGTATCAATTGAGTTTATTGGCCCCTCCCCTCCGAGTGCTGCCATCTGCTAACTTTTACTTGCCGAATGTGTGCTCACAGACTTTGGGAGATGCTGAGCAGTCAACATTGTGCGGACGAATACATCGCGAAGGATTTTTACCCTGCCTATTGTTTAAAGAGGAACTCCGGCACATTTTCGATTATACTGAGATAATGCCGTTTTCAAATAGTATTGACAGTCCTGCAACAATTAGGATCCAGACACTTGTCAATAATTTTAAGTAAGCTATGAATGACGAGTCAAAACAGACACCGAAACAGGGAGCTCCTCCATCCTCCGTGGTGGGTATCGGACGACTTCACGAAACCTGTATGCCATGACATCATGAAATGCGCTACACACCGCCACGGCTGGCCAGAGCGTAAACACAGCACGTGTGCCCCTGCTGGCACGCGAAAAGAATGTTGGCGATGTCATATGATGTGGAATAAAGCTGTTCCAGCTCGTATGATCTCTCCAGTGACAAGCTCAGCGATCATGGCAGCCAATATCTGAATGCGGAAGCGTCGCCTTTTGATTTAGACCCGCCGGCGCATGAAGCATCTGACGTGCCCCGAATCTGTCTTCTCGTTGCTCAATATTGTGCATGCACCAGACGTCAACGACGAGTAATATGCTTTATGGAGCTGACAAAACTGAAAAACGTGCGCTGCATCCATCTGCTAGGCGAGGCGGAGTTTTGAAAGAGTAGGCACATGCATACAAAAAATGGCCTGCATTTACAAGTGCGATTCCAGAATCGGCTACCAAATTTTTTAAAATTGGTTTTCTAAAACACCAATTGACTTATGGCTGTATAATTTGGCACATACCTCGACATTACCAATGAGTGTTCAAAGTTTTATTGAAATCAGTGAATATAGAAAAATTGCTGGAGTTATTTTCTAAGGGCCCTGTAGCCTCTGCAGTGCTGAAGGAAACTTCTGAAGTCAACTATGGTACTTCTCCCTTTTCACACGCACACACAAAAAAGTGATACTCAAAAGCAGGCACATTTTCAGCCCTTTGAAATTCGATCTTCAATGGATGACTTTTGGTAAGTGACTGCAATGCTGAGGAAGTGCAAACGTGATCTGACACGACACGTGAGAACACAGCACAAATGAAGTGTCCCAACCAGTTATTGAAGAGGAAATAGCACTTTAAGACAGCAATCGAGTGAGGTGAACTCAATGGATTTCACTAGTGAAAACTAATGTTGCCCCCCACTGTGCCTCAGATGTGTGGTGCCTCACAGACTGATGACACATCAAGCACAAATGCTGCCTCAGCATTAGTTTGTACAGACAACAGGCTGTCAGACATCAAAAGCTGAAGAATATGTCATCACTTGAGAATCAAGACCTGAAGTTTATGACAGACTCAGAAATTCATTTCCTACGTTTTACGAGCCGAAATCATGATATAATCATGAGGCATGCTATAGTGGAGGACTCCAGATTAACTCTGACCACCCGGGGCTTTTTATTAATGTCAACCTAAAATAAGCACCCAGGTGTTCCTTCATTATGACCCCACCAACACTAATCCATTAGAATCTGGTGCCACAAGGTTCAAAAAAAGATTACCAGCATCAAAGCAACCAGAGACTCCTCTCAAAAATGGCTGCAAGGAACCATTTTTCTCTAACGAAGGCCGGTGACCAAACAACACTGTGACTGCTGAGTTAACACTGTGGGTCATCCGTCAGATTCGACAGAGAGGACATCATCTTTGTTTTACAACCAACTTCCACTGTCCACTCAGTACACAAGCCCCAATGATTTTGTGGAGTACAGGTGGAGATTACCACGGCCTGTTAGTGGCATAAGGATGAAGGGCCTCATACCAGGAGTTGTGCTAGATGCTGTGGGCATGGGGGCCGAGCTGGGTGGATTGGAGGGGGCACGGGGTGTTGCTCGTGGCTGTCTGCGGGTGCTTCGGGGTGGACGAGCCCCCAAGGTGGCTGGGGCAGGTGGAGCTTGTGGCACGAACCGCAGTGCTCCCCTCAGCATGGCTGGTGGTGGCCCGTCGTGATGCTGCTGCAGTGGATGGCCAAGCAGCCGCACGTCTGTGGCGAAGTGGGGTGGGGTGTGAGGGGGCAATGATGGGAAGACTGAGTGCTTGTAGGCCTGCAAATGCTCACCTCTCTTCTAACACCGAGGGGTTAAAGTAACATTGAAGCCACTTTTCTTTCTTTTTTTTGTATGCATTAAATAACTGTTCTACCCAAGACATAACTAATTCACTTCCTGAAGTAGGGTCTCAGAAAGATGCAGTAGCTGCTTATTTCTTGCATGCAAGCAGTTAATCCCTTACAATTCCTCAATCAGTCAGTAAGCATTCTAGCAGACTAATCGCCACAGGGAGGAAAGACAAAAGATAAGGCACCACGAGAAATTACTGGCAGCGAAGCATTCATTCACCTTGCCAAAGCTTTAGCCAATGGAAACATTACTGGAAGCATGTTCCTCAAGAATAATGTTTGAAAAATGCAAACTCTGTGCTAACAAGGAGAAGTGTCATGATGATTCAAGTATTTGAAGCATGTATGTCCACATGCTAGTGCTGCAGCTGTACACCTTTGGTACACTTAACAAGAGCATCATCATAAGCACTTGCTATCGGGGCACACATCTGACTCTGTGAGGTCAACACAATCAACAAGAGTGCTGCAGCACATAACTCGGGTGCTGCATGAACAACGCAAACAATGAACCAATGGAAGCTGGTGCCACAAGCCCAAGACAAAGAAAGTATGAAAACATCTTCACACAAATGAATTAAAGGGGCCAGCCTTCTCTATCAAAAGCCTGCCATCACACACCGCATAACCAATGAAAGTGCAAAACAATTAATTTGATTATTGCTTAAACTGATTCCACAGTGCAGCAATGCAGTGGCAAATGCATGAAAGGCCAATCAATTTTCCTGGCCGGTAAACCAGTAAAGGAAAGATAGGATCCAGGAAACGCTGGCAACCAAACTGCTGTCCGAAAAGTTTTGGCCACCTTAAATTTGCTGTTTGACATTGCTCTTGAATGACAAACTTCAAGATGCAGCTAACCCCTCCCCCTCTCTGCTCACCTGGTAGCAGAGAGAGGCCCCGCGAATGCCGGTACAGGGCAGCCATGGCAGCCACAGTGGAGGCTGGCTGACTTGCAGCAGCTGGAGTTCGCGACCCGTTGCGGCCAGCTCCCCCGCGATGGCGCTGCTGCTGATGATGATGTTGTCCATCCTCTCCTCCAGACACCCCCATGCTCCCTAAATGACAATGACAGCTTGGCTATTGCAAGGCCTGCCTCACAGAGCAGGAACTGCTCACCATGGGCACAGACAACATGTCTTTTGCTAATCATGAGCCATTGATAGCATCAAACAAGGCTGTGCAAGTCGAATGACGTGACACCATTTCCCCAAAGATGCGGCTGGTGGAAGGCTCTTAACATAATTTATCGAGGAATAGATGCAGCAACCTTGGAATACAACTGATCATGCATTTGCAACCTCTGACTTCATCCAACAGAATGACGCAGAACATGATCCTCTGCATTGAGTGAACGACATGCAGGAAGGCACGACCTAAGTAAGCAAGATAAAATTTTGCAGTTACTTCTAATGTCTTCACTACTACCTGATGAAGTCAGTCTTCACGAGGGCAGCAAAAGACAGCACAAAAGCAAAGGAGACAGAGAGAGCACTGTCAGCCGCATTACTCATCTTTATCACGCTTATAGTACCAAGAATGAAAACCAGCTTATACAGCAAACTACATGTGCAATGAATGTATGAAGTTTGGATGGGGCCACTACAACTCACAGTACGTGCACCGATAGAACACCACTAAATAAAGAAGGCATGTCATCAGTCAATCTTATTCCAAATTTGACAAAGCCCGTGCAGTCCCAAGATGCACACAAAACAAGCAATGCCAGATGCTTGTCGTAATAGCATTTCACTTTGATCACCAATAGCAAAAAAAGCTACAATTGAAAAATAAGCAGACATATACCAGAAACCACAGCTGGATTCGAAAAGTGCTGCTCGATTAGCCAGTTTCAAAAGTAGACTTAGCAATGCCACTGAGAGTTGACGCTACACTAGTAAGTTGGAAATGCATGAAATTACTGTTCGAAAGCTTTGAAAGATTGAAGGAATCAAAAATGCACAAATCTAATCTGTGCACCACGCTGTTGCAAGCCAAGACAGTTTTCACAAAGCTTGAATGGGCGACACTAAAGTACCGGATTCAATATGGTCGAAAATGTGCTCCTAGTAATCTTCAAGAAGCAAGCATTCACTGAGGGAAGTGACAACAATAACACTAACAATCATTCTTCCCATTTATCGTTCACATTCTAAAGTGAGTGAGGAAGACTACTTGATTTATATTGCACAACGTGAGCATTGATTAAGGCCACATGATGGAAGGGAGTTTGGACATGAACCAAAGAGACCCAACGTTCAAACGGACATCAGCCAAAGCACAAGGTCAGTCATAGCACATAGATACAACAAGAATGCACCAGAAAACAGGCCTCAACAAAACATGTACACCAATGCCAGCATATCCACACTTTTATTTTTTACTTGAGATGCAAACCTCACACCCCCTTCAGTCCATCTAAGCTAGAAGGGTACCAGTTTGGGCTAGTTAATAACACAGCGTGAACACGCAAAAGATGCATAGGACACACACGAGTGCCGACTCAGAACAGTACTTTATATGATAACAAGCAATTACGTATATGGCTACGAACGTGTGGCGTACCACAGTGTGTCATCCACACGAAATTCCTATTACGACACGACAAGCAGCTTTTCCCAAGAAAGAGCAATTGACGGTCTTGGAACACTGGTGTCACCAAACGTATAAGTCAATTCCACCTCAGTAATCTTACGGGTTCGCCGATTTCCACTTCTGCTCACATATTAACACTCTTGGTAAACCAGATCAAAAGTGGCCAGATCTAGAGGTATGCATCTAAAAACTACCCTTTAATTTCAGACACGTTGTAATGATGTTTCCGGAGCGTATCATTAAGGCGTCGTCCACTTCAAAAGCAGAATGAAACTGTACCCCTTGAACAATCAACGAAAGTGGTTTGATGCTCACTCCTTAGTGCACTCTGTCTTCTTGAAGGAACAAACGCTAGTCAAACGCGGTTTATTGGGCACAGGAAAAACGACTTTAGTCCTGGCGCGTGCACCGATGCACCTGAGATGATGCAAAAAATTGCGAATGTACAGAATAACTGCTACTTTATTATCAGTGGGCGACAAAGCTGTTTGCAGATACATGCGATCAGAAAATCTTTGGCTGTGCTTCGCCTCCACACGTTTCGGAGGCAAAGTACCTGCTCGTTAAAACTGTCACTCGTGAGCAAGTCGCTCTGCAAACTGCCCTTTTCCAACCTGTTGTCGCGTCCTCCAACACTGCATCATGGAGAGTGTGTCGGGTGTGTCCGTGGTGTCAAACTTCCGACCATCACTGACGTGCTAACTGCTTCCACTGCCAAACACGAAGTCGTGGGAGTGACTTGTGACTCCTTGCAGCATACAACGCCAGATGTCCTGAGCTGCTCCATCGCCGACACGTTGACTGTTTTCCATGCCTCAACGTACCCAGCTCCTACACCTGCTCGACAGATTCCATTCACGCTTCGACTGCCAGCATGCTTCCCTCAGCCGTACATCTGCTGTCAGTCACCTCATGGACACTGCTACAATGCGTCACTGCGACAAAGACCACATCGTGCATCTCCAACAGAGCTGACAGATTACCAATGAACAAGTAACTGACATGCTTAAGTGTGGCGTCATTCAGCCTTCGATCAGCCCGTAGGCATCTCCAGTTGTCCTCGTTAAACGGACACTAAAAAGCAAAACGATTTTTCGCGTATTAGTAGGGCACAATTGCACGATCCCCAAAACACCACTCATACCGCAGCACCACGCTTAGTAAGCGAGACAAGGCGAGAAAAAATGTGGGTGGCGACGCCACTTTGAGTTGAGATTTCCACACCAAATATCGCAACGCTGAGAAATTTGAAGGCGTCGACTGGGTCCTATGCAGCTTCCGATAGATAAAAATGAAGTACATTGTAATTTGTGGGCTGCTATAGACTTAGCACACGAAGTTTCAAGAAATTTCATCAAGCTGATGTTACGAAAATACCGAGAATACATTTTGAAATTTCTTACATCACACACGAAGATTTTAGCACGAAATTTAAAAATAAAAATCTTCAACCTTTATTTTCTGCGCTAATAATGAATGCATGATAGTGGTACATATTGGCATTGGAGTCCCCTAAGCACAGTTTACCAATCAAAATGAAGTCTATGTTCCTCTTTAGTGTCTCTTCAAGGGGGCAGACTGGTCTTTGGGACCAAAAAGCGAAAAAAAATTCAATTTTAAAAATTGACATATTTGATTTCTGCAAGCACTTTTTTATCTCTGCAAATTTTCACACACCAGGAAGTAGTATTTCTTTTGTAATGTCATTCCAACTGTCCAGATTCTTGGTGCTGTTAACATGCAGAACCTGAAAAAAAAATGGGGAACCGACTTCGAGGCTTCTTTATAATTTGCCGGCGACTGTGTTAGAAGCTCTTCTACAAATTTATGAGCACCTTATGAGGATTGCAAAACCTGCACATCATGATTGTTGCTTTTTGAAGAAGCTGTGTGTTTTCAGTTTCCTATTTTTCTCAAAAAAGTAAATTTACGACTGTTCAATTTTGAGGCCTCAATATCTCTGCAGCTAGGGCAAGTACAACAATAATTCTTTTTTGTAATGGAAACCTGTATGTGTGTAGAATGCAAGTATGAATGCAGAATTGAGAGCACAAGCCTTTTTAATTAATTACTCATCAAAATTTTAACATAATTCCAACAGCTTTTGAAAATGAATAGATAATTTTGCTGTAAAATAACCAAGAAAGGCCTAAACACAAAAAGCTCTTGCATACTTTCAATCTATAATCATTAGTCTAGGTTGGCCTATCTTAAATATCACTTTTAATTAAGCACTTTTTTTTCTATGGAGGCCTTAAACAATAGAGGGT